ATAAATGTGAGTGTCCCTCTCTCTAAATTTGGGGTTCAAAGTTGAGACATACGTTAAAATGCTGACCGATGATAATGATAACGTAATTGCAATCGTGACGATTGTAGACGTTTGCGATGCGTTTGCTGGCGATTCCTAATGATTGATACTGACCGGTAGACCAATTGTGAGTGATTATGACGAATAATTGATAGCGGTTGTTATTGCGATTTGGTATAAATTATAAAAAAATATCATTTTATTGTATACAATAATAATATTTTAAAAAATATTTTTAATTAATTTTTTTACTATTATTTGATACCAATTGATTATCAAATTTATAAATAGTTAATTATAATTTTTATCAATTTAATTCATTTTTTGAATAAAAGTAAATTTGATATAAAAATATTTTTTAAAAATATTTATTAGTAAAACTAAATAATATCAAACATAATACCAAACAAAATTATTAATATTTTTTAATAATTTATACATGTGTATATATATATGTATGTATGTATATATGTATGTATATAAGGATATCAATGGGGTTGATCCGAAATTGCACTTGCCCGAAGGATTCGAGCTCAGATTCGGGTCAACCTGAAGTTTTTGGTCTAAAAAACCAAGCATAAAGCTCGGTCCTATAAACTTGGACTCGAGACGGTATTGTATATATGTGTATCTATTTGTATTTATATGTATAGGTGGGTGTATACGTATGTGTATATATACGTATATATGTACTTGCATTTATATATATAATGTGTATATGCTATATATATATATATATATATATATATTAAACCTAAAAGTATTTTGGTCATTTAATCTAAACGTTACAAAATGTAAATGTAATTTAAGTAAAAAATTGCGATTAAAATCTTAGTATTTTATTGTGATTGCGGGAGATTGCGATTGCTTTTTCAATCGCCGGAAATTGTAATCATCGGACAATTGCGTTATCGAAGTCAGACTCTAAATTCTATTTCACCGGTTGAACTATATTGAAGCATGGATACTTTTAATCAGTTAGTTAAACCGAAGATGTTATAGATGTCACATCATCGACCATGTGTGGTTCTTAAAAAAAACACAAGCGTAGTTTGTAACACGTTCCTCTCCTCGCACTGAAAACATGTTTATATATAAAGTAGAGCGTGGAGATAATGTCTTCGGGCGGAATGTAAAAGGACGTTTGTGGACGTAAGGCGAGAAGGCCATCGATCTTTGCCGAAAGAAACATAAGCAAATCGATGAAGTGACATGCCTCTCTTATTAAATTCACACGCCAAAGGTTTGTTTAAAGGAGACCTCGTGGTCCAAACAATTTGCTGCCGCAGCTTCATTATATATATATATATATATATATATATATATATATATATATATATATTTCATTATATATGTGTGTGTGTGTGTGGATTGAAGTTCAACGTTTGGGAGGTGTCAAGTTCATTAGACATGTTTTTAATGCTCGTCTGTCAATATATACACACACACACACAACAAGGCTCCTTATGCATAGAAAATTGACATTTGTCCTCCGATTATAGATCAGAATGACCTAAATGTTTCAGGTGTATATATATATGATACCATGCATGGCATATGATCATTTGGCCACGCCCGACTCCACATACGTGTTTTATAATCGTTCTTCCAAATTTATAATTGTGTTATACTAAAAAAATAGGTATATCTTTTTGGAAAGAAAAAAAGAGTATATCGCAAATAAAAAAAAATTACATCATAAACTTGACATTAGACATGAACATTCGAAAGGTTGAAAGAGAAATCAAATGATTGGCCATAAATTATCAGTCAAAACTTGGTCAGTTGATCCTATTAAAAAATAAAGAATGAACAAAAAAACAACGAAAATATTGTTATTATTATATCTTTCTTGTTTTTACAATACGATTGAAAATGATTTATATATTTATAAAAAATTAACAAACAAAATAAAAAAGGGTAATATAGAGAAAATGTCAGATACATAATATTTAAAATAATAATATTATATATATATTTTACTCAAATCATATATTCATTTTTTTTATTATAACGAATCTATTTATTGTTTTTATTTTTACTATATCGGTCACCGGGAGTTGTAGATTGAAATCATTCCGACATTTTTTGGGTTTTACTGTATCAAATCCAAATCTTGACATAAAATAATACCCTTTTACCATGTAAAAAAAATATTATATGCTTAATTTTAAGACCAAAATACTAATATGTAGATGAACCAAAATCTTTTATTTTTCACTTCAAGAAAAGAAAAACGAATGTACCACACGAACGAACGTGGAACGTCCTATTAGTTATATAGTACATGGATTTCTCTGGATAAAAATAAAAAATAAATTTCAAATTTTCTAGGATGACGTTTGGCATGACGTAACAATGTACTACTACACATGCTTATCATCACTTCAGGACCACATGGAATCTACACAACATCGACCACTCACCAATTAGATAGTACATTTAGGGGTGGACAGGAGCGGATACCCGAACATTCTGGAGTACCCTTATCTCGGCCACCATCTTGTCGAATTTTCGATTGCAATGTCTAAATCTCTATGTCACGACACCCCAATACCTGAATTTTAGATATCCGTGACACGAGATCGGATACCCGTGAAACCCGAACTTCACCCGAACCCATGTAGCCCTATTTATTCTGTTGTTCGAAATATTGAGTTGCATTAAAAACAAAGAATAAATTAAAAAAAAAAACAGATTTAAAACCCGAACCCCTGTAAAACCAACCTTTCTATTAGGCTATTGGTTACATTAAAGAAAGGAACAAATTTTCTCTGGTAGATCCAAACATATCCACATAGTCATGGACTCGCAGTCATCGTATGATGTTTCCTGCAGAAGGTCACAAGATCACACACATGTTATCAATATCTCGTGAAGATCATATTTCTTCGACTCAAAGAACCAGTCAAACTACTGATTCTCTCAGATATATAAGTCTGAGTATTGGATCCAATTATGATTCTCAAAAATCTAAAACTAATTCAGATCAACAAAGGTTCCTCAACCAACTTGAATTTCACAAACAATCTACAGTTCTCAGACCTACTTCCTAGTACCAACAGTGATCAAATTTTCCCAACGCCAAATGGGTATGAAACAGAACTAGAAGAGCATTCGATTGTATATGTTATCTTGCCTCGCATCTTGTGACACGGGATCGGGATGAACAAGAGATCCGCCTCCTCTGGAGTCAGGGTCCGGAACCAGAGAGAGATAGCCCTCGTCGTCTGATCGAACTGAAACTTCCACAAAACCTTGTCCTTTTCGACCCTAGATCAGAAAGCCAAAATCCATTCTGATTTCACGATTTCGACAGGAAAATCGAAATTGAATACAGGATGAGTGGAGATAAGAGAGATCGAAATGGAATCTGAAAGAGGATGAGAGTCGGAGAGGCCGAACGGTGGAGAGTGAGAAGCACGGCGAGGACGACCAAACGACGAACACGGTTGAGTCAGAAAGACCGAACGACGAACAGAGAGAGCAAGCGAACACGGCGAACAGAGACTCGCAAGGTGGAGACGGAACCTCGCAAGGCGGAGACGGGGAGATCGAAGGCGAACGACGAACACGGCGGAGATCGATTTCCCTTCTGCAGAAGAGGAGGCCGCAAACGCAAATGAGGGAGCACCAGAGTTAACTTCGTTACTTAGTAAATTAAGGTTAAGGTTATTTTTGCAAGTGTATTAAATATTAAGGATATTTTTGTAATTTTTTTAAATATACAGATATCTGGGATAACCGTGACGAAATTTTCAAATTCAAACCCAAAACTCAGATTTTCCATCTGAGTAAACTCGGATTTTCTATCTCACGGAACTCGATCTCTATCTCATTCGATTTCTATCTCATTCACTCGCACATAATAAATCTCAAATACCCGCTGACATAGGATACCCGAAAACCTAAAAATCTCGGGTAAAAATGTCCTATCATGCACCATCCATTCAATCTCCAAACTCTCTGTCTTTTAAAATACATATATATATATATATATATTTTTTAATTCATTGGGTTATAAAAATAAAAAACGAGGGAAATTTGTGAATTTTAGCAGTTTACATGGGCCTTTGAAGCAACAAAATTATTATTGTAAATGAGTCGGCCCATATAGGCCCACCTACACGCCACCCGTTGCCCCCCCGGAAACATGGATCTTAATTTATTACCAACTGTTCTGTGTTGCCCTTGAATTGTATGTGAATGCGTGTGTCTGCTGCTGGATTATTTTATATATCGCATAGCTTCATTTTTTTTTCCAGAAACATGAATCTTATTTTGGGTTATATTATTTATACAATCTACTATTGAATCAACACCCAGATTTCTTAATAAAATCCTGAAACTCTTAATTAAAAAATGATTGTGTACGGGAGCACTATATGTGTATTGATATACGCACACCATAATTCATCACATTCAATTGAATCAAATTCTAAAAAAAATGTCGATTTGAAAATCAAATCGATTTAACATTTTAGGGTTAAAACGGGATAATTTAGACTTTGACTTTTAAACCGGCGATTTGTTAGAAATTCCATAGATGGAATAAACTATAGAGTGGGTTTATGACTAGTCCAACAAACCCAATAGCCGTTCGTGGTGGAAATAATCATGATTTGCTCCTAATTAAAGGTCTAAATGAATTAAGCAATATAATACCAAAAGAAAATGGGGGGAAAAAATACGAAGATGGGCTCAATATCATACATAATATAACTAATGTGTGTGAAAAAGAAATGACTTTTATCTTAGAGAGAGCGGGCTTAGTGAAAAATAAAGCTACTTTTTCTAATTTCTTAAATTTCTTCATAAAATTTATATCGTTTGAACTAAGCTTTATAAATGTCCCCGTTGTAAAATGATATTTGTCACATAATAAGATCAAATGTGCCCCTCTTATTATTTTTCCTAGGTCCGCTACTGCCCACCATGTGTGATATAAAAAATAATTGCATCGGAGGAGGAAATTATTTCTTGACCAAGGAGACGACAAGGGTGACGGTCGATTTGTGAAGGCAGTCGGAGTGCCGAGAGACATGATGTGCGTACTTTTCGAACAATGCGTCTATAATGTCTTGTCCAAAGTGAGCGACCAACATCGGTCCAGTTACTGCCCTTATGCAGTTGGCTTCTCTTTCTCCGCTCTTATCTCTCCCTAACATGTAATCCCTTTCGTCCAGACTTTGCCCCAAATCGAATTCATGGGTTTCTAATGCGTCGATTTCGAAGGAGCCCTCGTTACGGATGATCTCTTTTACTTCTCCTTCGTCCGGATCGTAAAACGGCATGTTGAATGAATCCACCTCTTCGTCTCTCACAATTCCCTGTCACCGTAGTCGTCATATATTCATATCAACACACGTCACTTGTTTCGAACTGAATTTTGAAGAGTTCATTCTGTGTGTGACAAGGGTCGATCTCTTTATTCGTATAGATTCAATTTAGTACGTACCTCGTGGACTAAATCGAGAAGGGATTTGGACAGCAAAGTCCAGAAATGGCAGCAGTCTCTGTACAATGGATCACGAGCGTTTCTACCGATTAACGTGAGAACCATGCGTCCATCAGATGTCATCTCTTCGGACCGTAACCTTAGAAACAAGGAGAAATCTTTCCTGAACTGATTTAAGTAAGCCTCGTATACAGTTTGAGAGCTAGAACCTGTTATAAACACATCAAATGTAGTCGCCAAATTGATAACATTTTCCATGCAGACGGGAAACAATATTCAACTTACATTGTTTCAGGAAACATTTTAGTTTAGAAACTAATATATATATATAAATTAGTTGTTTTTGTAACAAGATATTTTGGGTCAAAACCCAAACCAATCACAAATACCGAACTTGTGAATGTCCTTCACCAAATTTGAAGATTCGAACTCAAGACATGATACAGGCTAAACACTTGATTGAACTACCAAAGTTTGGATATATTTAATTAGTTAGTTAGACAGAAAAAATATTATCGATAGAGATGGACATTTGGACCCTGATGGTTTAGGGGGGTTTGGTTTCATGGGAACCCGAAATAGGGGTACCCGGATGCATACGATGCTGAGGACGGGTTCAATGAGATGAGAATTTGCACCTCGAGTCCGGGTTCGGATTTTAATTTCATATAAGGAGTTATCTTTAATACCCCCTAAAATTTAAAAATTACAAAAATATCCGTTATATTTAGATTATTTATATCATTACCTATATATATTTTTATTATAATTATTATGTTTGTTATGTTTATTTAAGATTATAAGAGTTTCGATTTACATAATTTAAAATTATAAATTGTATAATTTTATTATTTTGAATGATTTTAATATAAAATTTGTATAAAAATGGTATAAAACTTGATTATTTATTAAAAATATTTAATTTATAATCAATTATATAAATTTGTGTACTAGTCCAAGTATCTCGGATTGAAAGGTTTTAGCGATGGATTCACGGATTACATGTACCAGGATCTCGTGAGATGAAACTGGGATAATATTTTCATGAGACTGACCGTAAAGAGAAAACTGAGACCGAGATATCTCTATTTCCGGGGTACCCGACCCATGTCTACCCCTAGATATCACTTTAGCGACGATATGTGGTTAGTAATAAAAAAATATACAAGTGTACACTAATAATTACACGTTCTTTTTCTCGCACCGAAACCATGTTTTATATATCATATCACTACAAAAAAAAATGCAAAATTCCAACGGATTTCCAATGGCATACTGTTGGAATAATTCCAACGTGTTTTTAACGGATTTCCAACGGCATATCAACGGATATTTGAGTTGAAAATTTTCCACGCATATTCCAACGGATTTCCGTTGGAAATAACGTTCGACAAATTTCAACGGCAACCCGTTGAAATTATCCGAACGTTATGAAACGCGGCAATAATTCCAACGGATATCCGTTGGAAAGTGTAACGGTAACGAAATTTTCAACGGATTTCCAACGGACATCCGTTGGAATGTTTGTCTATTTAAAGCATCTGGCCATATTTCGTCCAAACCACTCTCTAAATCATTCTTATACTATTCTTACACAAAAAATTCTCCTAAAAATGACATCTTCAACAAATCCGAATATTCGTTCGTCCCGGCAGTGGATATACATAATCTCGGGACTAGCGAAGACGAAGAAACCCGTAGTGCCAATTAATTATTATTGTTTAAAATATTTTATATTTTCTGTAATATTCGAACAATTTTTTATTTTAATATTTTAATTTTATTTGGGTTTTATTATATATATATATATATAAATATATAATATATATAAATATAAATAAAAAATAAAATAAATATTTAAAAATAAAATATTTTAAATATTTCTAACGGATATCAGTTGGAATATTTCTAACGGATATTCTAACGGAAGAACCGTTGTAAATACCGTTGTAACATTCCGTGGCAAATACCGTTGTAAATCAGTTGGAATATTTCTAACGGATATTCTAACGGTCCCGTCGGAAAGTAGCCACGGATCTCCGTTGGAAATCCGTTGAAAATATACCACGGAAGAACCGTTGGAAATCCGTTTAAATATTCCAACGGATGTCGGCGTTGGAATTCCGTTTGGAATTTGTCACGGAATTCCAACGGAACCGCGTTTCTAACGGCTGTTTTCTAACGGATATATCCGTTGGAAATCCGTTGGAAAAGTCGAAATCCAACGGATTTTCGGCCATTTCCAACGAATTTGCCGGTTGAAATTTGTGGTTTTTTTTATAGTGTATACAGAGTGCGGAGATAATGTCTTCGTCGGAAAAAACGAAAAATGAAGTTTGTGGAAGAAATCAAAAAGGCCATGTTTGTTGAAAGAAACATAAATATGAAGTGACATGCCTCTGTTATGGAATTCACTAGCCAAAGGAATGGGTTTGTTTAATGGAGAAGACCTCGTGGTCCAAACAATTTGTTGCCACAGCTTCATCATATATATATATATATATATGTGGATTGAAGTTCAACGTTTGGGAGGTGTCAAGTTCATTAGACATGTTTTTAATGCTCGTCTCACTACAAAAAAAAATTGTCATTTACAACGGATAAATCCGTTGGAAATGGCCAAATTTCCGTTGGAAATTAATGTTTCCAACGGATTTATCCGTTGAAATTTCGTCATTAGAAATCGGTATCCGTTGGAAAACCGTTGGAGTTTTCAACGGAATTTCAACGAATTTTTCCGTTGGAATTTTCCAACGGATTTCCAACCGGCATCCGTTGGAATTTTTCAATGGATTTCCAACCGCAATATCGGTTGGAAAATTCCAACGGAATTTCCAACCGCAATCCGTTGGAATTTTCCAACGGAATTTTCAACCGATATCCGTTGGAATTTTCCAACGGAATTTTCAACCGCATTCCGTTGGAATTTTCCAACGAAAAATTCGAAACATATTCCCGACCCGACCTGACCCGACCCCGACTCTGACCCTGCCCACGATCCCGACCCCGACACCAACCTGACCCGACCAGACTACGATCCCGAAACTCACTTCCCAGTAGGTCACTCATCCTTCCACTACTCCTGCTCAATCCTCCTTAACCCTAGAGTTCCAATTAGAACTCATCCAACTCTTCCAAGTTAAACTTCTGATATCATATAACATTAATATATATACATTTATAAATATTTATACATATTTACATATATACATATTCAAATGCATATATATATATATATTTGTTATGTATTTGTATATGGTTAATATATATATATATATATTTATTCGTATACATATATGTGTATATATACACATATCATATTTGTATATATAAAAATATATAAACACAAAATATATTTATATTTATAGATATATAGATGTATAAATATATAAAATATTTATTTATACGTATATATACACCTCTTTAATATACATATATATATGTATATATGTATATATATATTCGAATTCATATAAATATATATATTTTTGTTATGTATATCCTTAATATACATATATATATTTATATGTATGTATATATATATATTTAAATATACGAGTCTTTTATATATTTATACGTATATATATATGTATAAATACATGTATATTTTGTGTATATATATTTTATATATACATAACAAATATATATTATACATATATATATGAATTCAAATATATATATATATATATATATATATCAATTGATTTTTTAATTAAAATCTAAATTTTTAACCGATGTCCGTTAGGATTCCGTTGAAATTTTTTAAAAAATTTTCAAAAAAATTTCCAACCGGCATCCGTTGGAATTTTTTTTTAAAAAATTTCCAAAAAAATTTTCAACCGGCATCCGTTGGAATTGTTTTCTAACAAACATCCATTGGAATTCCGTTAAAAATTTAGAACCGATTTTTCCAACGTTAATCCGTTGAAAAGTTCCAATGGATATCCGTTGGAAATACCGTTGGAAATTTTCAACCCAATTTTTCAATTGAATACGTTGAAAATTTCGTTAAAAATTTTCAACGGGTGTTTACAACGGATATCCGTTGGAAATTTCAACAGAATTTTAACGAAAATCGTCGTTGAAACGCCGTTAAAAACCGTTGGAAATCCATTGAAAATTTTCCAACAGACAAATCCGCTGGAATTCGAGGATTTTTTGTAGTGTATGTCAACATATAAAATACTAAACATTAACTTGTGATATATATATATACAACAAGGGTCCTTATCCATAGAAAATTGACATTTGTCCTCCGATTATAAATAGGAATGTCCAAAATGTTTCACGTGTATATATATGATACCGTGAACGGCATATGATCATTTGGCCACGCCCGACTCCACGTGTTCTTGTCGTCTTTGAGAAAGTTAAATTACAAATTTTCTAGGACGACGTTGGCATGGCATAACAATGTACTACGTACTACGCATGGTTATCATCACTTCAGGACCACATGGAATCTATACAACCTCAGCCACTCAGCAATTTGACGGTGCGCACACCGTCATTTCAATCTCCAAACTCTCCAAGTCTTTTTTTTTTTATAAAATATATATATAAATTCATTGGGTTATAAAAATGAGGGAAATTTGAGAATTTTAGCAGTTTACATGGGCCTTTGAAGCAACAAAATTATTACTATAAATGAGTCGGCCCATATAGGCCCACCTACACGCCACCCGTTGGGCCCCCGGTAACATGGATATTAATTTATTACCAACTGTTCTGTGTTGCCCTTGAATGTGTGTCTGCTGCTGGATTATTTTATATTATATATACTTTTTTTTTGTTTAAGATTATTTTATATATTGCATAGCTTCATTTTTTTTTTCCAGATACATGAATCCTATTTTGGGTTATATTATTTATAGATAGCATGAAGTTATACAATCTACTATTGAATCAACACCCAGATTTCTGAATAAAATCCTGAAACTCTTAATTAAAAAATGATTGTGTACGGGAGCACTATATGTGTATTAATATACGCACACCATAATTCATCACATTCAATTGAATCAAATTCTAAAAAAAAATGTCGATTTGAAAATCAAATCGATTTAACATTTTAGGGTTAAAACGGGATAATTTAGACTTTGACTTTTAATTTCCTGTCTGTGCATACGGAAACAACATATACAAAGATATGGCATATTCACATGAAAAATTATAAATAGGGAAGAGAGGAGGACCCGATTGCAGCATGTTAGGGAATAAACACGTGGCGCACATCTGTATGCTAATGCGTCAAAATTTATAATATGAAGAAAAAAAAGTGACTACTTTATACAGTGGTAAAAGAGAGGACAAATAAAATTCGGAATCCGGGTAAAATTAACCCTTTTTTGATAAATAAATTAACCCTAAGTTTTTTTTTTTGATAAATAAATTAACCCTAAGTTGATTTGATTTGGGGATGACACACATCGGCTTTCTTTTTTTTTCCCCTCTCCGTTAATTTAATTTGATAAATTTTTCCCCCGGGACCTTAGCTGTGATGTGGGACATAATGTCTCCAAACTGTATAATCTACAGACAGGGAAACTATACGGTACGTCAACATCAATATCTTACACATATTTCATGCATGCATGCATGCATGGAAAGGGTAATATAATTCCGTAAGTTATATATAAACATATGTACGTATCTATCTATTTTTGTTCTCTCATCATACCCCAATCGTGCCTTAGATTATAGTGCTGAATGAGTGTTTTATCTTATATTAGAACGTTTGTATTAATTGAATTACGAATCTATCTTATCTTTATGAAGTGTACGTAGTGACAGTTTTGCTCATATGTATTTTTATTCTATTAAAACATAACTTCTCATAAAAAAAACTAATTTGATTTCAGTTTCTTACAAACTACAAAAATATTGATAAATAGTGTATGCATATATATATATATATATATATATATATATATTTGTTAGAAATTCCATAGATGGAATAAACTATAGAGTGGGTTTATGACTAATCCAACAACCCCAAATCCCAATAGCCGTTCGTGGTGGAAATAATCATGATTTGCTCCTAATTAAAGGTCTAAATGAATTAAACCAAAAGCGATATAATACCAAAAGAAAATGGGGGAAAAAAAATACGAAGATGGGCTCAATATCATATACATAATATAACTAATGCGTGTGAAAAAGAAATGACTTTTGCCTTAGCAGAGATTACGGGCTTAGTGAAAAATAAAGCTACTTTTCTAATTTCTTAAATTTTCATGCGTGAGAGTCTTCATAAAAGTGCAAACTTTTTATTTCAAAATTATTGCTCGATGATTGGTGCTAATGCCCCATAGAAACTCTGCTATGCGCTATGCGTATTGCTTTATATATATATAATAATTTCGCATATAAGGTTTGTATAATTTCATTTTTTTTTATAACAGTTTAATATCCAAATTTGTTACTCACACCATATTCAACCAATATATACACACACAATGTAATATTATAGTTCGAATCTATCATATAATATTGGACATAGTTTGAAATAATAAATAACATGAAAAAGTAAAGTTATCAAAATAATAAGTCTAAATTGAAAATAAGACACTAGACTATCTTTGTTATTTTTATCACGATAGTATATAATTATGTGATATCTATCCCTAAGATGATAACTAATGAGTTCATGTTTGATATCATGTATATGATTTTTATTGAAATGTGGTGACATGAGGTTTACGATATTAAAATGCCGTTTAGATGCCGTGGAGGGGCCAAGTGAAGGAAAACTATATATTAAAACATATAATAAGTTATAATTTAAACATTAAAATGTATGTCGCTTATTTTTATTTATAGATGTAAGACATGGCGCAGGTGTGAGGGAAAAAACCATACCGAAAAACACTAATAAGACTCGGCGATTGACTTATTAGACCACCAATCATTCCCGTGGAACGTTCAGAACGAAGCTTCGGACGCCGAGGGAGTGTTGTCTTTTCAAATAATACCACGCCATTGTTCATCATTACTATTTATTTATCAAATATCCAATTTTCCTGTTTCCTTTTTTTTTTTTTTTTGCATTCCTAATCTACTCGTAGAGAATAATTGGGCTTATAATTCGAAAATCAGAAACTAGAAAATGGGAATACACTCAAAGGCATCATGCGTTTCATGTCGAGCGAGAAAAGGGGGGCACGAACTAAATCGATGGTTTCTTCGACCACACTGAAACAAAAGGGATGAGTGTGCCATAATTTCTGGGTCACGAGAGAGACAAATATTCCACTTCAAGTTTGCATGATTACTCGCGGGAGAGAGAGATTCGATCCGAACATGTAAACCTCACAGTCACAGATACTGATTTTGGGTTTCTGTTTTCAAACATATCGACGAAAACTGTACAAAGAGTATGGATTCAACTCGAAAAATATCCAATTCCACCGTTACTTCCTCTCGTCACTGATGCTTGAGAGGCCTGGTTTATGGAGAACCACTGCCAGGGATTCCCGGCGGCGAAACATCAACTGTTTCGCTATGAAAGCTTCGATCGTCTTCTGAAATTCCTCGTTGCTGAGTTTATCCTCCGGGTAAACCCTATCGTCCCCCTCAACTTCCTCTGTTCTCCGGTACTTCTCCGTCTCCGATCGCCGGAGGGAGCATTTGGTCACCTTCTCCGGACTCTGCTTCACCGAAATGTCTGACTTGCTCCTTCGGTAGATCTTCGGGTGATCCGACGCCAGATCGTCGGTTTCTGAATCGGAGTCCGTCTCCGCATCATCGCTCATCGCGTGTTCTCCACGCGCGTGAGAATTTGAATTTGAATACGATTTCGGCTCGGTCACGATCACCTGTTTATCATCGTACACGATCTCCTCTTCAGTCTGATTCACAAGCGACGGCCTGGATCGATGCTCGCCGGATCTGACTAGCGCCTCGTAGAACTCAGTGTCGGCGCCGGAGGACCGATCGGAGGACTTGGCGAGAAGAGCAACGACGATGGAGTTTCCGAGGAGGAACATGAACAGAGGACTTGAAACGACGCCAGCGAGACGGCGGATAAACTCGCCGGAGATTTGGACGGCGAATGGAAGGCGCGTGAATGTCCACGAGAGGAAGAGCAGAGCAACGCAGACCTCCGCCGCACGGAAGACGCGGCCGATGCTGCGGAGACCGTGGTAACGCCATAACGCCTTGGCTTTCTCTGCTTTCACGCTGTCGAAACAACTCGAATCCATTTCTCGAATCGCACAAGAGACTGTGCTTGGCCGATGATTTTCCGGGAATCTGGAAGAGAGAAATTCTGGAAATGGTGTTGGAAGAGGGAAGGGGAATCAGAGGCTCTTCAGAAAACTGGACTCTGTCTCTCTGCCCAAATATCTCTCTTTTATAGACTTGGCGACAACATACTCTCTCCCTTCTTCCCTTTTTCCTTTCAAATAATTGAACCTTTTCCCCCTTCTATCCAAATCAAGATATCTTATTTTTCATACATTTGGACATATATATATACACACACACACACTCTCTACAATATTTCATAAATAATTATAAACATATCGTCTTATAAATTCTGTTTGTTTTCTTAATTTTTTTTACTAATATACGATCTAATCTATCACCCAATATGATTGTTTTCTAGTCACCCAATACGATTAACAACGATTTTATGTTGGTAATTCTTTTGACCCGTAACAATTTATGTAGTTTACATTATAATAAATGGTTGCCGATCATTCAATTTATGTATGTATACACACACACATCCATAAAGACTCTTTATATATTATGACCTCGATCACATTTTTGACAGTAAAATAAAATCTATAAAAACTGTTCCGACTATTAGATAAATATGTTATTATTATTATTTAAGAAATTATGAAAAAAAAAAATTGGACAGGGCAGATTAAAAGTATGATGTAACAGGGAATCACTTTCCACGTGAGCCGTATGGCATCCGTGTAACCACCGCTCTTTAGATTGCATTTCGTGTTCGGAAGTCTATTCCCCGTGCCTCTCACCGATTCATTAATTTTATATATATATATATATATATATATATATATATATATATATAAATCTACTCTCTATTATGTAAAGAAACATAACTGAAATCCATGCAACTCTACGCCTTGATTGAATATAATATTCGACCTCCCTGTTTTGTTATATCTTTTTACTACCCTTCGGAAAGTCTTCTCATATTGAATCATTCTATGAAAAAATAAAATTAAAATTAGGGGTTTTTTTTCTTCCAATATCACAACATCTATATAGTGATTTATATTTTCCAACTCACGTGCGTATATAATGTACCGAATATGACCATAGACCATCTCTCGTTAGTAATTTATATTTAGGAACATAATTTAATTTGTTCTCGGTTCATTGTTTACTTGGTGTGTGTACATGTAACTATCGCCTAAAAAGCCGGACATTTTTTTCGCCTCTAAATCGAACAATTTTATTCACACATTTATTTTTTTTTATCACTCGAATAAATAATTTCTAAACTTTATTATATTCTGTCCCTTCTATGCCCCCCCTTTTTTTTTTCTGGATACGTAATATAGACAGCGGTAAATTCACGGACCACCGAAAAATGTAAGTTGTCAGACACGCAATTGTTTGTGTCCGAATTTATTCACACCTAACCCTTCCTGTTTTTTTAATTATCTTATTCGAATTTTCTTTTTCCATATTAATTACGATGCATCTTATTTGAAGAGGAAAAGGTCGTACGTGGCAAGTAAAAAACATTCTTATATTGTGTGTGACTGTGTTTGTGTATATACACTGAAAAGTATAAAAAGCAGCCAATTTTTTTTATATATATATAAAAAAGCAGCCAAATTATTTGTGTTGATAGACATAAATTAATATTTTGGGTGAAGTCATTCGGCGAAAAGATGGTAAGAGAAAAAATTGTTAGTGGATAATACAGGTTGGTCGACCGATGGACCTTTTGCTTTGTTTCTCTATAAATTTCCTCATGTGTATACTATGATATATGTGTGCGTTATAGTGTATGCACATACGTATGTGTGTACGTATGTATGAATGTACTGTCTGTCTACGCGCTTCTACAGTAATAGATATGTACTTTATACGAGATGACATAATCTTTTGCGTTCAGAATATCATCCATCCTTCATTCTTTTTCTATGTATTATTATAATTATAACATATAAGATAAAATATGTTATTTCCAGGAAAAAATATTTAAATATGTTACTGTAAATACAAAAAGAGGGAAGACTGCAGTGGAGCTCAGGGTCCTGATTCAAACTTTGACCAGTGTCAGGCTACAGGGAATAGAGATTGTAGTCCACTGTGAGAAAAAAAAAACATCGTGAAGTTCAGGAGGTATGAAACAAAACGACACCGTATTAACCGAACCTTCCTCTCACCATCTCAAACTTCAGAGCGTTTTCATGTCCCTTGATCGTCGGTCATCATCGTCTGCCACGACTGTGTGAAAGTGTACTCTGAAGACTGAGTTGGACAGAAGAACGGAGCGATGGACGTATGTATGTATACTCATATTAAACATGCTTTAAAAAAACGACGCCCAGTTTTCATCTCCAATGATAAAACGCTCTGGCGTGGCAAATTGATTTATTTTCTTATTTAAGAAAATAAAATTCCCGGATGTTTTTTTTAATGAAAAAAATTCCCGGACGTTGCTCTGTTTGTTGGTGTAGATATTATGTGCATGTGTTTCTAAACATATAATTATAATATTAATAATAATAATTATTATTATACAGATACAATTTCATTCCTTGTGTTTGATTATAAATTTGGAGGTAATGAGAGGAAAGAAATAAATCTCCACTTAGTGACACTTACTGTGTAATGGTAGGAAAGCTGATGGTGACCATCTCTGCCTTTTAAAGGCCACCGTGTGTATATAATATATATAAAAATTAATATACTCATAAGTGTATAATTATATATAATTAACTTTGGCTTTTTATGTTGTATGTGATATATATTAGTTCCTTTCAAAGCAATTTGAAAAAAAAATCTCTGTATATATATTAGTCTGAAAAAAAAAACATTTTATTATGAAGTGCTTGCTATTTTTTCACAACGAAACCACACTTTATAAATTTTTGTTGAAAATATTTTATATAACTTTATAAAATTTTATAAGCGAAGAATCTATTTACACGTCGACTTGAATATATCGTTACTGAAAAGATAGACAAGAATATATATTTTTCGAGTACTTATAATTGTTGAATTTTATAACAATTGCCACAAGGGACACGCCTTGATCGATATTCTCCCTTTCTCTTTTTGTCTATATTATTTTTATCCCATTTGCCAATTACGTACGTGGAAAATTCGTAGGCATATTCGGCCACTAACATACATATATGTGTTATTAATAGACAAATAAATTTATTCATGTATATATATTATACATGTCTAGAAAATTCCATAATTAGGAATATTGTTTTGAAATATTCTCGAGAATAACGGACGTGTACACACGGCTTTGACACTGTTAATGTATTGTTTCGATCATATTCGGATCTTATTTTATTTATGAACACATTATTTTGGGTCTCGAGGAAAAAAATGGAACGAGGAATATCGAATTCCAAGTGTTGGATTTGGGCCCATAACGAGAAGTTATGGATTCATATTGGGCTTTTTACATTTGAGGTTTGGGCTATTAATGCTATTATTATTATTGTCATTATTATATTATTATTGTACTTCCAACTCTGTATACATTTATACGTATCAGATTTTGTTGCGTTGAGAAAGTAGTTTGCTTCCTCATTTAAATTGACTAGTAGCAGTGGACCCACGCCATGAATGAAATCAATAATATTCTTGTTCTTAGTTATTCTATAAAAATTTAGCTAAATAATTTAACGTGTAATTATATTTTTTCATGTAAGCTTTTAATTTAGACATGAGTATACTAACAAAATTAAAGTATCAATCATGTCAACTTATAATTATTAATAAATCTCATTTAAAATAAGAACCAATTTTATTAAAAGCAATTGAATTTAAAATAACAATAAATTTGGTTTTGCCCCACCTTTGTGGTATACTAAACATCGCCACGTGGATCGACCTGATTGGTGAGGCTCGGTGCGGGTGAGACAAGTACTACATCTCGCTGTAACGCGCAATCTAAGAACCAAGAGCACGAGTTCGACGAGATTTTTGAGGTATTTTTCTCCACCAGACGTCGACCGAATTCGCGAAAACGATTCATCCGGTCTGTACCTTCTTCTTCCTTTGGATTTGATCTTAGAAAAGTTTATACTCTGACGATATCGAGTTTCCTTCTGTAGCGATGCGTTTGCTTTTGCTCTGAGCGGGCTCTCTCTCCGAAAATGGCAGCGCCATCTCTCTTCCTCCATCAACCCACATGCAGCTTCGGTTCCAATCGATTCTCTGCATTCCCTGACAATAATTCTCATCGAAGATCGGCGCTTTCGCTTCGATTACGGAGCTCCAGCTCGATTTTCCGTCGCGGGCATCTCCGGAATCGGAGTATCCGGGCTGTTTCTGGCCCCAAAACTATGGATGACTCTGTAAAAACCTATGCTTGGAGGGACGATGGCAGTGTTGACGGGGAAGAACGAGTGCGCGTATTCGAGCATGAGGCGTTCATTAATGGTTCGTCGGAGCTCCGGAACGAGTTGGTCGGCGGCGGCGGGATCGACGCGACCATCAATCGTCTGGTAAGTATTATCCGACATGCCCTATACACGTACGCTGTTTGATGAAATGCTTCTTTGTGGTCATGAGGCGCAATATTTACGTCGCTTTCTATGTTTTGGCAATTTCTTCTTGCGTAAGAAAGATTGAAATACAAGGGAGTTCCTCAAGCTGGGTCTGTCTGCTTTTGTATGACGAATACTGAAATACGATACTATCTCTTGGACAATTCAGATTTATGTGTTGGTGATTTTGTCAATGGCAGAGCAAATGGGTTGTGTCTGCTGTCTTCTGTTCTGTTCTTCTCCTGCGACACGATGGGACAGCCTTGTGGGCGGTGATTGGATCCATTTCAAATTCTGCGCTCTCTGTAGCTCTAAAACGTATAATTAACCAGGAGAGACCTGTTGCAACTCTGCGTTCTGATCCCGGCATGCCCTCTTCTCATGCTCAATCCATTTCTTTCATCTCTTTGTTTGCCATAATGTCGGGTATGCCACTAAACTCTTTTCACGGTTTCTTGTTCATTGTTCACTTTCGGTATCGGCTTATTGTATTTTGCCCATTTCCTCTTGTTGATGAAGCTCTTGATGATAATTTTTACTCTTGTGCAGTTTTGGAATGGCTTGGAACCAATTCGGTCTCAATGTTCCTCAGCGCCATTATCCTTGCATCTGGATCATATTTTGTAAGTCTTCATGTCGTTTTTTGTAGGGGAACAGATTATTATTTGTGGAAGAATACAACAGTCAAGATTTTATATTTTGGCTGAAACGTATATGTAGCATGTTAATCAATTCCGAAAATCTTGTTCTGGAACAGCTGCTCGTGCAATAGCAATTTTAAACCCGGCCTTTTCTTCTTCTTTGGTTTCCTTTCCATGGCGTTTCCCGCCATTTGAACTGGGTTTTGATATTGCCCGCTCATGTTTGTCTAATCTTCATGTCTGCAGACATGGTTAAGGGTTTCCCAGAAGCTACACACAGTCAGTCAAGTAGTGGTGGGTGCCATCTTGGGTTCGGTTTTCTCCATCTTATGGTACATGGCTTGGAACTCTGTAGTGCTCGGAGCTTTTGTCGGGTCATCTTCTGTACAAGTAGCTATCTTTCTGGTTGCTGCTGCATTTTCGCTAGGGTTTGTGGTATATGTTGTCCTTAACTGGTTTAGATATGACAGATGAACAAACAAGCAACAAACTTAGAATCCCAAGTGAGATGGAAAAAATGCACATTCATCTCTTCACTTTTTTTGTCTTATTAATTGAGCTATATATAATACAATGAATGTCACCCCTGCTGCTTTTATACAATGCTGCATTTGAAACATGAGGAGAAACATGAATTGCCTCCTGGTTAGTTGTCAAAAATCATTGGAAACAACAATCTATCTAATTCATGAGTTTCTGCACCTGGTGCCACTAATTCTAAGATGCCATGTATATCCTCACTTTGTAAATGAAACCGATCACCGGATACAAAAGCTGAAACTTGGTCCTTGATTTTGATTGAGGACCATCCAGGCTCTTTCATCACTCCTTTTGATTTCATCTTCTTCCACATATCTGCAGCCTCTTTCCACTTCCCTCTGCTTGAGTATATATGGGCTAGGGTTACATGTGCAGTTGCTGAATTAGGGTCCAGCTTTAAAATCTTTTCAGTCGCCCGTTTTCCACGTTCGACATCTCCTTTGGCCATGCATGCTCTAAGAAGCATGGACCATACTACATCATCCTTTTGGCATGGCATGTCTTGGATCAACTCCTCTGCTTCGCTTAGCCGTCCTGCTCTGCATAACAGATCGATCATGCATCCATAGTGATCCTTTGTCGGTGTCAAGTTATATTTCTCACTCATCAAATTGAAATAGTGAAAACCGAGGTCAAGCTGTCCTGAATGATTGCAGGCTGTGAGAACACTGATGAATGCTACAGAATCGGGTCTGAAGCCAAAGGCTATACTCTTCTCAAACAAATCGATGGCTTCTTTGCCATATCCGTGCTCAGCATATCCATTGATCATAGCTGTCAACGAGACGATATCGTCGCTCTCTGCTTCTTCAAAGATCTTTAAAGCTTCGGTGATATTCCCGCATTTTGAATACATGTTCATCAGCGCACTTCGAATTGTGGCTCGCTGGTCCAACCCGAGATTCAGAGCAAGCGCATGGAATTGCATACCATTCTCAAGAGTTGCCATGGTTCCTGAAACACTCAGCACACTAGCAAGTGCAAAATCTGTTGGTTGTGGCCCTTCTCGTCTCATTAATGAGAAGTAAGCAAAAGCTTCTTCTCCAAAACCGGCTTGACAGTATCCTCCTATTATCGTGCTCCACGAAATAATGTCTCTGCATCTCATTCCTTGAAACAAAAGAGAAGCGGAATCTAACTTTCCACACGATGAATACATCTTCATCATCGAGTTAGCCACTGACAAAGAGTCTTCCAGACCAAGACGCAAAACATCAGTGTGAAACTGCTCGCCCAGCACAAGTCTCGACAGATCAGCACAGGCAGAAATCACAGAAGCAAAAGTGAATTCATTCGGACTTACTCCTGAGTTTCTCATCCGTAGGAACGCGTCTACCGCTTTTTCTTCTTGACCCATTTGAACGTAAGCCGAGATGGCGCTTGTCCATGAAACAACATCGCGATTGTTCATGCTTTCAAAGAAATACAACCCCTGTTGCATTTCCCCGCACTTGATGTACATAGTTCCAAGTGAATTGGCTACACATAAAGTTGCATCGAAACCTCTGATTACCACATGAGTATGAATCTCCTTACCGTATTTCAACAGACCCGAATCAGCACAAGCCTTCAAGGCAATCGCGAATGTGTAAGTATCACATGATACTTTCGATCTCCACATCTTAGAGAAATACATCAACCCATCCCTGTAAAAACCGGCATGGACAAGCCCCGTTATAATGGCTGTCCAAGTTACGACATTTTTAACGGGCATTTCACTGAACACTCTGCAACTCTTATCGATCGTTCCTATTCTCTTGTACATATCCAAAATAGCGCTTCCCACGAATACTGAATTCACGAGCCCGCTTTTCTCCGAATACCCATGTAAGGATTCTCCATATGCGACGTTGAAACTTAGACCGCAAGCCTTAAGCGCTACGCTAAGAACAAACGCATCGACTGAGATATCAGGTCCAACCCGCATCGTGGAATACAAAATCAGGGCTTCGTCGGAGTTCATTGCACTTACGTAACCCGAAATCATGGTGGTCCATGAGTATACATCTCTGTGCGGCATTTTGTCAAACACCTTGCGAGCACCCCGCAAATTCCCGGACTTCATTAACTTGGTGAGCTCAGATTTCATTTCAACGAGACCCACATGATCCGGGACATGGGTTCCCCGCACACACTGTTCCAACGATTGTTGTGGAGAGGAAATGGATGATGTACATAGTCTCCGGATTCTCCCACTCGTCCTTGCAGACAAAATCATGGTCCTCAGAAGTAGAGTGCTGGTACAGAAAAGTAGCAGAGAGAAGGGACCGAGCGGTTAGCTCAAAGCAAAAAATGGAGAGGCATTAACTTGGTCCAAAAAATTGGAAAAACAAAATAAAAAAAAATGAAAATGGCTAATCCATTCCCTAATTAGATTCCATCAACGTTGTTGATTCGCCAATAATATCTAAAATAAAATTTTAAAAATTTGATAAAGTGAAAAGTTTACTATATGATGTTCATCAGTGAAATCGATTAATTTATCCGCAGTTTCAGTGAGCAGGCAAACACACTACAGTCTACAGACAAGAGGGTTCAAACTCTTCTGTAAGAAAACTGCAGAACCAAAAGCCAAGGCTTAAAGCTTTATGTGTGTGTGTGTGTGTGTATATAAATACGTAAGAAGAACCGAACCATGGCTCGAGTAAGTAACCAAACCATTCCCCACAATCGCCAATAACATGGCCATGGATTATTACTATTTCTTCATCTCGCTCTCTTGAGCAGATAAACCATCATATAATTTATAAATCTATTCACAAGGAGCCACATAGCACATCCCTGAGTCTTATTTTTCATAACCATGACGATGTTTCTATCATCCATCCTTCATGGGTTTGGACACATGAGATGATGATCTGCCGGCAGAGAGGTAAGACCATGCCAAGGAAGCACTGCCAATAGCAATAGTGGTGGCAATTGATCCCCAAATCCACCTCTTCCTCTTCTTCCTTCTCGCCCTCTCCCGCCTCGCAATCTCTGTTTTCACAACATTAGTAAGCAAATGAGCAAAACCCGAAATCATGAAAACAGAAATCTGCTTTCTCCAGCCCTTTTTATTATAAGAAAAGTGTGTTCTGGGTTAAGTCATTGAGATCTCCCCCACCTATGGCCTCTTGGTTCCGCTGGGACATTTCTCGGTTCACAGCCTCGTAATAGTGGAGACGGTCAGATAACCGGGTGATTTCAAAGTTCTTTGCTTCGAGCTTAGATTCCATCGACATCTCCACCTCCGCCTTTGTCAGCCCCCTGCTAATGGAGTCAGATACAAACCTAGCGACCTCAAGTTGGCTACGGAGTTGTCCTGTTACGTTCATGCTGTCTGTGGAGGTTGTAGGATCGGCAGGAAGGGACACACCCACATGGAGTAGTTGTTCCCGGACCTTCTGCCAATGAGCTAGCATTTGATCCAGAGTCTCTTTCACTTGCTTCCTCTTCTCTATTTCCATTAGTAGACTCAATCTTATGTCTCTCAGCTCAGCTTCGATGTCGTTTACAGAAGTTTGCATCCCACTGTCGATTGATAGTTCTGGGGAAACAAAGAGAAGCATCTTTATTGTTAGAGTTGCCAAATGATTTCACAACACAGTTCTCAAATACCAACGAGTTATTTAACAGGTTCTTTTTCTCCTGGAATGGTTACAGATACAAGAAAAATTATAAAGCATTGCCCCTAAGAATTCGGTAATCTTGACTTATATTGAAAACTGTTAGTGAGAAAGAGAGATTACCATCCCAAGCATCATAAAACTCTCCTGAAGGTGTAGCGAGCTTTCGAGAACTTTCAGCCCCTGCATCATCCTCTACCTCTGTGTTACTTGTGAAGCTCACTGATTCACCTGGGTCATAGAAATCTTCAGACTCACCATCTCGATCTGCTTTGGCCATAACAGGCTCTGGCAGATCAGTGTCCCTCTCTAAACCTTTGGCAGCAGTACTTTTCACAATCCCATCATTACTCCTACCTAATTCAAGCTTTCCATTCCAAAGTTCCCCATCATGGGCATCACCACTCTGGTGCGAAACAGAACCATCACAGATGCCATTCGGGTTATTCTTCTCAGCCGGATTACCATCAACAACATTGGTATGTTCCTCTTCAGTAGCCTTATGGGTAGGAAATGAGAAAGATGTTGACTTCCTATGAGTGGCAGCCTTTACATCTGTATCCACATCATTATTCTCCTCATTCTCAGTTTTCTGGCGCAAAGACACCTCAACCTCGGAAAAGCTCTTTAAAAGACGCGGTCCACGAGATTTGTGATTGATGATGTAAGGGGATGGAGGGAAGGAAGAAGGTGAATCCGGAAGTGGGATTGCCTCAGGGGTGGCATAGAGAGCCGGAGACATCTGAGGACGTGGGACAGTCCTTTCTCTCAGTGGCTTACCCTTGCTTTTCTCCAGCTTTGATATAGGAGGCTTTGAAGGAGGAGGTTTCCCGCTCAGAACAGTATTCTCAACGGATCTGGAAGCTCCTGGCTCTAGCAAGCTATTCAAAGCAATAGCAGAAAAAGTAGGCATTGCTCTGCATCAATGGAGAGACCAATTAGTAATTCCTTTCCTGGCCAACAGAAGAGAGACAAACGAAGAGAACAAATCATCCAACACAATAGAATACAGGTTAAGCATATCCCAGGAAGTGAAAATGACCCCAAAACTATGCTACAACTAAGATACTGTGAAAATGATGAATAAGCATACACAATAAGTTGCTTCAATTTCAGAACAGGGCGAAGAAGGGCCACTGTACGAAACCGAAATAACACCATCCAATGGAATAACGATCTATCAAAACAATAGGCGCGAGCTCAAACCAGTTAGAGCATACGCTAGCTATCATTACATTGAAAATAAGACAACAGAACCAACAAAGATTCCCAGTGTCTTAAGAGGGACAAGAAATGCAGCCCGCATATGGATAAACAGCGTCAACCGCAAATCAGAAGTAAATCAAATCACATGGAGACGTCAACAAGAGGAATCAATTCCGACGTCGAATAACACGACAACCAACATAGGCAGTACAACACAGCACACGATTCAGAATCCAATTCCGATTTCTGATCCAACTTCCCGACAAGCAAGCAGAAAAACGAAACGATGATGAAAAATCAATGAGAAATCGAGGCAGAGGAAAAGGATTACCTCCGGCGCGAAGGAGATCTCCTCCCAGGAAAAGAAGATCCAGCAGAAGCCGGCGGAAATGGAAGATCCCCTCACCACGGCGAAGAGGCGGAGGAGGTGAGACGGGGAAGATGAGGAGAAGAGAAGTAAAACGACATCGTTTCCCAGAGAAATACACAGCACGAAGGAAGAAAACCTCTCTTCCAACGCTTTATCGCAACGACCACCTCTGCTTCGTCTCTCCGCAAATATTTGAAACGCTCTTTTGTTTTTTCATTTTCCAATTTTCCCCTATTTTTGGTAAATTTTAAATTTAAATAAATAAAATATTTCACAACGCTTTTATTTTGGTGCAACTGTGTGTGTGGAGGGGTAGGGTAGGGTTTCGGTGGGTGGTCAAAACGGCGGCGTTTAAGGGATCTTTAGATGGGTCATGCATGTCATTTTGCAAGTGTGAATGAAGCTGGTCCTATGTTGAAATTAGAATATTCAGTGACGTCACACCGTTGACGTGGCATCTTTTAGTCCCAATTTGAACGAATGGGCCCATTTTACCGTATAATCTGCTCTTTTAGAAAGAAAAAAGGATAGCCCATGGCCCATCCGTTCCTGAATCGTAAAGCCCACTACATATTACATAATGTATTCCAAATATCTAGATTTCAGACATTATCACTTCCGGTGTCCTTGTAATGTTTTTCTCGAAGTCTTATGAATCTTTGAACGATAATTCCTTTAATAAATAAATCTGTAATAAATAAATGACCTGCTAAATTGATTTTGATCTTTTTTAATTGATCACGAAATATCGGTTCAAATAACACCGCTACCTTTTAAATTTTGAATGTTCTCGGATAGGATTCGAACCCACGCCCTCTGATTTGGTTTTTTTTAATCCAAAAGTTTGAAACAAACCGGTCCGGTTTAATCCACCGATTAATCGTCCAGTTGGAGCATTTAATCGTGTAACAATTTTAGATTCCAAATATTATGTTACTGAAACATAGAGACAATCTTTGTCCATTACAATAATAGAACAAGTCACACAGTTTCCTACCCCAAGAAGTTGGAATTATTTAGGGGAAAATACAAAAAAAAAAGAACAAGAAGAAGAAGAAGAAACAAGACAGAATTTATTTTTGTTTATATAAAAAGAAACAAGACATAATTCAATTTGGTAGACTGAGCTTCCTCTTCATGGCTTGCTTGTTATTATGCATCCACACCTTGAAAACCTCTCTCCTCAGATTCACCATCGAACAAAACTTATCGACCTCTTCTTCGTCCTTCTTCTGCAGGCTCCATCCCAATCTCTCCGCAAATTCCTTCATCTTATCCTTCTGTTCTTGATTTATCTTCGTCCTCAACCTCTTCTTCCCCGATCTCTTTTCATCGTTCATCTCTTCGCTCGATGATGACCTCCGCGCAATCCCAGCCGTCCGATGCATCGCATGTGTCTGCATCGCCCTGTACGAGCCACTGCAGTACAATGCAGGAGCTGTTCTTTGGGCGTACATGTACGCCGCCGTCTGCGAATCCTGACCGTCCACCTCTTTCCTGTGGAAACTCCGGTGGCATCCGCAGGCGGCGCATTTTAGCGCATCCGGCGTATCCTCCTCACCGCCTGGCATGAATTCGCCGCAGCCGTCTATGACGAGGCCGCCGGTGACCGCCGCGTGGTTCCTCTGGCACTCCCGGTACCTGCTTCGTAACAACCTTGCCGTGAGCTCGCTGCGTGTACTCGGCCTCTGGGCGGCGGAAACAGCCGGCGGAGACGGTGGAGTGGGGGGAGAGGCGGAAACCGGGTCTGGATCTGGGTCGGGTTCGGGTTTCGGATCTGGGGGAGGGTGTCTCCTGATGTGATCTAGGGTTTTGGACGGGGTTGTGCTCAAAATTACCGCATTAGCTTTGCCTTCAAACTCCATCGTAAATCTGGGCGAAAGAAGGGAACTTTATCAAACCTTTGGCGAGGGTAATCGTGGTTAAGTGCATGCAAAGGACCAAGAAAGATACCTCCTTTACATGGTTTGATTATGAATATTATTGTTGTGGTTTTGGTGTTTATTCCACAAAATCCATTTCCCCATGCTACTTTTATAAAAGGGGTTTAGGTTAATTCAGATCGATTGAGATTTAATTATGGAGCTAATCATCATTTAAAACATATATAACTTACCTTGATTAGGGAAAACCCTACTTGCCTCAGAAGAGATATCGAGCTGGAATTGGTGAAGTAGAGAGAGGGAGAGGGATGGGGCATGTGCCCTTATGTTTCCTATCACCCATCAATAGTTGATATCATGAATCCAACAAAGCTAAAGCATCAAGTGGGTTTCATTGTTTATGTACACAAAATTTAGCACTACCTACCAAAAGGAGAGAGAGAGAGAGAGAGAGAGAGAGAGGAGGTGGTGGTACTGCCCTTAATTTTCAGACCAGGTCATATGTTTGCTCTCTCACCTGGTCCATCTCCCCATTATTGTCTCTCTCTCTCTGTCCTTTATTATATTGTCTGGCTAATTAATTATTAAGTTATATCTCCGTAAAACCCTAGCTTAATAACACACTAAAGACACGGGGGATGGCAAGCAGACAAGGGAGTAATTTCGCCAGGCTCTCAGACAAGTCACCACCTGCCAGGTCATTTACTATTAGGAAAAGTACCACGAGTATTTCGTGCCATAAAACAGCTGATTATCGTCATTAGTTACAAATGTTGTTGATTTTAGAAACATCAACAAACTCAGGGATATAAAACGGCTCGTATTTAAATCTTGCTTTCTCATTATGTAATTCTGAAGCTAAGAAAAATACCATTACATAGCCTTTTTCCATGGTTTTATAATTTATTTTATCCTAAATGTTCATATATATAGATATATATCCAAATGTTGAATGCATAAAAGCAGTTACCTTGTTCAACTGTATATATATTTATATCTTGAAGGGAGAACTTGATCTGGTGGGGTTTGGGATTTGAGGATTAGGGTTTGATCTAATCTTTAATTATTATATTAATATTAATCAGATGTATTAATAAAGCTTCAAAAGAATGAAACGTTGGTCCACTCAAACTCGATCGATTCACCTTTTCTCTCTCTCTCTCCCATATACACACACACACACACATATATATATATATATATATAATGTATGTATCGCGTCCCGCGGAGAGGATCTAATAGAGCTGTAATTGCATTATCTTTCGTGAATTTCATGATTATTCACTAGAAAATAAAATCTCATACATAAACGATACACGGACTACAACAAAATACTTTTGTCTCTCGTACGATTTATTCCATATTTTATTATTAATTTCGGAATCGATAAACAACTTTAACACGCATGGATTTATATCTTTTTTTCCTGAAAATGACATCATAGAACTAAGAAAATAACTGTACATATACAAAACAACAGATCTTACAACTACATTTGACTTGGAATTATTTAATATTATATAATCCCGATATAAAATTATACAATAAATATTGGGATTCAAGAGGCGGACGACATATTTGCCGTCCACGGATAAATACCTTTCCTATTTGGAAACAATTCCCAATTAATGTGGAACTTTGGACCAAACGTTTTTTTTTTAATTTATTTAATTATGCTATGCATGCAAGCTGTCGCCCTGACAGACACAGCCGCTAGATTCGCTGCGAGCTCTTACGATTTGCCACGTGGCAAAACGTTATCCACCCGATTTACTACACCTCCTTAAAAGGCCGAAACCCATTTGTGTGACCCACTGAAATACAAATCGAAAACTCGGCCTTTTTAAGTATATAATGGGCCGATTCCCATATTGGGCTAATTCCGAATACAAAGATTAAATCTTGGGTTTTTAAATATAAACATACTGTGGGTATTTTATTGGATACTCTCGCTTAAGCCACACTTACGTCCAATGCATGAACCGAAAATTTTACGTATATTCTCTATGGTACAGTGCTATATTATATGTTATTTTTTCATCCAAGTGCTATTTTATATGATATTTTTCAAAACCTAAATCGTTAAGCTTGTAATTTGTCAAATAATTGAATTTCCCACGATAAAAAATTTAAAAAAAAAACGAGGAATCAGTACAGCCCGTTTCAGACTAGGTTTAGTGAATTACGAAAACAAAAAATTAAAAAATAAATATATTCTGGTAATGGTATAACGACAAGAGCAAAAGGTCAAGACGGGGAGGAGAAACGGACAAACTGACGGTCAAAGAGACGGGAGAGAGAGAGAGAGCATAATACGGACAAAGACAAGTTCATTAAATCACTACAATGTTCTGTTCCAAACTGAAACAGCACAGTGCCCAGACATCAGTAACCCACTTTTGTACGATCAGAATCTAACCCCCCGAATTGGACGATCACATTTTTAAAAATATTTCTAATTTAACTTTTAAAAACGATAAAAAAAAAAAAATCTCTCAGTTGTGAAATTCAGCGACTGGGGGTGGAACTGAAACTTCCTCCGTTCTAAGATAACTATATACGTTAAAAGAGTTAAATCCGATGTCTATATTTTTGGTCTTCCTTCTTTTCACGTACACCCTTTTTATTTTTTTGTTTATATAATTTTATGAACGGAATTTTCATCCTCAACAATAACCTATATATATATATATATATATAAAGCCCTAGCTAGACTATCACGCTTGAATTTCAACATATTCTGCATTATAAGCTTCATATTATATTATTATTCACAACAGATGTAATATTATTCACAGCATATTTGGCATTATAAGTTTCATATTATATTGTCATTCACAATCTTGTCGTAGTTGGAGAATACCAATGAAAAAAAAATACAAGGGTTGGGGAGGGAGATCGTCATAAGCAGATTAAAAGGGCTCTGTTGGATAAAATAAAACTCCGCCTAAATATAATGAAAACAAATAATTTAAAAAAGGGTAGAAAAAAAATTCAAATATAAATATCATTTCAATTTTGACCAAACGACACTTTATAGATAGACCATAAGTTAGACCGTCGCTATCACTCACCATCAACTTCGCACCTCGATATACACTTCTATTTTATTTCAATTTCCCTCTTTTCTCTTTTTTTTTTTGGGGATCAATTTGATAATTAATAAACCATATGGAAAAACTCGAACCGACGTCGTTTTCACTTATTTTTCATCTGGTGAAGTCATGGACAAGACTGGCCCTGTCAGCCACGTTGAGCCTCCACGAGAGGAAAGGCACGGCGTTGGCTCTTCCTTCGGACTCACGGTGGTGGTAGTCGCCGGATACGTCGTCGATGAACCTTATCTCGCTGCCGTTTTGGTAACACTGCACTCTCTGCGACGGCGGCGCGTGGAGCCGCGACCCATTCCCCGTGGCATCATGGTAATTATAATTGGCGAAGTGGTCGGCACCACCGTTGACAGCCGTCGACCTTCTCTCTTCCTTCTTGAAACGAATACCACACGCATTGCATAGGGACTGCAAGAAGAATTAACCATCGCCATAATTACTATTACCATTTCTTCTTCCCCGGCCCCCTTGTTCATATTTATCCTTTTTTGTTTTCCAAATATAGACACAATCATATGGTAAAAAATCACGACAAAGTTTCTCACCGGAGAAAATTTCATCTATAGAAGCATATACCGAATGAAAGCAATCATTAAGGAAAACACCCTAAATGAATGAAATAATATACATATATATATAATATACACACGAAAAGTAGCTGAAAATGTTATATTGGTTGTCTCTGTATATCCCAGATGGATTTTTTTTTCATTTTTTTTTGTTTAGTTTTCTTTTGCGTTTGGACAAGGTTTTTTTTCCCTAAATAACAAACCATTTAAAGAAAAAAATGGAGCAGTAATACCTTGGGGCCTCTAGGGCCATTCCTCCAGAGAGGAGTAGAGGTGGTGTCGCAGTTAGCGCAGCGGCGAGCGAGGAGCATATCACCGCCGGAGCCGCCGCCGCCGGGATTGCCGGAGATGGTGGCGGAGGAGTGTTTATGGTGAATCAAGTCCCAGAAGTTGGAAATGCAGGAGGAGCTTCCGGATGAAGTGGAGTGTCTTCGCTTCTCGTCTTCCTCGCAGAGGCGCGTGGACGGAGTTCCCAGAGAGAGAGTGCAGTCCACTCCCGACGTCGAGTAGCAACAGTCCGTACAGTTGCCGTTCTTCTGCTCGAAAACGCCGCCGTTTTGCATCGACGAGAACTGGCCGGCGTTGCTGCCGTAGCAGCTTTGGCCATGGCGATGGAACATCCCGCACGAATTACAGTATTGCCCCTGCGTTGAACTACTGTACCTCTGCATCATCTCTCTCTACGAAACCCTAAAATTTAGTAAGTTCGAAATAAGCGTGCAAGGTAATGAACGTTGCTGTGAATTGCGAATGGAGATACGGGACTCACACCCTACATATATATATAGAGCATCAGAAATGTGTATGTGTACACTCACGCACGTATATCTTAAACATATAATTAAGTATCTATCATGTGGGGACACGGCTTTTTACGATCTTATGCAATTTTACTATTAATATTTATCTAGTGTTTGTGAGGAATTCGAAGGGACTAATGTTACTATTGATATATTTATATAGTGTTTGTATTGAATTTTAGATTCACATTTTGAAATATATCGGTCAACCGTGGAGGAAGAAATATACAGCGCCTGCATAGAAAATTATAATATGTAGCGGGAACGTATTGACGAACGAACGGTTCCTGTGAATGTCAACACTCTTAAGATTGGTATATACAGTATTTATTCAAGTTTCCAATGTTTATTAGGAAATATGAATAGTGTTAGAATCTTAATCCACGAGGACCAAACTCTAAATAAGTGAAAATAAAGATTTGACAATGACAGAAAACAAGGGAAGGGGATGGTCAAAAGAGAGCCCACGTGACAGGGGGAGGGGAGGGGTTCATCCTGCCAATCTCCGATCACGAGAACACAGCCTCTGCCCTCCGTCCGTATCTCTGCACATTTTCCCACCTCTCACGCGCCGTCACTGTAGCGCGTGTAATCTCTCTGGCATCTCCATCACACGTTTGTCTATCTGCTCATGCTCATGTGATCACGCCCCATCCTTGCCATACATAGCAACTGCCATTGAATTGTTTGTGTTGGATCTTCGTCAGTTTGATTCTTTCTCCCTTTCTTTTTCTATTTGGAATCTGAAATAATCGAAGTCAGTGTTAGGTGCATCTTTAAACATTTCAAATAATGTGAGTGAATTGGTAGGCCACTTGTGTTCCATACATAATTTACATCAATTATAATATAGCCGCTATTATATAAAAAACAAACCTATGGATGATATATATGTATATATCTCAGATATATGATGGTATATGCCACGTTATGTTTAATGTTTTGAATATATATAGAGAGAGAATTTGCCACTCATTTTGTGTATGAACCGCCAAAGGATAGATGTCTTTAATTCCATAACACATTATTAGTTTTTTTTAAATATATTATTCTGAATCAAGGTCTACACTAATTCCGGAATCTGAAGGATAACACACTATTAGTTATGTTCAACATATGCTACCATGGATCTTTTTTTAAAGTAATGCGATGTTTCTTTCAACTCGTTTTATGTTGTGTTTTTGAACTCAAAGTGTGGTGTCATATATAGGGGTGGCCATTTCGGTTATTAACCGAATAATCGAGCCGAACCGAACCGAATAAGACATAACCGTATCCGAACCGAACCTGACATCAAAACCGAACGGTTATGATTTACTTAAACCCGAAAAACCGAAACCGAAATCGAAACCGAACCGAACCGAATAAAAAATAACCGAAAAAACCGAGAGAATAACTGATATTTTCTTTGGAAAATTGAACTTTTTACCAAAACCGAACCGAACCCGAACCGAAAAATAACCGACCGAACCGAACCAGAATTTATATAAAAACCGAATGGTTATAGTTTTTCTATAACCGAAATAACCGAACCCGAATATAACCGAACCGAACCTGAACCGAAACCCGAATTGGCCACTCATATCCACATTAATTAGGTCGAGAATCTAAAATCATGAGCATCTAATTTCTGTCTAGGTTTTATTTACAAGTATACAATAGGGGTATAATGATCTCCATTGGATTTCGTAGGGTTTAGATTCACAAGGAACATATTGCATGGAAAAAGAAAAGCAAACGGGCGGGGAAGGAAACAAAAGATAAAAGGCAAAATCCCTCTATTGAAGTGAAGTATATGTACCATGTATTCAATCATCAATCGCGCACACACATATATACACATATACATATATATACACACACATATAACATGCACATGGTATGGTATCTAGTTCGCTTTTCTCTTATTTCCTGGCTTGACAAGAGAGATCCTGGTCTTGAAACAGGATGGGTCAAAGATGGAGACTCTATAAAGGAAAGGTCAAAGATCTAATAATACTCCCCATAAAAATCATCTTCAACCATAGAAAGGAAAGCTTTTGGCCCCACCCATATAATCATATATCATTATACCACAAGAAAAATTTCCCTACCCTCACCATCTTAGATGCTAATATATCATTTTTAAAAAATACAAAGGTAAGAAAATAGGAAAGCATTAACAAAAAAAAAAATAAAAATAGGTAAGATACATATATATATGAATATGAATATGAATACTGTTCTATATACAAAAAAGATGATTCATCGTGGAACTACGTATAATAATCTCATGATGATTTCTTTGTCGATAAATTGGTTTGAAATTAGCTTTTCGAAGAAGGACCATAACACTAGTGTAAGATAATTTCATATTTTCAGATATTTGACTTTATAAATAATACTTTTGATTCTATGATGAATTATCTATCAAAGAAACAAATTAATATTAAAAACTCATAAACCTACAAATTACATGAGCCTCACATTATTTATTTCTCACAAATTGGTACGTAAACACGATCCGAATGTATGGTCAACACAAAAATGGACCGATCTTATGCAATAAAAGATATTATTACAGCAAGTGTACAAAAAGACTAAAAAGAACACGAAATTGAAAGAAGAGAGAATCAGATCGTCTTGAGATTGCTGAAACTTAGTTCGGGTTCGGGACGACCCACCACTTTCCAAAAGATGCTCTGTCTCTATTATTAAAAACCTATATATGTTAATACAAAATAAATGTATATATTGGTCTTATACACTTGTATATATTATGCAAATCATAAACTGTGATTAGTCCAAGACGCTGAGGGATACGTTTTGCCACCACATGCAAGCTAAGTGATGATTCATCTGTCCCCTCGCACGGCCCAAGCACCCGTGACCCTTACGCTCCCCTTCATCAGCGGCGCGTTTTCACCACGCTCGAGTGAAGCGCGTGATTCGCGTTTACGAGAAGACCATGCAACTATGCAGTCATTTTTGTTGTTGCAATTATAACCCAAGTTCTGCTTTATTTGCAAAACCGTTTTCTACTTCAAATTAGGATGAGACGCAAAATAGGCGAAGAAATTGTTCGTATTAGTTTACAGGGAATCATTTTTTAGCCATTATGATATTGATTGCTTTGTAATATAAATATACTGAAATTGAATCTTCTATGGATATTGTTTGAATAAAAACACATTATAAACCGATTTATCGCATTTGTTTCTAAATAAATAAAAAATTCTATAATTTGTTGGGCCAATGTGAAATACTGAATCATGATATGTATAAAATTTTGGTAATTTGTAAAAAAATAAAATCAGACGAATAAAAAAAGGTTGCAACATATGGGCATTTCCGTAAAACGGAAAACGTAGCCCAAAAAAACCGCCTTGTAGTCGGATACGCGAGCGAGAAAACAACACGGTGTTTTAATACCGACGCAAATGATGACGTTAGCTCGTTGGATTTAGTGGGACCCACCATACATTGCGAGTTCCGAGGAAAAAGGCGAGACAGACGAATAAAATTAATGATTAATCCGTTTGTCGCTAATCAGGGTGCCACGTGGACACAGCTTGCGAGTGAATTCTCCGCACGCGTGCAACGCACGGGCGAGCCAAGCAAATGATAGTTTATTAGATTAATGTAATATTATGTTTAATTTCTTGTTGGGCACATGAATTTAAAATGGGACATTCCTCAAAAGTTACAAAATCACAACTGCAATGCCTTTCCCTTTCGGAGGATTTTCGCTTTCTCCTTTTCATTTTTTTATTGCTGGTGCAGTTTGAATAAATCATCTATAAATAATATAAATGCATATGCATGTTCCAACGTTAGTGAAAAATAAAATAAAAGATTAGAAAAAAAATGCAAATGTGGGAGGGGGTCCAACGTTAGTGAAAAGGGCAAAAGTGGAAAAAGAAAATGTTGGACCGAGGAGAGGAACTGAATTGCCCCCAAGAGTGGGAAGAAGGATCTCATCAATCAACAAAGGTTATCTAAACGGTCCACAGTGTGTTTGCCTGACCACTTCTCGATTGAGCACAAATGCGTACGTCGGCTTTGCTACTGTATCTCCTTTTACCAACCAATTTCATCACTTCCACACGTTACTTCGAGTTTCACTTTATGTCCTTTTGTCTTGGATACGTTTCCATTCTTTTAATATTCCAATATTTTATAGAAAAAATGGAAATTTTTTGCAAATTCCATGTACAAACGTACACACATACGTATTTGGAATGGGGGAAAATAAGATATTCTTAGACATTCGTATCCCTCTTTTAGTATATGAAATAATATCCATATATACCTCATTGTCATTGTGAAAAAAGAAGAATGTACAGATTGTGAAAGCAAATTCAAAATTCAAACACATGTAGCATCCTCAAATGGTAGTATATGTGATTGTGTGTGTGTATATATATATATATATATAAGAAAACGAGATTACACAGCTGGAAAGACGTGGACCGAAGAAGCTCCGCATAGTATTAGAAATGCAAAGGAAATCGATTTTCAAAGGTGGAATGAATGATATGGGTACGTTGAGAATGATGCATCTCGTGGACCACCAACCCCGTTCTGTCAGTCCCATCGAGTTATGCTTTGACTCGTCCGCAACGCACTGCTCGCCAGTTTATGTTTACAAACATAAACATCATGCCGTTTTCGATCAATCGAAACAGCAAGTGGTTCCTGTGCGCTAAAGTGATTCTACGTCCCCGGCTCCAAAAAGAGTCTCGGGCCCGTCGTATGTAATGTCAGTATACTCTAGGCTCAGATCTAGATCCAGTGGCTTGCTTATAGATAGACAATTCACAGAGGATTAATCAAACCCTTTAGAATTGTACAATCGATGGGAGCGATTGAAACAAATGGGCCAAGTACTCCACCAATAATAAGGTGCAGAACAAACAAAACAGCATACCTAAATTAGAAACCATGATAGGTTTGATGAATGTGATGGATGAGCATAAGAAGAAGGCTGAAAGAGATGATGGGCTGAATCGTGCGATCCTATAGACAGAAGTTTGTCTTCTTCACCGGGAACGGCTGTTGTTGCAGACCGTGCATTAGCGTACGGTTCTGTTCTGTCTTTAGCTCGAATTTCCAAGGCCAAGATCTTCGACTACAAACCAATAAATCGGAAAAAGACCACGAAAACTTTTACATCTCAAGAGTCTGTATTTCTGCTTGATGCTCTGAAGCTATCGGCCACGCCACCCGGACACAGACTTGGGGACAAGCGAAATTGAGTTAGAGGCGGCATCTAATCTGTACCAATGAACAAAAGTTTAGCCACCCTATTCATTTCTATGCATACACACCACAAATCCACACAGCAGTAGAAGAAAGTGATAGAGAGAGAGTAAAGGGATTACTTGGATATATCTTCAACAGCCTTCATGACTTCACTGGAACTTGTTTCTAGCACCTGTCCTCCAAACACAATTTCATCTAACACTGTTTGCATCTGCAACCCGGAAAAACTGCGGGTTCAGTTCCAACTTGACATTGGTGTAATGTGGACAAAGCATAACATTAACACATTCCAATTCGTTTTGTGTCTTTAAAAAATATCGATTGTACTTTCAACAGCTCAAATTTGTATGATTTCGACCACGCGGCTGCTACATCACCTCGTGTAAGAACATTACCTTGCTGTAATTGAACACGATATCCAGCTCACATACATTGCTGAAGCATTTGTCCAATGTTTCAACAAGAACTGGAAGCAGAAGAATCAAAACAAAACAAGGTCAGCATGCCAGTGAATCGACATTTACTTCTTTTTATCAGAACTCAAAAACAATTGGAAGAGAATAAAGATAAACAATTTGAATGTAAGCTCGGGCAAAGACAAGCTATGAATGAGTAGCTTGTGGGAGGCCCCAGTGGGTATCCCTTATTCGAAATTAGTTGCCACTGCCAGTTGCCGAAACAGACTACAGAGAAGAACAAATGACATAGGAGAAGAAAACAAGCAAGTATGTTCAAAAGGAAGATCACCACTATAATCCCACAAAGCTGTTACAATGGAAGGAGCATGCAAAGCAAGCTAATAAAAATCCTTAGCTGGAATCCAAACCATACCTTGTATCAGATCAAGCATTGCGAGCTCATTTTCCGAGCTATCAAACACAAGCACAAAGTAGAGAGTAGCATAGTGCTTGTACACAAGCCGAGATTCCTGCACATATTCGAACACAACAAAGAAATGACTTCCGGGTCGATCCCGAAATTGCTAAAACTGGAAAAAGAACTGAGCTATGTAATTAACATAAGTTTCAGCAGATCAGACCACATTCTCTCTCGAGGGACGCTCAAAGACATATTGTTCACAGAAACATCAGAATTGCAAAGGCCTTAAAAAGAGTTGAGAAGACATTACCGGGCCAAAAAATGAATCGGCCTCCAGAAAGTTGCTTACATTCTCAGGTCTACTGCACAATACTGTATGAGATTTTTTTTAAAAAAAAAAAAAAGTGGCAACGAGAGAATCATGAGATTCAAACGAAAACATCGTACAGAAGCCCGAACGAGGCATAAAAGCATAATCCAGGATTCTGAGAGATTTTACACAATTGAAGGGAAGAGAACCTGAAAAGACGCTGCGGATGAGCTCCTGCTGCTTCTCCACGGGCTGTAAACCAAATCCCTTGAGAAAATCGAGATTTAAAGGATCGATCGCCATCAGAAGAATTCTCAAAACACCGTACCTGGAAATCGTAGAATTTGGCAAGACGAGGTTTGCCTTGTGTATTCATCACCATCACCGCCTTTATCATTTTGACGACCTCGCCCACCTCTCTCTCTCTCTCCCTCCGTCTTCCCCCAAATTCTCTATCGTTCCCCGGTGATAATCTCACCGTCCACCGATCCACTAACCTGAAAACCGCCGTTATGAATTGTAACCCTCTGACTAAGCCAGAGACTTCCTCCGAAACATATTAAATGGAGCCTCTTGGTCAAGCCCATTTTGAGTAAGCCCAATTTTCCAAGCCCAAAAAGGATATCCATATTATTGACAACGCCTGAAACCCTAATCATCATCCTATAAATGCGTCGTTTCTTCGAACGAGTACCACATCAGTTCGGTAGCTCTGAGTAAAAACCCTAATCAGACCTCAGGCGGTGTTAATTCCTCTGGTCTACTCTGTTCTTCCTTTGTTCCGTTTCATGCGGTGTCGAATTCCGGTTCCTAACTCTCTCTGCTTTGGTTTCCTATCGATTTTTCAGGAGGATGGATATTTGACGAGTCCTGAATGGTGTTTTTAATTTTGTTCATTCTGCATTGTTTTCCTCTTCATTCTCTCTCTAAGATTTATATTATCTACGAATAATGGAAGGGTTTCTCTGTGATGAACAAACGAATAGATGACGAGTCCGATCTATCCATTCTTACAATCATGAGGACGAATCGAGGCATTTGTCTGAGGGGAACCCACTATTCTGTTTCTCCGGTTTTTTTCCTTGAAATTGAGAATCTTTTATTGGATGATGTTGAAGAGGTTGTGTGAACAATGTGGAAAGACGAACGAATGGCATGGTGATGAATGTTTTATTGTCATCTGATTCACCTTTGATGAATCATATAACCTCCTACTCATTCTGAATGCCTTGGTCTCTTGAATTCTGTGTTCTTTTTAATCTGGAACATAGATAATGAAATCAATTCTGGGTTCCACAGCAGAATTCTGTGGTGGAACGTTAGCACCAACATGTTCTTAATGTTGCTCGAGCTTTATTTTTTCAATCCAAAATTCCTTTGGTTTATTGGGGTGATTGTGTTTTGACATCAGTTTATCTTATAAATCGCACACCAACTCCATTGTTACACAATAAAACTCCTTATGAAGTTCTTCTTGGTGTTAAACCAGATTATTCTCATCTGAGGGTGTTTGGTTGCTTATGCTATGTCTCTACTCTTCTAAAAGACAGGCATAAGTTCTCACCTAGGGCTGTACCCTGTGTGTTTTTAGGATATCCAAGTGGTTATAAGGGCTATAAAGTGCTTAATCTGCAGACCAACATGGTTTCAGTTTCTCGAAATGTTGTGTTTTATGAGACTCTGTTTCCTTTTCATTCTCAGTCCTCATCTATTTCTGTTGGTTCTGATTCTAATTTTCCTCTACCATCCCCTTTTTTTTATGATACATTTGTCCCACATGCCTCCTCTTCTACTTCTATTTCTTCTGAAATTGTTTTTCCTCCTGCTGATAATGTGGTTGATACTTCAGAAATACCTGTTATATCAGATTATAGTGCTAGGCCACACAGACAGACTAAAACACCAGCATACCTATCAGATTACCATTGTTACCTTTTAACCAAACAGACACCACCTCCTCTTCCCCTAAATACACCTTACCTTTTACAGAAATGCCTTACATATGACCGTCTAAACCCCACATACAGAAACTTCATCCTTCAAATTTCTTCTACCAATGAACCTAGTACCTATTCACAGGCTGTGAAATCGGATGATTGGAAAGAGGCTATGAAGCTTGAGTTGAATGCTTTGTCTAGAACTCAGACCTGGACAATCTGTCAATTGCCTGAAGGAAAACATCCAATATGTTGTAAATGGGTGTTTAAGATAAAATATAACCCTGATGGTACCATAGAAAGGCACAAAGCTAGATTGGTGGCTAAAGGTTATACTCAACAAGAAGGAATTGATTATTTGGAAACTTTTAGTCCGGTTGCAAAGATGACCACTGTTCGAGTTTTGTTAGCTTTGGCAGCGGCTAATAACTGGTTATTGCAACAAATGGATGTTTCTAATGCCTTTCTTAATGGTGATCTCGATGAAGAGATATACATGACATTACCACAGGGATATGCTGAGCTTAAAGGGGAGAATATACCTGCTGGTTCTGTCTGTAAATTACAGAAGTTCCTTTATGGTTTAAAACAAGCTAGTCGACAGTGGAATCAGAAGCTTTCTCAGGTTCTTTTGGAGGCTGGTTACGTTCAATTTTTTGCGGATTCTTCTCTGTTTACATGTAAAAAGGGTACTTCCTTTGTGGCAGCTCTGATCTACGTTGATGATATACTTCTTACTGGTAATGATGCTGCATTAATTGATTCCTTGAAGACTTTTCTGAGTTCTAAATTTCAGATTAAGGACTTAGGGGAGCTTAAATATTTTCTGGGTCTTGAGGTGGCTAGGTCACAGCAAGGGTTATATGTTTGTCAGAGGAAGTATACACTTGGATTACTTGAGGAGTTTGGAATGTTAGGTTGTAAACCTATAGCTACTCCGATGGACGTCACACAGAAGTTATCTTTGGAATCTGGTGATATATTGGATGATCCGAGTGTGTATAGGAAGTTGATAGGAAAGTTAATATATTTGTCTATTACTAGGCCAGATATTTGCTTTTCTGTAAACAAGTTAAGTCAGTATATGGCTAATCCAAGGTCTGATCATCTTCAGGCAGGAATGAGAGTTTTGAGATATCTGAAGAATGATCCTTCTCAAGGATTATTATATGCTGCGAAATCTGATGTTTCCTTGAGTGCTTATTGTGACGCAGATTGGGCTGCTTGCCCTGATTCCCGACGTTCTGTCACGGGCTTTTGTGTGTTTCTTGGCTCTTCTATGGTGTCATGGAAAGCAAAGAAACATGTGACAATCTCTCGGAGTTCTTCTGAAGCAGAGTACAGATCGATGGCTCAGACTTGTTGTGAACTGGTTGGGATCAGTTCATTGCTTAGAGACTTATCTGTTTCATATCCGACTCCAATTCCGCTCTTTTGTGATAATCAGTCTGCTATTCATATAGCCAATAATCCGGTTTTTCATGAAAGAACGAAACATATAGAGTTGGATTGTCACTACGTGCGAGAGCAGCTGAAAGCGGGTTTTGTGAAGCCTTTTACATGTTGGAAGCAAGGACCAGATTGCTGACATTCTTACTAAAGCTTCCAGCATTGATCAGTTTCGTTATCTATTGGGCAAGATGGGAATACATCATCTCTATTCTCCATCAAGGGGAGTATTAGAGAGTATTTTCTCAGTCTTTGGTTTAGTTGGTTTAGCTGTTGGTTTAGTATTTTTCGGTTATATTTTTGAATATTTTCATTTTCCGGCTTTCTACTTTAGCTTGTATATGAACTTCGTTCTGTTTTCATTTTTGATTTTTATGAGAATATGAGAAAATTTCCACAGCTCTCTCTCGATTCTCAAAGTTCATCTTCAGTTTTCGTTTTTGATTCTCGATTTCTTGAGTTTGATACAGAATAAAAAAATGTGTTTTAGCAACATCATATATAAGATGCGACTTTGTCTGGCAATCACCGATCTGTTTATCTTCAATTTATTTTATGCTTTAGTGAAGCTGGAAGATGGTAAGGGTATGTAAATGATGACGCCGGTAATTCCGGCTCTCTATCTAGATCTAAATCTGCTGCGAAATTAGAAATAAGGCCTATTAGCTCAGTTGGTTAGAGCGTCGCGCTAATAACGCGAAGGTCGCAGGTTCGAAACCTGCATGGGCCATTTTGTATTTGTTTTCAACTACAATTTTGGAATTTCCACGTCATCATCCCTACTGAGACAGTCTCTATTGTCCGCTTAGGATCTCGCCACGTGGCAAACATAGGACCAGGTATTCTCTGAAACGAATCGATATCTCTCTGTCCCGCGGCGCTCATCTCCGTTGTCAAGTCCTTCAGTCTTGAATTTTGCCTTTGTCGTTCACGTGCTGTCGTGATCTCGACAACGGAGATATTATGATTTATAGTTTGAAATCAGATCATGAAGGGAGACGTAAACGGGGAGGTTAATGGAACTGGAACAGCGAGCCAGTGGCCAACGATCGACCGTGGCTCGGGGAAATTCCTGGTGCCATTTCACCGTGGCTCGTCCTTGTTGGACCCAAGGGCCTGTGGTGGGTCCACCGGCTACGACAGTGCCGTGGGAGAACATCAAGAACGGTGCATCCTCTACAGGAGAGATCCCACCAGAGACGACAAAGAGCAAACCAGAGACGGGAGATTGATATGATATTGACTTGGGTGCCAAGTCAACTAAGGATGTCACGATCCAAGGGATTTGGTACGGTCAGCTCGATTGATATTATGGTACATATAGACTCTCGATTTGATTTTTAACATATTCGAAGGTTGTCCGTTAATTCTATCAATTAGAAAGCCTGCGAAAAGTGAGGCATTGTGATATATACGGATTATTATAATCGTGAAAAGCGTTTGTTTTCATGGCGTAATCCATGGAGCATGCATGACATTACCGCTCTTTTGACGGCTACTCTGTCATCGTTAAACCCCTTCGTCCACACGCGAGAGTTCTAGCCATTGTTCTTTGATGGAGATCTTGTAAGCAATGAAGCAATACCCTCCATAGTTTATTTTGTCTTCCTGAGAATCAAGGTTTCATTCTTGACCTGCTGCATGTAGAAACTATTTGCGTGTGTATACATATAGAACACATGTGCAGGCTTAGCGCATGCGGAACAAGGATTGTGTTGCAACTGAAACTGGATGAAGTGTTGGAGAAACAAGAACTGAGTCTGAAGTTTGTTACCAAAATTGTGTCAGAAAACAGTCAAGGATATAGGTCCATTGTTGTTGTTAGATACTCATATATAAACCTAGACCAAGTTAATATTATATGTATATTCAGATGTGTATATATATATATATATATGTTACATTGGATATTTAGCATTTTGTACGTGCGGCATTCTATGAAATCAATGTTTGGTCAAGATCTTTCAAGTAGAGAATGTTTATTTGGACGGATTCGCTCGAAAAATTGCCCACAAGACTTAGTTTTTTTTTTTTTTTTTTTTTTTTCCATAATTGTAGAGATATAATTTCTTCTTATTGGTTTGTATCGAAATCGGTCACTATTATCAATTAACACCAAATAATATGATGGACGGTAAATGTCTCATTTCTGATATAAGCATTTCATGAAATAAAATCTTTTTGGCCGCTAACATCTCTAATAATCACTGAAGAACCATCCATCATCTCTGTAAAGAAATTTAATGTCATGCCTCTATAAAAAAAACGTGATTAAGCCAAGACTAGTGAAAATAACTTGATTTAATTATATTTATTTTATTTCCATTATAATATGTAATGTGCATGGGGAACGAATATTAAAGAAAATAGTTGGTCTCCAAGTGGTCTTTATATATAGAGACATGTAAAGAACATTCAACTCTCATACGGGATGGGCGTGGGACAGAACATACACTGCGAAACATTTTTATATTATTTCTCATGATTACTAATTAGATCGTGTGATTTCGGGGGTAATAATTCTTTTATTTAATTAGGGGGATCAGATTCATCTCAGATAAAAATTATTTTTCACTCACCAAATTTCACAGATAGTAATCGTATAGTTTCATACAAAACTATTTAAAATATGTTTGGAGCTATGCACAAAATACAAAATTTATTTATTTTTATTACAAAAATATTAATTTTAATTTTAAGATAATTAAATATAATTTTTTTTATAAATGTTATTAAAATATTGATATAAATAATTGTGATGACAATATTATTATTTGGAATAACAAATAGTTATAATTTATGATTAAATGATATAAAAAAAGAAAATAAATATTTAATATTGTTGTGGATTCCATTTTAGATTTATAGAAAAAAAAATATAATTATTGATTAATAAATTTAAAGATTATTACTTTCATAGATGGCGACCATAAATGATGGTATATAACTTAAAAAATATTTATTAATTGATCATTACGCACAAATTATCAATGGTTAAAAAAACGTTGTTTTAATTTGTTATTAAATATTAGTTTTAATTAAATGTTATTTTAAACTATAAATTCACTTAGAAAATTATTTTAAAAAAAGATAGGGCCCACCTGGTTTTGGAGTGTAATGTATAAAAATATTTATTAATTGAGATAAAATTAACAGTTAAAAAAGTTGTTGTTTTAACTTTTTATTAAATATTATTTTAAATTATAAATATACTTAAAGTTGTTTTAAAAAATGGACCCTACCTAATTGTGGGATGTGTTCAACTACTCCAGTTGCACATGAAACGTCTCTCTGGTTTTATAGATACCGACCATGTGTATAAGCGTATTCAAAAAAATATCGATATATGGAAATTAGTAGGGGTGGACACGGATCGAATATCTGTGATTTTTGAGATATCCGTATCCGTATCCGATCCGCATAAATACTCGATTTTATTATCCGTATCCAATCCGTAATTTACGGATATCCTAAATTTCGGATATCCGTAAATATCACGGATATTTGCGAATATCCGTATCCGACATAAAAATTATAAAAATTAAATTCAAATTTAAATAACAATTTTAAATATAAAATAAAATATATAAGTTATTTAATATAAATGTTATTCATAATTTAAAATTCATAATTTAAATATTTTAAATCAATTCAAATACAAATATAATCATAATCTATTATATACAAATATATTGAAAGTTCAAATTCAAAAATTAAAAATAATAAATTTTAATATTCAAAAGATTAAATATTCTAAATCTCAATATATACAAAATATTTATTGAATATACATATAAAATATGTAAGTATAAAACATTTTAAATTTTTATAGCAAATTATTTTTATATTTAATAATATTATTAATTAGTACGGATCGGATCGGATATGTCGGATAATTCGAATTTGATATCCGTATCCGATCCGTATCCGACAAATATTTCAAACTAAATATCCGTATCCGATCCGTAAACTCCGGATATCCGAATTTTCGATTCGGATACAGATCGGATAACGGATCGGTTCGGTTTTTCCGGATATTATGCCCACCCCTATTAATTATATATATTAATTAAAAAAATTAATGTTCTGATACACAATGTATATTGCATAAAATAACAAGAATTTCGATTTGGAGATTGTATCAACAGAAATATCTCCCTCGATCCACGAAACGCCAAAATGAAATTGCGTGAGCAGTTTTATATTACAGTTCACTGCTAACAAAATTTTTTGTCTCCTAACTTGAGCCCATATAAGCAAGTATTGGGAATATATGTATAGCGTCATATCACAAGGTGAATGGGGTCCGACTGATTCCACGTATGGATCGCAAAAGGATAAAAACAAGATAGCAGCACTTTTCTTTAATTATTATCTTTAAATATAATATTTTTGGTAATTTTAAATATAATAACTTATCACATACAAAAATATATTTAAGCGGATACATGGGAGATTCTAAGTCCTACACGAATCATAAGAATTATTCTGTTATTGTTATTTGTAGTGGATACCAATTACAGCTAAGTTTACGAACTATTTCATACATAATAATATATATTAAGCGATTCAAATATCTAATATACATTATATTATACTCCTATTGCAACCCGAATAGAAAAAAATGGTCACTCAATTACTTTGGGTAATGCTTTTGTTTTGTTGTTAATTACATGGATCCTATTGGTGTGAATGATATGGTCCCATTTAATTAATACGCAACACGCGGAATTAAAATAATAATATAAGGTAATACGTAGTACTAAAGGCCCGAATCTCACAGTGGATGATCCATGCTCCAACAGAATCCAGAACAGACTCTTATGGGACCCACAGCCCACATGGACATGACTCTTGTCCCAGTTGCGCTCGGGCCCTACCCCACCCCACTCGCCGGATGACGGAACCTCCTGCCACGTGTCGTTCATTTGTCACGTGGCATCCGTCCCCTCCGACACCTCAACTCTCCCTGTCCCCTTTGTTGCCACGTTTTCCTTTTTAGTTATTTTCCGAATTACCCCTGAGGTTCATGTACATGTCATCTCAATCCCGTTTTAGCGGGGTTCTGTTGTAGCCAATCCGTCACCCGGGAACTTGTATTGGCTGTGATGCCTTGTTGCTCTCACTAAAAGACAAGAATCCGACGTGGACAAACTTTTCGAATCACGAGGCTGTCTTCTTCTACGTCCTCTTCGCGTATATAAGCATGCACAAGAGTTACCTCCCACTTCACAACACACATCTCATTTCCTCTGCAACTAAACAGTCACGAGTCAACTCGGCCAGTCACGGTTAAAAAATCTAAGAAAATGGGAGCTTGCGGTTCACGTCCAGCGAGGAGGAGGGGCACGGCCAAGCTGATTTTTCCAGACGAGACGTTGCAGGAATTCTCGTCACCGGTGAAGGTGTCGCAGATTCTGCAGAATAACCCGACGTGCTTCGTCTGCAACTCCGACGATATGGAATTCGACGAAGCCGTTCCGGCTGTCACCGGCGGCGAAGCCCTCAGGCCTGGCCAGTTGTACTTCGTTCTACCGCTGGCGTGGCTCAACCACCCTCTCCGACCGGAGGAAATGGCAGCGCTGGCCGTCAAAGCAAGCTCGGCGTTGGCCAATAACGGCGGCGGCGGCTGGGATGAGAACTGGGCCTGCTGCGAAGACGGCTCTTTCTCCGACGGGGACACTAAGGGAGAGAGAGTGAGAGGCAACAGCAACAACACCGTCAACGGAGGTTGCCGGAATGGGAAGAACGTGAAGCTGAGCACCGTTCGGGAGTAGGTGCAGTTTGGTAATTCGTGAGGTTTGAAAATCGTCCGACGTCTAAAACAGTTGTTAGAGAGAGAGAGAGAGTTTGACTTTTTCCAGATTGAGTAGTTTCGTAGAAGTCGTCAAAATCAGCAGTTTCAGTTCACGGTCTAAATGCGTGGCTTAGTTGGTCAACGCACGTAGTGGTTCGTATTTCATTTACGTATTTGCCCCCTTGCATGTGTATAAATAATATTTAAATTTTAGGCAAAGGTCTTCTAAGACATCGATCTTTTTTTAAAACAAGTAAACCGTTGACGAGAGAGTGCCCACTTAAATAAGATCGCCATAACCGGAATTGAACACGTTTTTTTTTTTGGGTAAATTGAAACAGGACTTGCTAAAAAGACAAACCAAACAAATTAACACTATTAACTGTTAAATCGACACCAAACCGAATCCATCCTAGTTTTGTTTTGACATAAAATTCGGGAACGATGGTAGGTTATACCAAAATCCAAGATGAACGTTCACGCCACATAATTAACGGGTCTGAAATTACTTTTTCCAAGTGAGATAAAAATATGAAAGAAAAAAGAAATATTTATTGTTGTATATTTAAGTTTATATTATACACGTAATCAAGTGATACGAATGAACGTACGTAAGATGATTTAGCACCCTAACTTTTGGTGGTTCTCTCGTGATATTCGCATTTAAGATATTAATGGGCCTGCACAAATAATGGGCCGAGTAAATCAGGCCGTTGCCCATATTGAAACGAGCGATCCGAGAAAGCTTTGCGACAGTAACAATAAATGCGTGTCACATGGACGCACCAGACTTCCTGACAGGCTCACCAAGTCAATCAAACTCACGTGCCATTGTGCTCCCCATATCGAACTCTATTATTTTTTGTATCGCTGGCAAATCCTATCGATTCATGATTTAGCTATTTTAAATACTGTTTTTTGTATATATTTATGGCATCTAATTATAAAATTTTATTTCGTCACGAACCAGTTGAATCGACCGCAGATACATAATCGTACTTTATTATTTGGATATTATTACGGTGGAACAAATCAATCTCTTAGTGCTACGCCGCACTTCTTCATTCATAGAAGAAACACCAGATTTATAACCTAAGTTCACCTATCATCAATCTTTTTACTTTTTAGGGTGGAATAATTATTATATTATCAACCTTTAGTTTAAATCCGGATTCGAGTCTAATTTTTTTTTTAAATATAGTTGATTCGTGATAAATTTTCGAATTATAAAAAAACCCAAAAAATAAAAATAAAAGAAGAAGAAATGATACTTTTACTGAACATCTATAAGAACCAGTTTGACTATCATGTTCCGAACCACAAACTCAGAGAGACCAAAATGGCTAATTACATCATCCTGGCGGCGCTTCTAGCTCTAGCCACGTCCCACGACTGCGCCGCCATCTCCGCCGCATCGCCGCCGAAAAAACCCAATCCCACGACTCCTCCTCCTCCGGCTCTCTCCGCCGCGGAAAAGGAATTCCTGGAGGCCCACAACGAGGCGAGAGCCGCCGTGGGAGTGGCGGCGCTCCGATGGTTTAGTTTAAATCCGGATTCGAGTCTAATTTTTTTTTTAAATATAGTTGATTCGTGATAAATTTTCGAATTATAAAAAAACCCAAAAAATAAAAATAAAAGAAGAAGAAATGATACTTTTACTGAACATCTATAAGAACCAGTTTGACTATCATGTTCCGAACCACAAACTCAGAGAGACCAAAATGGCTAATTACATCATCCTGGCGGCGCTTCTAGCTCTAGCCACGTCCCACGACTGCGCCGCCATCTCCGCCGCATCGCCGCCGAAAAAACCCAATCCCACGACTCCTCCTCCTCCGGCTCTCTCCGCCGCGGAAAAGGAATTCCTGGAGGCCCACAACGAGGCGAGAGCCGCCGTGGGAGTGGCGGCGCTCAGATGGAGCCAAGCCCTGGCCACGGCGGTGAGCCGGGTCGCTAGGTACCAGCGGAACCAGAAGAGGTGCGAGTTCGCGAGCCTTAACCCGGGAAAGTACGGAGCGAACCAGCTATGGGCGAAGGGCATGGACGTGGCGCCACGTCTGGCCGTGGAGACGTGGGTGAAGGAGAAGCAGTTCTACGACTATCGAACCAACACGTGCGGTGGCAACCATAGTTGCGGTGTGTACAAGCAGGTGGTGTGGAGAAATTCCAAGGAGCTCGGCTGTGCTCAGGCCACGTGTCCCAACGACTCGACCATCCTCACCATTTGTTTCTATAACCCTCCCGGTAATATCGTCGGTCAAAAACCCTACTAGCATCCCTTAGTTTTTGTTGTGTATTTATAAACTTGGGAATTGAGTTTATGGGTTCCTCCTCATATATATATATATATGTTCTTTGATCAATATATGAGTTGATTCACGTAGGAACTGCGAGAAAAATAATTAAATTACAAAAACTGTACAACAAAGAAAACGAATCCACAATCCGGACATGAAGTGTGCATAATTCATTCACAGAACACCTACGAGAAACAAAAAATTACTATACAAAGACTTTGCTCGAGTCGAGGCATCAGACAAGCCGAAGAACTCCCACGTTTCAATGACATTACATATAATACAGAGACAAGAAAAAATCGTCGCCGGATTGTCGGATCTTCCCATCCTGTCCGAAAAGAGTATGAACAAAAACCTCCATAGCCTCAAGAATGGCGTCTCATCTCACAGCCTCTCTGGAAATCAAATACCTGAATGAAAAGCTGTGAGGGGTCCACTCCACGGCCTTGCTTGATTTCTTGACGCACTTTCTTGAAGATTCGGATAAACTCTGATGGACCATTTCCATCAAACCTGCCGCCGGGCATAGGCCTGATTCCTTTGCGAACCTCTCCACGAGCTTCGGCAGTACGATCTTCTGGTTCCGTACGCCTAAGCTCGCTCTTATGTACTCTTCTTTCGCCATTTCCAGTTCTTGATGGATCCTTTTCGGTGTGTATACACGTACTGCTGGGTCGGAGTGGCTGCCTGAGGAAAGCGCAAAGTGGAGGAGAGGCTCGGGACGTTCGATCGCGAATTCTAACCGTTCATCCCCTCCTCTGAGTTTCCTTGAGGCAAACAGTAACCTTAGCCACTGCAAGAAAAAAGAGAAAGCATTCATTAAGCTCGTGCGCCACATATATATATATATGGATGGATGGATGTACGTATGCGTGTCATTATGTTCTTAAGGGTTTGTCTCTAAGCACCTGTCCAGGACGAGACATTCTGCATCCAAGTAGCGAACTCTGTATGGCGTCTGCACTAACTGTGTGGCCACCGACATTATATGCAGCCTGACCAATTCAAAGAAACATGATACTTGTTTAGGATTATGATATAACAGGTGAAAACAGATGGGGAGCTTGTGAATGGAACCACCTTCAGTAGCAGAAGAACTCTCTTCACGTTGTTCTTCTGGATCCCATAAGCTAAAAATGCCTAACAAGATTGCAGGGAATCGCATTAACAATCTCTTGCAAGATCTTGAAAATGATATATGGATGGTCGAAAGAGAGAGTTACATGCATCACAAGAGCGTTGTGCACGTTTATCCAAAAAGCTAGCTTCTCTTCATGTTTCAACTTCCTCGGATCGACCTCTTCCAGTCTACCGATGAGCGATCTGCAAGAGTTTACTACATTATAACCATCGGGAATTCACACTAACAATGTATTTATCGAAAACCCGCTATTTGTATTTAAGACTCACTTGAAATCCTGGAGAAGATCTTCAACCTCACTGGCCTTTTTGGCATCTCGGTAGATGCAAAGAACTTCAACCATGGTGCTATAAGGTCCACTGAACTCCTTGAGCCCTTCTACATGAAAAGGGTTATCTAACCGTACATCAAAAGATGTATCGTACTGGTCACAAGGGGAAAACACGCTCGATGAGCTTGGAGATGAAAGGCCTTGAAACACAGAGGGTGGCTTAGCAAGCTTGCAGTATATGGCTGACATACACCTGATCATATCCTCGGACAACTTGTTGGCTGTCTCTGGAACATGATCCGAGATGCGGGTCCCAAGATGTTCAGCCAGACTGATTAGATTTCCCCCCTCCCGTGGATACTGTTAAGACAAGAAACACAAAAATGGCTACAAGATGTTTCAATTCAAACTCTCATTATTACCTAAACATGTTAAAGAAAAAGCAAAGGGGGCTTGGACAATGACCTCCGATACAACAGATAAGGGTTGTGAGTGGCATGAACGGGAAGCTCTGTCCCAAGAATCTTCTGGAGAAGTCTTACTCTCGAGTGGTGAGGGTTGAGAGAGCTCAGAATGGCTACGATGAACAATATCGTCTACTGGTTTAGTAGACTGGACGGGTGACTGATCTGCCTCGGAGAAGTCTAGACGCCGTCTAGGGGTCATTACACGAGACTTATGTCTTTCCTTCTCGGACATTGGAGAGACAGAGGAGATTTGTTGCTCGAAGGCTCTCCGGTATAACGAAAGAAGATACTGTTCCAAGTGTAAAACTTCCAGCTCCATAACCGCGATTTCCTTTATCAATTCTGTGGCTGGCTGGAGATGAATAGAAAATGACCCGTTTCAGGTAAGTTCCGAAAATTTTCAGTTCTGACAAAGGTAAAGGATTTAACTGACCTTGGGCATTGGAATGTCACTTGTTTTGCTCGGAATGTAAAAGGGGGATGCTCGATAACCCAATGCTGTTTCCAAAGCACAACGCACCTGAAACTGATCTTGTAATCTCTTTTCGAGCTGTGTAACCTGCTACTCCAATCACAAGATACAGAGAGAGTTTAGAGCATCAGATATTAAATTAAAGGGGACGTGAAACTAAGCGACAAACACATAACACTACCTCTTGCTTCAATGAACTTTGGACATTGTTTTTTGGGGAAGATCGCTTCTGTTTGGTCGTGATTAATCCCATTGAACGAACCATGTCCTGAACCAAAACATGAAAAACCCATAAAAAAAAACTAAGGGGAGAAAATATATTTGTGATGGAGACCAGTTTCTCTATCAGAACACCATAAAAGAAAATTCCTTGAAGGAATATCAGACAAAGAACAAGATCACAAAGTAGTAAAGCTCAGCATCTTGGTAGAGAAACAGCAGAGACAAATCCCAATAATCACGTTTCAACTCACCAGCTTGACTCGCTGTGAGGCTTCAACAGAAGCATTCGAGTTGTCATCTCTCTCGGCTCTTTTCTTATCTGGAAAGCTGCCATTACAAAACGACCAAACATCAAGAATCAAACTGAAAATCAACACCACTTGTGAAACTAATTTCCACTTTGCCCTTCCAAGAAAACACGCAATCTCACCCACCTTTCACCACGAATGCATTTAGCAAGAATGTCTCTTAAACCCATTTTATCAGCTGCGTTTTCCTCAAGTCATCCAACAAAAAAACTACCAACCGTGGAAGAGGGACGAGAAAATTGAAACTATAGACTAAAGCTTGAGTGGCTTTTTTATGATATGGACCACAGAATCAGACCACCACAAACTAATAGAGCACATGCCAAACAGAAGATATGTGACCTTTGCAATGATAGTTTCTGTCCTTTAACTCAACTACGTCTCAAGTTTCCATTTTTGCCCCATGACCCGTCTCGGAGAGGCATTCTGCTTACAGAAATTAGAGACGGATTCGGAGTAATTTACAAGATGGAGCGAACAAATTTGTAAGAAACCCGACAAAAACATGTTGACAGCTTACCTCTTTGAACGCTTGTGCAGTTGGGCCATCCCCGAATCCAACATTTTACCGCCTCCACCACCCGATCCTAATCCCTTTTGTCTAAGAATTACCACAAAGGCGGTGACTTTCCGGGTTATCGGAAAACGAAATCTTTCCGGGAAAACTCCAGAGAAATTCCGAGAAAATAAGAATCAGCAACGGATGCCGAGACGGGTTGGTTCAGAAATCGGGCCAGAAACCGCCCAGCGGATCAAAATCCTCCAAAATTTGAACTTTTCATCTAGTAAGTCAGCGAACAAGGGTTTCGACTAAGAACTGTAAAAACCATTGCGGTCTGAGCGCATAGAACTCGGGAAAAGCTTCGATTTTTCACACAAACACTAAAAGTAAGGGCCTTTGCGACAAATGGCAGGTGAATCTTCAGACGCCGAATTACAAACAAGTCTTCGAATCTTCTAAGTTTTTGTAATAAAGGAGAGGGCTTTTCGCATTGAAAGGAACAAAACGAGCATGGCAGGTTCGATTGAAGAAGACTGACCCGAGTCCAGGCTTTTAGAAAAAAAAAAAAGAAATCTGGAATTTTAAAAAATAAAAATGTGATTATCATTAATAAACGTCGATAATCGACTAGCATTACCATGGTTCTGTGTAATTTGTAGGATACATGGAGTAATGTTTTTCCAAGGGTTTTTCTCATTCTCTTTTTTCTATGAAGGATGATTTTCAACAACAAATTATTCCAACAATATACATTACTCCAAACAATATCGTTGAAAACCGACCATTGATGTTATTATACGATCGAGAAAAGAGTTTTGATGCAATCGAGATTATTAAAATCTGTACTTTTGCTACTCTTTCAAAAAAAATGAACCTTGCATGTATCTCTTTTTGTGTGTGCGTGTATATATATATATATATATGTATATAATAGAATACTACATTAGTTTTAACTTCTCCATAAAATATATTTTACGATGCCATGATAATATGATAAAAATCTGCATCCAGAGTTATTTGAAATCACATTGACATGGACATTACGATTAGTAATTTTTACCATCTACACGAATCCTACCTTTTTTTTTTGGTAAACTGTTATCGATCCAAACTAATTCTAAGACAAAAAAGAAACTGTATTAACACTTTCTATCCGATTCGAGATTTAAACTCGTGACGAAACAAACGTTTTGCACTCTCATTCTACGGGTTAAACTGTTCAAGTTAGATTCACAAGTCATAAGACTCATAACCTCATTCTCCGTGACCATCTCCTACAATTAACCCGTGAACCCAACATGCCCATACCAATTCGAGATTCTTTCCTGAAAGCTAAATGATGATTTACATTCAATTAGTTACATACCTGATACCTAAAGCCACGAAATCGGATGCATCCAAACATTTAAAAAAAAAAACAGGCAGAGAGATTCGCCTCAAAAGAAATGAAAGTGGGAAACATCGGATGTTGAGAGAAGAGGAGGAGGGTTTGTGTTATTGCCACTTGTTCGATTCCCTTTTTTTTTTTTTTTTGGCTGCCTTTTGGGGAAGGGATGATTTACATTCAATTAGTTACATACCTGATACCTAAAGCCACGAAATCGGATGCATCCAAACATTTAAAAAAAAAAACAGGCAGAGAGATTCGCCTCAAAAGAAATGAAAGTGGGAAACATCGGATGTTGAGAGAAGAGGAGGAGGGTTTGTGTTATTGCCACTTGTTCGATTCCCTTTTTTTTTTTTTTTTGGCTGCCTTATGGAGAAGGATGATGGGAACATTTAGCCATTGGCGGTGTCCTGAAGATTGTCTCTGTCTGAGAAGTCGGCTTTCGTTTGTCAAAAGAATCCCACGAGGAAACTTTCAAAAATTGAAATGGTGAACGTATAAAAAGTTTCATCTTTTTATTTTCCCTTCCTTTTCTCGTGGGAATACACGAGCAACTCAAAGGGAGAATCCAAGCCAATTTTTTTTTTTGTAACAACTACGGACAAAAAATGATGATATATAAACCAATATTATCTCGTAAAAACAGGAAGAACCACCTTGAATCCGGAATGAATCAGACATATATGCTCCCTAGATTTACGAAATTCCTTGTTTTTTTCTGTAATTTTTTGTGTTTTTTGTCTCTTTTTGACTTGTGACGCATTATTTTTTTAATATTTTATAAGAATTTGAACTTGTTAGGAGTAGTAGGCATGCATATATTATATTCTTCTTGCATAATGTGGTTAATGAGATAAGAATGCGGAAGAGAATGTTGATAGATCTTGGCAGATGGTATGTATAAACTTTTACGACCAAAAATAAATGTTAAATAATTTACGTGTTGTTGTTTATTGAATGTGGAATGCTAAAATTGTAAGAACGATTTAATTTTTATTTATTTATTTGAGCTCCTCAATTACTAAATAAAATAAGATTTTTATTTTACAAGTGATCTCATCATACATTCATCTCAGATAGCATGAAAAACTTTACATTAAATCTAATGCGATTTCTAATAGCCAATGATAATCTCTAAAACTGCATTTTTATTTTTATTTTTATTTATTGGAATAGCTATGTCTCCATTCTAATGAAATTTACGTAGGACTTTTGATCATTCGATACCCACGAGACGAAGAACGGCACGTATTTTGTGAACATAGTGGGGGCCCACTAAGGATGTACAATCCTCACTTTCGAAATTGGGGCCCACTATACACTTCTATGATGACACGTCATATCAGCCCAAATTGCACGTTACATCCCAAGGGCCTGGGCCGACCTATGAAATGAATCTTCTTCATCATCTTATCTTTTGAAGTAATTTTTTTTTTGCAACTTGTTCATAATATACTCTTAATATCCTGCATTTTGGTCTGGTCTGTGTCAAAATGGCCGGGCCGGTCCGACACAAGCTCGAACGGGCCGAGCCGGTCTTGAATATTTGAAGGAAATTTAGAAGTTGCCGTGATTAATTTAGTCATGGAAGATATACAACATGATATTCGTTTATAATTCCGTATAATTTGTGTATAATCCAACAAAACGTACTCAAATGGACATTAATATTGAACGATTTTTTATATAAACCGTTTTCGAATTGAATCTCGATAAATAGGGATAACCTTTTTGGATTTGGATTCAGATTCGATTCAGTTATTAAACGTATTTCGTTTATAGAAAAATTACAAACATTCTATTTTTGTATCAATTCGGTTCAATTTTATTTCGATTCGTTTCAGTTTAAATTCGTTTTTTATTAATAAAAACTCATTTTTTTCAAAAAAAAATTGATTTTTCGATTATTTTTTGTTCAGTTCGTTTTTTTTAATTTAGAGAATTAATAACCATTCAATTTGATTACACTTATATTTTGTTCCGTTGGATTCGATTTGAATATTCGATTAATAACCAAAATGACCAAGTCTATCGATAAAATATGGAATCAAAAGAAAACTAAATGCTGAGTAGTCATCCTCACAGATTAAGACTTGTTTAGTCACTAACAAAAGAATGAAGATGATGATGATTAGCGAAATGACACACGCACATGCAAGAGCAGAATATTATATCGGATTAGTCACATAATTAAATTAGTCAGCGTATGGAATGGGACATGAAGAGCCCCTCCTGCTTTCAAGTGGGGTCCAGTTCCCGGCAAATGCCACCACCCACGTACCATCTTTCTCATTTTCCTTTTTTAAAATATACAAAAAAATCATAACATATATATATATATATATATATTAACAACATTTTCATAATCGCCTAATTAAAAAAAAGCTACGAATGTTAAAGCTTTCTGTATCGGTTATGATGGAATAATAATGCCCAACTAATCTTCCTAAATGTAAGGGGATTACAGATTAAATTAAAAAAAGAGTTTTTGTACCACCACTTAACTGTTCCGAATCATATGATATTTTCATCGATTTAAGGATTCTTCGGCTGAAGTATTACAGCTAAGGGCCATTGATTATGATTGTCGACAGCCTATATATCTACGGTTTCATAAATTAAAATCAACTTTAAATAGACAAGTAATGGAGTGAAAATAAAAAAGAACACACTAGTTCTACCATCTCTCTTTTTTTTTACAGGATGTTAATTGGATTTTCGGTTCAATTTAATTTTAAATAGGTTTTTTTTAAAAAGATTGTTGGTGGTAAATACGTTGTAAAACTATATAATATATTATTTTTACATATGACAAGAAAATAAACAGAATGAAGAATCCACTGGATTGCCCAGCGAGGACACCGCCCCACAAAAAACATGACAGAAACGCAGAGGCCTTCTCAGATTCAAATCAAACTTTCACTTTGATTAAATTCTTTAACTTTAGCCATTTAATATATATATATATAAAAACCCAAAGCAGCAATAACGATGCGAGAGAGATGGCGTGGTTGTTCGGTCACTGGGAGAGACAAAAATGGTTAACAGAAAGGGAGAGAGAGAGTATTTTTTTTCGACGGCCCACAAATAGATGCAATCATCGAAAGCATGCGAGCGAGAGAGAGAGAGAGAGAGAGAGAGAGAGAGAGAGAGAGAGAGAGAGAGGAGACAGCGTTAAAGTAAGGGTAGAGGAAGAGGGAGCACAATTCATTCGATCCATCTCTTTCTCTTCGTTTCTTGCTTTCGACTGTTCTCCCTTTTTGCTTTTTCTACCTTTTGTAATTTTAAAGGGGCATCAAAGGTTTGAATGGTTCTTCGTGTGGGGCTAAATTTTGGTTCTTTCGTGGTTCCCTTGATGCTTGGCACCACAGTCACCTCTCCATGATTGTATGCAGTTATGGGCTTAGATATTCGAGGATCACAGAGATGAGATTTCTAGGGTTTACCTCTTCTGTTTTTCAATAACCCAGTGCCTGGTATGGTATCCTAACACAGTTTTATACGGTCTCCTCGAATAAAGTTGGCTCATTTTTTTTCCCATCCCTTACCTGTTATGACCATAGCCATGGTGGGTATTTGTCCCTGTGATTGATTTTGAAGAAAGCTAATTACTTTGAAGAAAAGTTTGTGGTTTGGACAGCTTGGTCTTTCTGGAATCCGCTTTTACGCACTTTTAAGGGTTCTGCTATCTTCTCGCTCCCCGATAGATAAGATTTGCCCGTTTGCGAGTGAAATCATGTTTTAGTGTTTAGATTGTAATCGTTTGTTCAGTCTTTTGTTGTCTTCTTTCTGTTAATGGTGGGAGTTGCTGCTGTGTTAAAATGGCTGAGATTAGGGTTGCAAAAGCAGAACAGGGGCAGACAAAGATTAAGAATGTTCCAATAGCGGTAACACCAGAAGGTTTCTGGTGTTGCCCCTCTCCCGTAGCTTTTCAAAAGACCCTCAAATCGCAAAACCCACAGAACAGATCAAAGCCATCATCGCCTCCTCCACCTCCAAAACCCCATCTCCCAAAGCATAGAAAACCGTCCTCTGCCTCGGTAAGAACGGTCATTGCCTCTGATGACCACCGACAGCATTCGGGTTCAGACACGGCCACCACCATTGCTGCTCCAGCGGCTCAAGACAGGCCGCATAGGCAAAAGGTGGAGACTTTGCCGAGAAAAGTGGCAATCGAGTTTGGTGAACCTGGAACCAGCGACATGAAGGTGGTTTTGCTGGGAAAGCAAGGTTTTTGCGTGAAGCTGAGTGTTCATAAGAAAGTTTTAGTGGATAATAGTAGTTTCTTCGTGAATAAGCTCGCTGATAAAGACTCGGGCTTCTCGTGCATTGAGATCGATAGCTGCGAGGATGTAGAGATATATGTCGAGACTGTAGGACTGATGTATTGTAAAGATATGAAGAATCGGCTGATGAAGCAGAGTGTAAGCAGAGTTCTCCGCTTTCTCAAGGTATAGTATTCAGCTATGCCTTCTTTTGCAGCCTGGTGGTATGAAATGTAGGATGATGTGGGATCTTTCTGATATGATTCATGAGGAGTTTTTTTCTTCTTCTAAGGATTCGGTTCTTATGGCAGGTTGCAGAACTTCTAGGTTTCAACTCATGCATTCAATCATGTCTGGATTACCTGGAAGCGGTTCCATGGGTAGGGGAAGAGGAAGAGGAGAGAGTGATCTCGTCGATTCTCGAACTCAAACACGAGGGCATCGGAGTCAGAGTCCCGCCTGTTCTCAAACGAGTCACTTCCGATACAGTGGACCCTCCGAAAGAGACGTTATCGCAAATCATCGAGCTCGTTCTCAGGAGCAATGAGGAGAAAGGCCGACATGAGATGAAGGCCGTCGTCCTGAAGCTCCTCAGGGAACAGAACAGCGCCAACTCGGCTGACAACTTCAACGAGACGATCTATTCCTCCTGCCAGAACTGCTTAGACACAGTCTTGTCTTTGTTCAGACAAGCTGCAGAGGTGGAACCCCGTACTGAGTCTGCCTCGAAACAGATAGCTATAGAATCAGATAACCTTTCATGGCTGCTTGACATGTTAGCGGAAAGACGAGCAGCGGAGGAATTCGCAGTTAGATGGGCAAGCCAGAAAGAACTCGCTTCGTTACACGAAAATCTTCCCCTGATGACGCGTTTCCACATCAGCCGGGTGAGTTCGAGGCTGTTCATAGGGATTGGCAGAGGAGAGGTCTTGCCGTCGAAGGAGACTCGGCTCGAACTGCTGAGACGGTGGCTGCAGCCACTGATCAACGACTACAACTGGCTCCAACATGGGGGCCGATCCTTTGACGGTAAGCTCCTGGGGGAAGGGGTCGGCCGGGACATGAGATGAAGGCCGTCGTCCTGAAGCTCCTCAGGGAACAGAACAGCGCCAACTCGGCTGACAACTTCAACGAGACGATCTATTCCTCCTGCCAGAACTGCTTAGACACAGTCTTGTCTTTGTTCAGACAAGCTGCAGAGGTGGAACCCCGTACTGAGTCTGCCTCGAAACAGATAGCTATAGAATCAGATAACCTTTCATGGCTGCTTGACATGTTAGCGGAAAGACGAGCAGCGGAGGAATTCGCAGTTAGATGGGCAAGCCAGAAAGAACTCGCTTCGTTACACGAAAATCTTCCCCTGATGACGCGTTTCCACATCAGCCGGGTGAGTTCGAGGCTGTTCATAGGGATTGGCAGAGGAGAGGTCTTGCCGTCGAAGGAGACTCGGCTCGAACTGCTGAGACGGTGGCTGCAGCCACTGATCAACGACTACAACTGGCTCCAACATGGGTGCAGATCCTTTGACGGTAAGCTCGTGGAGGAAGGGATCGGCCGTACGATTCTGACACTGCCCTTGGAAGATCAGCAGAGCATCCTGCTTTCTTGGATGGCGAGTTTTCTTACAACCGGCGATGGATGTCCGAATCTTCAGAGAGCCTTTGAGGTCTGGTGGCGGCGCTCTTTCATCAGACCGTACGCTACTGTCACAGATCCTTAGGGCATCGGTTTCATTCAGAGACAGGGCATCTGAAGAAGAGAAGAGTGTGTTTCTTTTGTACAGTTTCAGGAGGGACTTTCTGGTGATGGATGGTTGCGTGGTTTACAAGGTACCTCAGTGAACCGATTTCATATATTGGAATTTATATATCTTCTAATGCAGATTTTACACCAATTTTTAGTGCTTCGGTTTATATTCAGTTCTCTCATATGGGCCTTGAAAATCTAGGTGTCTACTGAAATATATTGTAAAATTAAAATATGAGATATATGATTTAATGAAAAAAATGTTTAGACTTTTATAAAATATGAAATAGTAAGATATGTATATGCATGTAAATGTGAAATGAAACGAGTGTATGGAATCCATACATGAACATTACATACCAAAAGGGTAGTAAGGGGAATTATCGGAATATTCAAAGTGGTTAAAAGACTATGCAATGATGTGACGGACCAACTTACATCTTTCTAAAGTGTCCAAGCGGTGATCAAAGAAAAAGTCAATGGCCAAACACACGGAACTTCACATTGCTTTCGTCATCTTCTCGTCACCACCTATGTGTGTGTGTGTGTATAGGTCAACTATATTTGATTATATATGGTTATGATTCTAATCATCTTTCTGTTCTCTGGCAGTATCCAAGCAAGCTCATGTGCGCATTGCACCGATAAAATTCTACTTTTATAATAAGCAAAATTGGATCTAGTCATGTACGATTTCATAAATAAAATTGATTTTTGCATCAAGAACAGCTTGCAAGCCTATACTTCTAGAAAACCAAAGAGGCCCGAATTTTTTTTTTTTTTTTTATTGAATCTATACACCAAGAACTCGAATATTTCCATATGTAAAAATAGATCCAATAAAAAAGAAAAATAGGAACCCAATCCATTCGACACGAACAGGTCGAAACTTTGGGACGAAATAGATATCCCCATATGCATATGCATATATACACATTCATGGGTTATGGAAGCAAGAGAGCAAGAATTTAAGACAAGACTTGAACGAATTCCCACGTGAGCTATTGTCATTGGTGGTCTTCTTCTTCTTCTTCTTCAGCACCTTTTCATTGTTAAAAGCCATGAAATTCTCGAACCATTTTCTGGGTTCCTTGGCGTCGTCATCTTCTGCATGGGAGTTGCTGGCGAAGGTGTAGCTTCTGAGATATCTCTGCCTGTTCGATCTGTAAACGCCTGGGCTCACAAATCTTACGTAATCCCCGGGAGAGACAAACGGCTCATCCTCCTTCTTCTCCTTCTCTCCTGTTACGACGTCGTTTGCAAAATCAGCCACCACCATTCTGTGAAATATTGCTGTGTTTTTTTTTTTTTTTTGAAAGTAAGTTGGAGTCTCTCTTCCTTTATATATCGATGGTACTATTGATCTCATTTTTTTTTAAAAAAAAAAGATGTATCGTTCAAGTGTCCCTTTGATTTTGAAGACTGAATCGGTCATGGCATATGCGACTTTCGGGTTGGGCCGGCGTTGGTGATAATGTATTTTGTATTCTGGTCTTCTTGTTCCGACCCATTTTTTTTTTCATTAGTGGATTTATATAATATATGCTATGGCTTTCGAGGTGGATTATCCTATTTAAAATGAGGTTGAGAAGTTCATAGACTAAAGGAACTGGTACTTGAATCTAAATTCGAAAATTCGGATATTTCGATACCATTATTCGATCTCATATTCTCGTATTTCATTCCTTTGATATTTGAAATTTGGGATATGGAATCTTCGGACCGAATCATATCCCGAGAGTTTCTTTTTTCTCCCGTCTAGTCTTGCCAGTGAAACGACGACGTTTCAGTGGGAAGGAAGATTCTGTGTCCGTAAGCTGGATATTTACCAAAAAAGCCCCTGAAATACGGATTTGCGCCACGTGTTTCTTCTATTTGTCCTCTCTCTCTCTCTTCTCCTCACTCACGCTCTTGCGACCATTTCAACATCAGTGTAAAGGATCTGATGATGACTCTCGAAGTTTCTGTGAAGTCTCGAGTGAAATTGGGGCGAATTTTCCTCTTGAAGAGAAGGAAAGAGCTTGGGCTGCAACGAGGCCTCCGAGCCATGGCCCCTGAATCTTCTGGGTCGTCGTCCTCCTCCTTTGGTGCGTTTGGTTGAAAATAGTCTTGATTTTGATTTCTCTAATTGTTTAATTCAATTTGTTTAGATTATTTTGCATCGTCAATACAGTGAAGTCGACAACTTTTTACAGAATTTTCCACTGTGAAGCCTCGAGCTTTAAATGGTTATAGCGACCTTCCGCTAAGCGCATGCCTCGGATTTCCGAAATTCTCGAAAACCCTTTTGGGTTTAATCAGATTTTGTAGCTTCTTTGGATATCTTGTCGGCTAGGAAAATTCAGGTAGCCGTAGGTTTTCTTCTTCTGTTTCATCGATCTCTGGCGATGGCTGATCAGGTGGTTTGTGGATGTTTTTTTCTTCTTAATCCAAATGTCCCTGCCCTAACATTCAGAGATCATTTCCAATTTCTTTCTTTTGACATATGTGACGGATGATTAGTCGTTTACAACTAGGTTTTTGCCATCTTGTTTGGGTTTCGGATCGTTTTCTCTTTAATAATACCTTCCATGGGCGTTTGCCTTTACTGGAACATCAGATACTAGGATGGACAAACATAACATCACACATATGTCAGTTAGGCTTAACATGTTCTTCAGCATGTCTTCACGTCCTTGGGATAAATCTTTCCTCTTTTCTGGTAATATAGTTGATTTCGGTGCAGGCAAAAGGTTTCCTAGAAGTATAAAGAAGTAGGTTTCTCGAGTATGAAGTGTGTATCAAGATGCTTTGGCTTCACGTTATGCGGTAGCGGTAGCGATTTGAATAGTAGTAAGCAGGATAAAACCCGGAAGAGACGTGGTAAATATGAGGTAACTTTACACTTTCTCTCTCTCTCTCTCCTTCCCCTTGGTACAGACAAGTCCCTTCTCCTGTTTGGGTTCAACTCTGTGGCTTCCGAATACTTGCAGGACCGATATAATGAAGATATCGACATGGCCATTGCGATTTCACTCTCTGAGCAAGATCAAATTGCGACACAAACTAGAGACGGTGAGACCAAGTGGTTTGGGTTTATGTAGACTTGGTTGTGAGGATTTCTCTGATCAATGTAGAGGTACATAAGCAAGTGCCATAAAGGAAATAATGAACAAAGACCAATATACTGACTTACATGTCCAACTAGGATGTGTCTTGTTGCATATTTTTATCATCTTCAAGTCAGTCCTGTTCTTTCCTGGCATTTTTTCTAATATATTGTCATATACTGAGGGATGATGCAGATACTGCAGAGCTGGAAGAACACAAATCTGCCAGAAAGCAACCAGATGAAGAACAGAAAAGGCGTGAGCAAGTACAGTTGGAAGAAGACGAATTGATTGCTAGGACTATTCAAGAAAGCCTTTACCAGGAGGAAGAATCTTCTCGTCATCAGCTAGAGGAGGAGGAAGAAAGACGGCGTACCAAAGCACAGTTAGAAGAAGATGAAAAGTTTGCAAAGACTGTTCAAAACAGCTTGAATGAGGAAGAAAACCTTCCTTTAAAGCTAGAGGGAAAAGAAAGCGAGAATGCTAAATGTCAGTTCGAGGAGGATGAAAAGCTCGCTAAGACAGTTCAACTGAGTTTATACATGGAAGGATCTCCTCCTCGAGTTGAAGAAGGCCCGAAAGACCGTGATAAAGCTCAGATTACTCAGGAGAGTCTCGAGGCAACATCCTCTCTTCGGCAGCAGGAGAAAGGTAAAAAAAGGCTTTTTGAAGATGACAAAGAGCTAGCTATGGCCTCTCAACAAAATTTGGATGTGAAACCTCCCTCAAGGTATCATTTTGTAAGCCAAAAATTGATAATTTTTTCTTGTGGGCATAACACCCTGTAATCAAGTAGTCATGGATAGATTATGAACACACATGTCCTATATGTCTGGTCCTGATGATTCATATGTGTCCTGACCTGGTTGAGAATATTTCACTTGTAGCAAATGTGCTGGTTGTGACTCTGTGGTTGAACATGGAAGATCTATGAATCTCTTGGGTGCTTCTTGGCATCCTCAATGTTTCTGTTGTCTTGATTGCGGCAAACCGATTTCTGTTCAAGAGGTTAAAAAATCATACCCAAATAACTCCTTTGCTTTAAACTAATCGACATTTCTTTACTCGTTGAGGTTTTTGCAGTATTTTGATGCAAAACCTAATTAAAGATTAACTCTTCTTTCTATAGCTTTCATACTCAAGAGGCCAGTTTCACAAATCCTGCTACAAGGAGCACCGCCGTCCCAAATGTTATGTCTGCAAGGGGAAGGTAAGTGCTTATTCTGTCACTGTAGAAGGAAAGTAATCTGTCAAAAAAAAGGAGAAAAAGATTTCATAAGCTTTACCAAAGCCGTGCAAATATATAATAACTTTGTCAAAGCTGGCTACTAATTTCCTTGAGTTGTTTCTTTCATGGTTTCACAAGTAGAAATATATGACAGGTGGGTATCAATGTTGATGTCTTTTTCAGATTCCCTCAACTGCAGATGGTGTGAAATACAGGGAACATCCTTTCTGGTTGGAGAAATATTGCCCTTCGCATGAAGTTGATGGAACTTCCAAGTGCTGCAGTTGTGAACGGCTAGAGGTGAGTTCACTTAAAATATAAAGACAGTAATGGGCAAAGAACAGAAGACTAAGTATTCGAACAAGGAAAAGCTGTCCTATCCTTTTTTTTTAATGTTCCTGAATTCGTTTGGAGTTCTTATGTCTTTGTACTTGTTGCAGCCATTGGGAACAAATTATGTAATACTCGACGATGGTCGGCGGCTATGTTTAGAATGCCTTGATTCTGCCATTATGGACACTTACCAATGCCAAACATTGCACTTTGAGATCAGAGAATTCTTTGAAACCTTGAACTTGAAGGTGGAGAAAGAATTTCCTCTGCTCTTGGTTGAGAGCCAAGCCTTGAACAGAGCCAAGGAGGAAGAGAAGATTGTGAGCACATTCCCCACCCAAAAACAAAAACCTCTGTCTGTATTTCAATTTGTTGACTTTTTTCACCATTTTTCTCTCACTCGACAAGCAGGACCATCATCAGTATGTGGTGGTAACCCGAGGAATCTGCCTTTCTGAAGAGCATATTGTCTCAAGTGTAAGACCTTTTTCTTAAGGAACTATTGCCATATTCTTAGGCAATTTGGACAACCTGATCGGCTTCATAACTACACTCTTGTGTCTACTTAGGTCTCTAGGGGGCCGGAGAAAGCACCCGATAACCGGTTAACAGGCATGGTGACAGAATCTCATACTCTCACCCGCAAATGTGAGGTCACTGCCATTCTCATTGTGTTTGGACTTCCAAGGTACATACATGATTCCATCTCACATCTCCTTTGTGTAACTATATAAAACACACTTATGGCGTAATAATACTCAGGATCTGCCTTCACACATACAGGTTACTCACAGGAAATATCATGGCCCATGAAATGATGCATGCATGGCTTAGGCTTAACGGTAGGTAACCAACCGTTTTGGATTTGTCCTCCTCTATCGTCTTTTTCCCAATGCAAAGTTGGGACAATGGTCAAATAGATCATCTTTGACCGTGATATAGCACGAAAAAGCTCTACAAAGTCTGGTGCTTTGACGCAGGGTACAGGAATCTGAATTCGCAGCTCGAAGAAGGGATTTGCCAAGTGTTAGCCCACATGTGGTTGGAGTCTCAGACATACAGCAGCAGTGATGCAGCAGCTTCATCGTCCTCTTCCTCTTACCCGGCAATGGCGCCGGCTAATGCATCAAAGAAAGGTGACCAGCCTGAGTTCGAGAGGAGACTCGTGGAGTTTTTCAAGTGGCAAATTGAGAAAAACGATTCGGTGGTCTATGGGGAAGGCTTCAGGAAAGTGAACGAGGCTGTCTCAAAGTACGGCCTGAGAGAGTACATTAACAGACCAGAGTTCATTCTTCGACGATGATTCAACTACTTCATGAACCATTTCCTCTTTCGGGTGGGTTTGTGATTTATCTGAATATAAATTTGTGCTCTGTTTCTACTTTCTCTGGTAAAGTTGGAGGCTTTTTTTTTTTTTTTTACAGAATCTTACTGAGCTGAGATCAGTGGAACGGGAACTTATCTGTGTTTATTACATGCGATTCAGACTGTCTTTATTCGGGAACCCTCTCCTATCCTCTGCAGGAGCTGTCTATTTTCTGGTTTTCTCGGACACCACCTCTAAATAAAGTTTATGAAATGGGCTCACAGGCCCATTATCGTAGCCTAAAATGGGCTCATAGGCCCATGACTCTTTCTTCTTTTGTTTTATCTTGAAGTTCCACTTACTCTTGCGTTAGAGATAAAATGAACATTTTTTTCCTTTGTCTAATGATTGATTTCTTCAGAGGATTTGGCTTCTCGAGCTCCGGATTAATTATCCTCGAATTTATATCACACATTAAATATAATTTATGTCAATTTTTACGAGCTAACATGCCTGCGTATATTAAAAAATCAACTCACTCATGTAGGAAATGCGATATGACAGTGTATTATTTTATAGTGACGTATAATACAATACCAAAAGTTCACATTTATATTAAATTTCCGCAACAACTTCATCAAATCGCAAATATTTGTTACCAATTTTGGTTTTGCTGTCTCAGAAAAAGAAGATGGCTTTATTTACACGATTGAAAAACAGCGCCTAATTACCTTTACCAGGAAAAAAATAAATTAAAAGAACATCTTCAACTGAAAGAGTTATTTACTAAAAGTAAAAGGAAAGAACACACGGATGGCGAAACGTTAACGCAAGGCCAGGTTAGAACGAATCCCCCTTGAGGATCATTGGTTAATCTCTCCAGACAAAAGAAGAGGGATAAATTCCGTGCGTCTATTTGTATGCACATATATACATAAACACGTATATCCATTAGTCAATTTGACAATTAAAAAAATAAATATACATAGTTAGGTTTTATATCGTGCATATGGACAATACCCGAGATATGCGAGGTTTAAGATAATCATTAAGCTAATTATTCACGTATTATATATCATTTCTCCACAATTAATCGACTTCATACATACATACATACATACATACATACATACATACATACATACATACATACATACATACATACATACATACATACATACATACATACATACATACATACATACATACATACATACATACATACATACATACATACATACATACATACATACATACATACATACATACATACATACATACATACATACATACATACATACATACATACACACAAAAAAGGCATACACATATCAATCGCTTCATAAAACATAAATAGCATACTTCAGCAACACAACACATACATATATATATATATAGCATTTAAACCGTCATCATTTGACTAAACTCTTGGAAGTCAAGGACTCCATTACCATCGATATCATAAACCCTAATCATGGCCTCGCACTCGGTAAAAGACCTCACTTCGCCTAACCTCGCCAACATCTTCTGTAAGCCCTTTGGAGTAATGCAACCCGACCCTTTCTCGAGTTCGAACATCTCGAACGCCGTCTTCAGATCACTGTTACTGTCTCCGCCGTCAAGGTCGTCTCTTCTCGTCATCAGACCAAAAAAGTCCTCGAACCCTAGAAACCCATCTCCGTCACTGTCAACCTCATCGATCACCGCTTGAGCTGCTTCGTGAGAGATGTACTCTCCGACCGAACCGAAGTAAGATCGAAGCTCGTAGGCGGAGATCTTGCCGTCGCCGTCACCGTCGAATCGGCTGAAGACTTGCCGGAGTTCGACGGAGTGATCTCTACGGCCGACAACATCGTTGTCGGAGGTGGCTCTTGGGGAGTTGGGATACGATGTCGGAGAGCTTAAGGTTGATGCGGAATCATGTTTATGTGATCTTTTGGCGTGGAAGCTTATTAGGTTTAGGTTTAACTTGAGGGTTTTGTTGGAGAGCCATTTGAGTGACTTGGAGCCTGAATGTCTCTGTTGATGAGTTGCCATGCTGGATTTTTTTTTAAATTATATGATATGATATGATGTTGTATCTTTGTAATCCGCTCTCTCTATTTATAAGACAGGAATGAGAGAAAGTGACGCGTTCTCTATTTCTACTATATTCCTTCCATAACATTTTTTTACAATATTTAATTTAAAAGAATTTAAGCAGATAGAAAATTCAGGAATTATATATGTATTTATATACATATATATATATATATATATATATTAAATTTTGATGCGAATTCATAAAGCCATTACGACGCTCCATATATATAGTCAATAATTAATAATATAATTTGGAAAATTCATCAAAACTTAAATTGGAATGTGGATGGATCTAACATATATGTACGTATTATGTAATTGTCATAACATTATCACCGCACAGTAAATATAAATCAATGTAGATTAACAAATATTGGAATATACACCATACATGCATGATACATATACATAAATCAAAACGTTAAAGATACAGAAAAATGCAAATATTTTTACGTTACGGATAAATAAACCGAATGAGAATTAAATCAGTCTCGGGTCTTGTATCAGTCCTTTTTTTTTCTTGTGTTGAGATGAAAAGTGAAAATAAAATCTAAAAGGTAATTTTCCCGGAAAATGAGAAGAAAATCAGAAAGTCGTGTTTGGTCCTCCAAGGAATTTCGAAGAAGGTGCTTGTGTGATTGCGATTGATTACAACGCAGGAAAGTGCATCGCAGTTTCCTGCTCTTGGTCCCATTCCAAATTCCGGTTTGACTTTTTTCCTAACTTTAACCAATTATTTTTGTTTTCAATTCAAATTATGAATTGCCATTAACCGGTAAGCTTATAAATGTGACATTAATGTGTGCTGTTGAACGGGACACCTTTCTAATCACCTTCTGCCATGTCTTTGGCATTTTGTTCTTACATCTTTATTACTATAGCACATTTTATTTGCTACCCATAAAAAAAAAATACACGTTTTAGAGCATATTGATATTCAATTGACCGTATATGAATTTGATTTCATCCCATATGGTTCTTGAATGGATTCTTTTAAAATAAATACGACGTGGGTATGTATATATGTGTATAATACAAGCAGGTATCATGGCGGTGTATTATGTGTGTTACAGGTAGGAAAACATGTGTGTGTGCCTAACACAGCCGGCTTCCTCTTTATTTATGTAACCTTTTGTACGTAATATGTCTGCTTTCTTACCCAATCATCCCTTATAACCTAACAACAAATGTTTATTTTAGGTTATTGATAAGTCATAAGCTTAAAATTAGACGTGTCATTAAAAATATAGTGGGAAATCAGATGGCCACGCAATTTTAATACGTCAATAACGAATTATGTATAAAATTTTATTTCAATTTTTTTAATTATAAGTACTGGTTATGGAAATATAGGATTCGTCCGTTTTAATATGGGGATACAGAGAAATGGGGTATTATATGCATCGATCAAATGGGCTTTGTGAAGCCCACTATCCGAAATAGTAGGCCTATTATTTCCATTTTTCAACTGCACGCGTTTGTTTTTTTCATCACTTCAATATGTGTATGCTCAAAATTTTATAACAAGAAAAATATGCAGAAAATCCATAGACCACGAACATGGAAGAGTATGCCCAAATTATTATATAAAAAAATATAGAATTTATGAGATGTGAACCATCACGTATGTCTACGGTGCGTGGACATCACATATTACTTGCATACGTACGTACGTACGTACAACTGCGATACGTATTTCTTGTACAGCGTGCGTCGGTAAAAGATAAGCTGAGGATCTAGCGAGCCCGATGGAGTTCGGTCCACTATTTTATTAGTCGTAGCTAATCATCATGTAATTATAGATAAGTTGACCCAAGAAAAAAAGAATATAATTAATCATGCATATATATATATATATATATGTGTTCATTGGTAATCTGCACATTATATTAAACAGTCGAGATCTATACGTAATCCCCAATGAGTTGACCAATGCGTCGTGGCATCACGCTTTCCATTCTATACAACAACTTGGAATTTTTCTACATCGGTCCAAATTAAAAAACTGCACAGCGCATGGACGAAAAAACTACGTCTGCGTACACACGTGTCGGTTTCAAACAGCTTATCGCATATACGAACATGCATAATCGCGTATATACACTACAGTTGCATAATTGACTGCATTGAGCATTTTGATCGGATAATCAATAGAATTGGAAATTCAGCGTTACATAGAAGACAACCTAGAAAAATGATTGGTCGGGTGTCATGTATATATAATTAAAGGAAATTATACTCAATACGGTGAGAGATTTGGATGTTACGATAAATGATTGTGGTCATATATTAATATTCACTAGACAGCTTAAAATTCCATGCAGATGGAATGGAAAACGATATGCAACAACCCTAATAATTGTGCAATAAAATGCTTCCTAAATTACCCGATAATTATAATCACCTTCATTTTTACTTATTATGATATCAGAAATTAACTACTAAGATTTCGTATGGATTCAGCGTATGTCTAATCTTTAAACCAATAAATACCGTATGGCTGAAGTTATTATTATTTTTTGAAATATCTTACCGAAAAAGTCGTGGAGTTTCAAAGATATTTCTTACAATATTAATTTGGTCGTAAGCAACAATGGAGTTAGGCATGAATTTGGCGTAAAAAATTATGGTATTTTCATATTTTCAAGAAATATGAATATTACGGGAAATCCACACGGTCATCGCTCATTAAGATCAACAACAAAACAAAAACCGGAATTCATAAAAAACGAAGGATATATATATATATATATAGAATAGAACCTCTTATATACACATGAAACTGGCAGACGTATACATTTGGTTATAATATTCACAATTTCTACGTCCCTGTACGTATTTGGACGTGAAGCAGGTACAAAAATATTTAGAGCATCAATACAAACTCATGCTACTTAGATCTTTTCATCACCCGCCGCGTGGATTTATTTAAATACTGTTATTCTCCGTATACATATCCAGTTTTCAAAAAACTCAAATAAAAAAAAAAGAGACAGGGAAATCTAAGTAAGACCTAGCTCTCGATGAGATCGAACCGGGGTTCTAACAAATCGTAGGGAAGCCAGAGGGTGTCCAAAGGGCAGGGCCTGCCGGCGTCGAGCCTCGCCCAGGGCTTACCTTTGCCGCTCCAATGCAACAAACTCACTGGACCTGGATGCAAATCCCGACACAGCCCCCTGAAGTTGTCTCCGCCGAGACCGTGCTGGTTCCACCGGTGATCCACCGGAGCTATGTTTCCGGCGAAAACCAACAAAAACGGTGGCAGAGAACCTAGCTCGTAGATCCGAATCCTCTTCTGCAACTCCATCCACTCTATTATCTTCCTCGTGTAATCCCCTTCTCTCCATTTCCTGAGCTCCATCACCATCACTCCCGTGTTGAAGTAACAGGGTGTTCGTCGCCTGTCGGTGGCGAGTGTGAGAGAGAGAGAAGGGTTGGACCAGAAAGTGGGAGTGAAGTAAGAGGTGAAGTTGGCGTTGCAGTACTCGGGCGCGGCCAAAACGACGTCGTCCGGCATGGGTGTGGAGAAGAGCTTGGAGATGTCGTCTACGAGAACGAGGTCAGAGTCCAGATAGACGGCGCGTGAGATGCACGGCGGGAGGAGGTCGGCGAGGTAGTTGCGCGCGTAGTTCAACGGAGAGTCCAAGGCCGAGCGGATGGAGGTGGAGATGAGGCCGGAGACGGCGGCGCCGTCGTAGGGGTAAATCCGGAATTTCAAGTAGGGGAACGATTGTGCGATGGAGCGGACGACGTCGTTTCGGCGTCGGTGGCTCTGCTTCGAGATGACGAAGTGGAAAACGATGTTCTGAGGGCAGGAGGAGTGCTGCAGTGCGGAGAGGATGACGGCCATTGATCCCCGGAGATACGTGGCGTCGAGGGTCATTGCCACGTGGACTGCCTTGTCCGAGCAAAGGAAGTCGCTTTCGACGGCGGAGCACTCCGGCGAGTTGAAAAATTCCGGTGCCTCCTTGAATCTCTCCTCTCGTCGGACTATGTCGGCGGATGCGGCGGAGCCCGCCGTGATGAGAATGAAGAAGATTACCCACAAGCCGCCGTGCATTTTCATTAGAGAAGACGTGAAGAGCAAATGCTCTATTTATCGGCTTATAGAGAGAGAGAGAGAGCTTCTTCAGCAAATGAATTTCAAACTAAAGGACCTACCGATGATGGTAATGGAAGTCAATGTTTTGAATATAAAACTTGTCGGCGAGATGTCACCTTTTATTTTTCTTTTTTCTTTTTTCATGTTCTTTTAGTGCAAACATATCGTATTATATATTTTATTAAATCCAAGATTCCAGATTTGGCGTGTTGTCCCCCCCTGAAAAAAAAAGGCATATATGTATTTATTAGAATAAAGTTTCAATTCATACCAAAGCTTGCCGAAGAGGCAACTCACGGTCTAACACTTGTCTTTATTTATATAGTTCTCGCATCAATTTTGTTATAACTGCAATTCCCGTTGAAGAGAACGTATGCATTTACGTTTGATACTATTGCCGTTACGCATTCACAATATATCATTACGTGCTTTTATATAGTATACGCATTAAATACATTATTAAAAAAGAGATTATGTTATGTAATGGATTTGGTGCAATAAATTACGACGTGTGATTTAATTTTAAGCAGGAAATAGAATTTTGGTACGTGGGGTTTGATCTATTGATCAGAGTATATCATCGTTTGCTTTTAAAGGTGAGAGATATTACGTTGCATGAATCGGGAGGGACTGTCCATGATCGTACGTGATATTTTCCATATGATGGTAGTATTTGAACTAACGACATGCACCATCACATTTAATACGGGGAGTGTTACGTCTCGCGTCGACTTACACTCTTATTAAATAGATTTCACTTTCGTTATGGTAAAGCTATCACTCTATCAATCAAATCACACTCACACTGGCACCTTATAGCAAATTAATCTTTATAACGAAACTTCTATTCCGAAAATATAGATCTTATATATATAATGTGTTTGTATAATAAAATAATACAACAAAATCTCGTTTTATATTACCATTAGAAACAGATTCTTCTAATTTAAAATGAATAGAATTGAATCGATGCACACTTTTCCCGATGAAGTACAAAGTAAACTTTGTTCGTAAAATTAGGGTTAAGATTTACATGATCATGCAAAGCATGAATCTTATATAAATAAATTTCGCAGGTAAATACTAAGCACACACCACTACATATGTGCCCCGAAATTTGGAGATATAAAGACAAACAGATCGGTCCGGTCCGGCCGACCCGGAATTCATTGGCGGGAGTTGGCTCAAATGGAAACACGTGCTATAATACTATTGTAGGTCCTACTTGACTGCCACCTCACACACATAAGATGGTTCCAGTAAAAGCGGACAAACATCATATGTCCACGTGGTCAACGAATCTATAGTCACGATGTCCATGATTAAACATTAAGGTAATGAGGAGATATGCGGTATCTCTCCAATATGGCAAACTTGCATATATGATTATGTATTTCCTTATTATAAGGAGATTAGGATCGTATTATGATGAAATACTTGTTATGAATTATTTATTTCTATATTCATTCGTTAAAACTGTCTCTGAGTATCCCCGTTTTCCTTTTGGTCATGGATTATTCCAATTTCCAATTCTAGATATTTTACGTAACAAAAGAAGACCGGCGATAATTCAATATTTACAATCGAGGTGCATATAGTTAATTATAATTATTGTATTAAAAAAACGAGTAAAAGGCTGATAAAAATGATCGTTGGAACAAGCGACGTCGTATGTTTGGGAGGGAAAAGTGGCAAATGGCAATGCAACCAAAGATTAACGGGAGGGAAGGCGACCCGAGTGCCGTATTTTTAGTTAGCCACTAAGCTGATTAAACGGTGATTAAGGAGCTCAAATGACGATGATGCGCCACGTGCGTCTCACGTGCCCATGCCACACACACATTTACTACAAGTGCATGCTTGAATTTAATGAGTGTGTTTTAAATCTGATTGACGAAACCACTTTTTGGCCACTTTTACTCCTATTTTGTTTTTAAAAAATAAATAAATTTGTTTTGCTTTTTGCCTTCGTTGTTTTCCTTAGATTGAGGAGATGTTGTTGCTGTATTCTGAGCAATGCCCATAATATCATTAGAGTTATCATGAATTACACCATTCAATCATTATTAACCTTGGTAAAAAAAAACAATTTAATCTTGTGATATTTTCAAAGTTGCTATAACATGCGTAATTTTGATATTTTTTTTAGTATTCATTATTTATTGTGTGACGTATAGACATGTTTCCAACATTTATGTTCATACACTTTTTCCTCTATATAAGATATTTCGTTACAACACAGATCTATTATATTTTTTTAGACTAAATCTCCGAAAAACAATAAAATTGATTATTATACTTCTATTAATTGTAAAAAAAAAAAATAGTCCACACCAATTGGTCTATTTCTAGCAACAGTTATGCCTTGGTATTTTTTTTTCTCCAATAAAGATGTTTTTTACAGCAAATTCGTAGTTTTAAAAATAAGTATGCATTTCAAACAAAAATTTGGTATAAGATCAAAATAAAATAAAAAAAATAAAACAATTTATAATAGTTGAAAACGTATCGAAGCGTAGGTCGATTTGGGTCAACTTTTTAAAACCGTGTGGTTTTTCCAAATCTACCTCACTACGCGGACTCCGTCACCGTCGCACCGACACAAGCCATATAGCCTTGTCGTCTCCTACGTTTATTAAAAAAAAACTTTTTTTTTACAACGGAAATTTGAATAATCCGCCAAGGGCATATATATATATATATATATATATATGTAGAAAGAAGCCTAATTGTTCGTCAAAGAAAGCCAAATGTTTCCCTTAATTAAGTTGTCCTAATCCGTGCATGAAAGTAAGTCAATGTGTTGGAGGGGAGCCTACCACTTACCCACTCGGGGCTTAATAGTTAGGTCAGAACCTATGATTTTATTATGTTACAATTAGTTTTTTTTTTCCAATCAAAATGTTTGGACCGACTTTTGTCTCACTCGCCCAACAGGGTTTACTTTAAAATAGTATGTTGTTTTGTACATTAGCTGCTCCGTTTATATTATATATATACAACCCTTCAATATATATATATATATATATACATGTATATGGATGGTCTCACATATTTAATCAATGTTAAAAAAAAAGCATATGTATGACACCTACGGTAGAAATCCATGTTTTATGCACGTTCCTAATGATTCATACTATTACTTTTTCTTCTTTTTGTTTGTTTGCATAAAGAATTTACTCATACATTCGTTTATGTAGTAATTTTATTCAATTATATATTTGTTATCTAAGACAAATAACTTCAAATTCAACGGATTTCGTCAATTTTATTTACTTAAAATACAAATATCAGATTATTAGGTATTTTCTTGTAACTAAACCCTAATTTGTTTTATCATAATTAATTAACTTAATTTTCACATGTGAAAAGATAATAATATTCTTAATTTTAAAAATTATAAACCCTAATACCGTAAAATAATATGATATATATATATATATATATATTGAATTACAGATTTATAGGTTGAATATTAGATATCGTCATAAATTTATTTGATAATTTTGGATTTGAATTCGACATGAAACAGACGCTAAACCTCTCGTTTCACGGGTTAAACTATCAAAGATTTAGAATTCTATCTTCAAATTAGCTCTTCAACATCCGACCATTATTTGTAAGTTTCTCAAAATCCCGTTTAAAGAGTGAATCTCGTCATTGAAAACCGGGAAAAAAAACTCTTGTTGTGATAAAGAAACAGAGCATGACGAAGATTTTTTTAACTCTACATACACTCTCATTTCTACAGCAACAACATACATATAATAACACAATAAACTAAGTTTGAACAACATATATACACACATAAGCAGCAACTGTTGCTAAATATTAAAGACACTTGATGTTCTTATCCAAAAAGACACACACATAAGTGTTAGGGTGACCATTCGATTATTAACCGAATAACCGAATCGAACTAAACCGAATAAGTCATAACCGTATCCGAACTGAACCGAATAAAAAAAATAATCGAAGAAAACGATAATTTCATTTTTTTTACTGAAACCGAACCGAACCGAAGTTTATATAAAAACCGAACGGTTATAGTTTTTCTATAACCGAATCCGAATATAACCGAACCCGAGGCCAAACTCGAAATGACCACGCCTAATAACTGCAATATAAAATGTCGTAAACACAACTGCAAGTCTGCAACATTTGAATTTCGTCTTCCGGACAAAGTCAGCCACTTCAGCTTCCATCTTCTTCTACGAAGACTTGAACCATAAAAAGTCCGACATTATTCAAATGAAGATCTCCAACCTAAACACACAGAAACAACATCATGCACACGTTAACATCTTGTCTGGCTAACACACACACACACACTCTTGATACATTGATCAAAGAAAAAAAAAATAAACAGTCAAAGCTGTTACCAGTTTCGGGTCTTGGAGTCTGAGCGGGAAGTGCGTCTGCATAGTTTATCAGATACGAGTTTCTTGTTCGTCATGATATGACTTCTACAAAAGGATGTGCTCTTGCTAAAGCCTTCAACAGCACGCAGCGATGAGTCCAGCTGCCTCCTCATCTCATTGATGGCAAGCCTCACTCTCACTTCTCCTTCTCCTTCTTCCTTTTCCAGAGCAAATTGGGCCAATAGCATCAGAGATTCAATCACAAGCTCCAATCTCCGACTATGCATACGCAAGTCGTCCATGTCTCTCAGCGTCACATGAGTGGCCATGCTTATCCGGTCAATTCTACGTATCTTCGACACTCGACACGATGAAACTTGCGAGTTGCTCGTTTATTTCGTCAAGACCGCTGGTGATTCTCGTCAATGCCCGCAGGGACGCAGGTCCATCCGCGGCTCCGTTGGTAGACGGGTGAAGGGTTTGATCCGAAAGCTCGAATTCAGGATTCGTGATCATTTTGAAGGTTAAATAAAAAAAAAAATCAAGCAGTAAAAAGTGTAGACTTTTTCCAAGATGAAATCTGACTCGGAAATTTCCGAGGATCAAGTCTTGTCAACTCGACTCCGGAGATTCAGGAGCCTGGGAGTCCTTTAAAGAAGTGCAAGCGTCAGGAGAAGCTGAAGATGAGAGGATTCAGACGTAATGCGCAATGAAAGAGACAGCATAGTTAGCTAATTAAGCAGTTTTGCAAGAAAAACCAGTCAACACAAGGCATGTGGGTTAAAGTGAAAATCCATGAATTTCAAACATATCAGCAAGAATTTCATCAAAGATAATGGTTAAGAATATACATAGCTCACTGGAAACAAGAGTTGCAGTACACGAACACGAACACGGGCATGATAAGAGGGAAATGCAGGGTTGGAACTTTGATATGCTGAGGTCGGAGAGAGAGTACCTGAATGCATCAGTCCATCTCTTTTAGGTGGATATTTCAGTTTTAGGGAATTTGCTCCTCTGTTTCTGGCTGAACCTCACACAAATGCTCTTACGGAGGCGAAGGGGGGAGGAAGCGGATCGGCACTTCCTTTTAAAACAAAATGCGTCATACAAAGACGCCATCAATATATAATTGGAGGGGGGGGGGAGAAACTCATCGATTTTAATGATTGATTTCGCCAGCTTCATTACCCGAGGCAATTTCGACAATGACATATCAGTGTGTATATATATACACACGCACATTTTTTTAATTCTGAATTTGTTGATTTTAGAATATTAGACGTCTTCACATTTATTTGATAATATCAGAAATATTAATCAATGGTTAGTACCATTCGAGGTTAAAGTTTCGACTGCTGCGTGTACGTGCTTCACCAACTCGAAGACAACTCCAAAAACTGAAATCTGTAAACATAAGGCATCTCAAAGAGAGAACAGACTGAGTTAAAACTAATTTCAGAAGAGTATCACAAAGTTCCCGGAAGTAATTTTTTTTTCTGGACCTCAACTTCTTGTCGTTTAAAATAAAAGAGGTAAGGCTAACTTTATCAGACTGAGAAAAAACCCTAATTGTGGAGCTTTCTACTTATGGTAAAGGTAGACAAAGCTGAAGACGAAGAATCCAGCCATCTGCACACAAAAAAACCCTAATTAGACTTATGGTAAAGGCGTGTCTGTTTGTGTGTGTGGAAGAGACACAGACTCAGAGAGAGAGAGAGAGAGAGAGAGAGAGAGAGAGAGAGAGAGAGAGAGAGAGAGAGAGAGAGAGAGAGAGAGAGAGAGCAGGAGAGCATTTAATAAATAAAATAAAAGTTTCCATGTTTTCCCTCCCGTTCCACCATCCACAGTCCCATTTCAAAAAACATGCGTCGGGTCGGAAATAGCTCTACCGAGCTTCTTCAAAATTACGGAAATACCCCCAAACTTCTGGGTATATAAATACGCAGCCAAACACTTCTCTTTGTCGTCTTCCTCCCTCACTTCACAATGAAAACTTCCAGTCTCAGGTATCAGCGGGCTCCATCAATGGCAGATCCTTTGGAGGAAGTGGCGGAGGAGACGCTTCATCCGAACTTCCCATTTGTCATGAGCTCGTATGGGTTCAAGTCTTTCAATTCCGAAGAATCCGGAAACGGCTCCGACGATCAATTCGCTTTCAGCATCAGCCCGGATTTGCTACTCGACCCGAATGACGTTGTTCCGATGGAGATGATCGGAGAAGGAGGGCATTGTGGGAGAGAGAGAGAGAGAGAGAGAGAGAGAGAGAGAGGTTTACAGTGCTGAAGCAAGCTCCATAATAAGGATAAGCAGTTGTGATAAATCTCTCGTATTCATTGTGTCTGTATGGCCGCACAGGGATCTGCAATGCAATGCATCATTTTACATTACGTAATGTTTACATGAGCAGATACCCTCTTCTCCAAACAATGAGCGTATCTGGAGACAAGTCTTGGGACCTTTTTTAAAAAAAATTTAAACACTGACCTGCTTTGAGAGCGATATAGTAGTGTACCCCAGTTTTTCGTATTCAACCTTGAACTGGAAGACACCATACACATCTGGAACCTTGAAAGATGTTTCATACAGACCCTGGGAAAAATTGGAAACTAACTATGATGAAGTTGTTCATGGAGATAGTAGTTAACAACCCTGACGAAGAAACTACAAGCTTCCCTTGAAAGCTCAGGAAAGTGTTACCTTTTTGTCTGTGGACAGGGTTTTCAAAACGTATGGGCTCATCATGTAGAACTGAACTTGCACATCATCAGCCACATACGGTTCCCAGTTCTTCCCAGACCACTCGTATATCTCCACAGAGAATTCCTGCAGTCAATTGATACATCCAAAGCTTGTCAGAAATCTCATCAGGAGGTTATCTTCTCAGTAAATAAAAATATTCGGCAAGAATATGTAGAAGCCACACCAGGTCATCTTTTATCCTGTACATTGCAGGCTCATCCATCTCTCCAGCCTTATGGTGCACAAGATTAACAGCCTGGAACCAGAAGATAAAGAGAGAGGGATATGAATGATAGGGGAAATCCTCAGGTATCAGAAGAAAAAGGTGGAACAAAAAGACCTCTATTTATGCATGTATCAATCTTGATTAAACTAACAGATTTCGTCACATGAAAAAAAAGGGTCGAAAAGCTATAATAACCTTCAGGTGCCCCCTTTCGTGGAATACCCATTTGCTTAGTTCAGTGACAAACTGTTCGTTGCCAGATTTTTCGTATCTGCAACAGAAAACCATATACACAAGATCATTTTTCCTTCCTAAAATTCAATATCATCGGAAATTTTCGCTTGTACCTGAAAGATGAATCATATCTATACTTACTTGTTCGGACTCCCAGCTTTTTGCACACCTGATCTGAAAAACCTAGCTCACATAAAAAGATAAAAAGACAGTGACACTCACTCAGCATCAACAGCGTCTACATGCAGAAGGAAGATTCAGTAGCTGAAAAGCCATCATATATTTGCTAACCTGTTGCTAAACATCTGCAAGGAGCCAGAGATCATAACCCTAGCATTGTTTCTGGCCTGCAGTTTTTTATAGTTATGCATCAGAATCTAATGATTTGAACTCAAGAAATCGGCAAAAGAGAAGTTTGGCCGGCAAAAAGCAAAAGTACGAGATAACAAAATGGCATTTACAACCAAACCACCTCTGCCTAACCATGAGGAAGTGTATACTTCCCTTAATGCACAACACTGGTACTAGTATATTTGGTGTGCAAATGTCCATGTGCATATTATCAGTAAGAGAGAGGGAGAGAGAGAGAGAGGGATTACCTGCATGACAGAGACTAATGAGATAGCAGATCCTGTGAGCTGGGGAGGACTTGATAACTTAGAGTTCGGGTTTGCAGAATATGCCGAGGGAGAGGCTGACAGGACTTTCAAAACCTTACAAGGAATAGAAGCTATGAGTTGGCAAAAGGAACTCCCCCATCGCAAAGCAGGGACATCTATAAGAGATTGCATCGAAATCATCTAAAAACAATCAACATATGTCATGATTTATCTTTTCTTACCAGACTGTTGGCAGGGTTCAAGGAATGTGCAATCCCTCTGAAAAGCACGGGAGCCTGTAATTTCACGAGGCAATCACAAGGTTTACTCGATGTCATTGACTCGAAACCTCAGCACACTAAATTTACCCACATTATCATAAAATGCATTCTATCCCAATCAAAATTGCTGAGACATGATGAAGCTCAGAAGCGAGAAATTCACCTCAATCTTTGTTTTCCCTAAAATTGCATCAGATTTCACGAAATCATCAGCTGCAATCAAGGTGTGATATCCATCAATGTCAGAGACTGCGTAGCTGGAATGATCGACGACCATAGCTGATGCATCCTAGGGAACCGAAAAAAAAATACAGCAAACGAGTCAAATTCAAAATCAAAATTCGCATATTATTATGAACAAGAACAACATAATCCACAAATTTTGGATCAACCTCGTCGAAATCAACACCACATTCGGTGGCAATGCTTCGAATAAGATCAGATGCAGAATCATCAGCCGCTAAGATCAAGTCGCGACCAGAGTCAACGAAATCCGCGATGGATTTCGAATCCAGAGATCCTCCAAATCCTATGCCAAACAAACATCACACAAATCGCTCCATTTTATACAACTAGCAAATATCGACCAGGAAACCAACAGATCGAGAATCTTACGGTCCGTCGACGGAGCGAAAATGATCAATCCGTCATACAGGTACTGGCCATAACGTTGAAGAGCCAGCTTCGGATCTTCAGCTAGCTTGAAATCAAGGTCAAATCCACGGGACTTGAGGGAGTTAAAGAAGACGGAGTGAGAGGATTTGAGTGATAGATCGTCGAGAAGAACCAACAAACGCCGATCCGTCGGATTCTCGACGGAGAAAGTGAGGCATAGTGCAGGAAGCAGGAGGAGAGAGATCGCTGCCAAGAAGCCCGAGGAATTCGCCATTTTCGCACCCTAGGGTTTTTCCCTGGTGTGTAGAGTAAACCACCAGCGGAAACGCAGACAGAGCCGAAGGCGTTCGTATCGTCGCACGCACGCACCTGCGGTTGAAAACCAATACCCGGTTTCGTTAAGCCGAAACGCTTGGTCGATCCAAGTCATCCATCGAACTGCGACCTCGAGAAGCATGTCATTTGGGCTTTAAAGTACTATGGGCTTTATTTGGATCTTAGCACGGCCCAACCAAGATCTTTAAATGGTTTACGCTGACGTGGATTAGTGCAATTATTACATTAACCGGAATTTTATGTATAGCATAAATAAATAGTTTATTTGGTTATGATTCTACTGTCATGTGATTTATTAGTAGTTGGAATTGAAATTAAATGTTCAATACGGCGGGCTTAGATGCGTGATTACTTACATGTTTTTAGGGGTTAAACACATTTTAAAAAAATTAATTAAGTGATTAACAAAGAGAACAAATGGGCTCACGAATATTTGAAAGCTAATCTCTGGGCTCGATGGCATATCATTTCTCGGCCTTTTGTTTATGGAAAAGTTCGACAGGATGACGTGGAAAATGATATTTCCACAATTTTTTTAATAAGGAAAACTAATAAATAAAAAAACCACCACAAGAAAACTGTGGATGCCATCTAATGGCCCACCATTTAGAACCCAGTCACTGATCGCCACGTGGCGGATCTTATTTTGCAACCAAGCTAAAGAGGAAAGAGCATTTACAGATACGAAGCATTATAGTTTATGCAAGTTAAAGCTAATTTCCTCCTTAAAAAAAATCATCTGTATCCTGTTTTGGAACTGGAAAATTTAAACTGTCCAATAAAGTAGTTTCTATTCGCATATTTCACAATTTTAGATTTTTTTTTTATAAAAGAATCGCTGCTAAGTACTGTTTTCTATATAAACGTATGCAGATTTTGGTATTTTATTTATTTGGAATATATATTTGGATAGATAAGTTTCCTATTTATGATAAATATCCCATTAAAGATTATCCTGAGTTTGTAGGTGTCACAACTCAAAGAACAGTTACGTGAAGCTCAAAACAAGATTTAACGACAACCGGTGTGGATAATTTTTTCAAGTCTAGACTTCGGTTTATTATATGACACCCGATTATAAAAATAAAAATAAAAAAATTCTTCCTCACCATCGTTCAGTAATAATAATTCCTCGATAAGCCCATTACCAAATAATAATAATAACACCTCGATGAGTTCAATTGAAGCCATTTTCATTTTTTGGCGATTTGATGCTGACTTCCGAATCTGATATTAATCCCTTTTACGACATGGAATAGATGGACCTATATGTAATTTTACAAAAAAAAATTATGGAATTTTTTTAAATATCGATGTAAATAATTTCGAAATAATGTAAATGTGGTCCGGTTTCTGCATGTTTTAACAATTTGTGGTTAATAGTCATTTCAATTCTTCTACACGAAGTATAAAACGTAACCTCCATTATTTTGGTTGACGGCAAATGAATTTCAGTACAATTAGTATAAGATATATTCGATTTTTCTTTTATTAGAGAATTTTGATAACGTTCTATTATTGTTAACAACAACAACAACATCTCCTTAATCCTATAAATTTATAAAAATGGATAGCAGATTGGAACCTCGATTTTATGTGTTTTTCTAATTTAAATATTATATTTACATAATTAAGAAAATTAAAATGTGTCCCGACCAATGCATATGTGTGTGTATATATATATATATATGTATATATTATTTTATAATATAGATAAGCTAATCTATCGTCGAAATATGCAAATAATATATCTTCTATGACTATACGATTTGTGTCATTTATAAAATGTATGCCGCTAAAAATCTTCATAAAAAACGTGAATTTTCATTTTTTAAACATCTGACTCATAGGAAATATTATATACTACAATACTGCATGATATCCTATCTTCTTGGTTTGCAGATTATACAATTTTAAAAAATAGATAAATTCCACGGTAAAAATGATATAGATTACACCATGCATATACATTAAGAAAAATCTTATTGAGAATAATACTTATCCTTTTCCTGTAGAATAAAAAGTGCAAATTTAATCATAAATTAATGGATTTTATTGTCATTTAATAAATAAAATAAAAGTTTCCATGTTTTCCCTCCCGTTCCACCATCCACAGTCCCATTTCAAAAAACATGCGTCGGGTCGGAAATAGCTCTACCGAGCTTCTTCAAAATTACGGAAATACCCCCAAACTTCTGGGTATATAAATACGCAGCCAAACACTTCTCTTTGTCGTCTTCCTCCCTCACTTCACAATGAAAACTTCCAGTCTCAGGTATCAGCGGGCTCCATCAATGGCAGATCCTTTGGAGGAAGTGGCGGAGGAGACGCTTCATCCGAACTTCCCATTTGTCATGAGCTCGTATGGGTTCAAGTCTTTCAATTCCGAAGAATCCGGAAACGGCTCCGACGATCAATTCGCTTTCAGCATCAGCCCGGATTTGCTACTCGACCCGAATGACGTTGTTCCGATGGAGATGATCGGAGAAGGAGGGCATTCCATCGTCTACCATGGATTGTGGGTTCCGTTTTTCTTCTTATTTTGCTTACCTTTTGTTCACGGTTCCTCCATACGTATACTCGTAGCTTGATGAAAATGCGTTCCCGTTTCCGTTGTTTTCTCTTGATCTTGGTGTTTATTTGCTTATTTTGTGCCTATTTACCCTCTCCATGTCGATAGATGATTTGGGGTTTTATTAAATCAGAGGCCCCTTCTCTTTGGTGGTGGGTTTCAGGGTCCTCTGCCGAATGAAACGAAATGCAATTTGAATTTTGCCTCTCAGGTTGAGATTTGGGATGATCTTATCATTCAGGGTTCCGATCAAGATTGTTTCTTGATCAATATGTGATGATTTATGCCGAACTGCATGTCTGCTGTTATCCTGTTTCATTTCATACCTTCTCACCGTCCTAGGGTTTTTTTAGCTTCTGTCTCGAGGGTTTTTCACCTCTGAATTTCTGCTAACTTCTGATCATATTGATTTCTGAAAAGGGGATTTTGCGTTTTGGTGTGAAATTCTTGTTCATGCAGAGGCAATAGTCCAATGTGCTGAGGCATCTAGAGATCAGCTTTTAAAGGCTTAACCTTTTGCCAGATGCACTAAACCCTGCTCATGATTTTGGGGTTAATGATTTGAGCTTTTCACTTGATTTTGATACTTTCATAGGTAACAAATTCTTGTCGTTTAAGAAGCAGAAAAATGTTCATGCAGTCTAAGTTGTAACTCGTATACCACGAAGCTCTTCATTTAACCAGAACTCCTGTGCAAAACTGTTGTAAAATGTTCTACCACTTGGACATTCTTTAGTAGGTTGGTTTTGATTATGAGAATTGAATGATTCTGATGAGGAAATGGCCTTACAAGGAAACCGTTTTCGCCGATCTCCACCTGTAAGTTTGTTTCTGTTTAGAGAGAACTTACCAAAATGTTTAGATCTGCATAGTTTTTCCGAAGTGGGAATCGTGTACCGTGCATGGAAAACTACGTCTCCGGCTTTGATTAGGATGCAGATTTCAATGTCCCGGGATTTTCGAGAAATGGATAACCGAGTACTGGCATGTGTAAAATTTCACTAGGGTTCATGCTGATCCTGATTTGGAATGTGGTTTAACGTATTCTTATATGAAACATTTATGCGAATACAGGTTCAGGAAACTCGTCCCCGTTGCTGTGAAGATCTTCGAGCCAAGCAGAACATCTGCTGTAAGCACCGAGCACAAAGAAAAATTCCAACGGGAAGTTCTGCTGCTATCCAAGACGAAACATGAGAACATTGTGCAGGTTCTTAGTTTCTTCCTTTCCTTGGCCAAGTTTTACACTTGAACTATCCTTTTTATAGATCGATATTCTCACCCGATACAGTTGGCTTGAGAGGTGAAGCAACTGAATTTATTCGTGCATCCATTTGTATTTTACGACGTAAAGCATGGAAGATATAATGGATGGAGATTAGCAATGCAAGAGACGTAAAATCATTTTTATTGAACTTTGGTGACAGTTTATTGGAGCGTGTGTGGAACCGCAGTTGATGATAGTTACCGAACTCATGACGGGCGGAACGCTTCAGAGATTCTTGTGGAATTCTCGTCCAAGGCGTCTTGATAGGGAACTCTCGATAAGCTTTGCATTGAATATTGCTCAAGCCATGGAATACTTGCATGAAAATGGCATCATTCACCGTGATTTGAAGCCAAGTAATAATTCATTGGAAATCTTTTCTTATCGATTCTTTCGGTCGAAGTTAATCTGCTTTGCACATATTCACCGTGTTTTCATTCGATTACTCATCAATGTAACCAAAATGCACATATACGGGATTTCAACCTGTTATCTTGCCCGGAAAATAATATATGGGAATTTAAGATTGTAAATTGAGATCATAATGCTTCCATGGTGGATTCTCATCTCAGTTTTTTGAGACGCAGGCAATGTGCTCGTTACAGGAGACGGGAAGCGAGTTAAACTGGCAGACTTTGGTCTGGCTAGAGAGGAGACAATGAAGGGAATGACCTGTGAGGTGGGCACCTACAGATGGATGGCCCCTGAGGTGTTTCTTTGAAAACCCTTCATTCAAGCCAACCTGTCCGGATATACACACATTCCATGTATATGTATATATATCTCCTTACGTTTTTTTTTTTCTATTTTTACACACAGTTATTCAGCCGTGAACCACTTCTGATCGGCGAGAAGAAACATTACGATCACAAGGTGGATGTCTACAGCTTCGCAATCGTTTTCTGGGAGTTGCTGACAAACAAAACACCGTTCCATGGAAAGAATAGCATCTCTGTTGCTTACGCTACCAGCAAAGTGAGCCTAAAGCCATTGTTTTCTCCCCAGAATGATTTTTTACGTGCTTCCTTTGGATTCGAACGAGAATTCTTGAGCTTTCTTGTTCGTTTGTTTTCTCTCAGAACCACAGGCCAAGTGTGGAGAATCTTCCAGCAGAAGCAGTCCCGATTCTGAAGTCATGCTGGGCAGAGGACCCCAGCAAACGGCCCGAGTTCAAAGAGATCATACTCTCACTCACAAACTTGCTCAAAGCTCACGGGAATCGCTATGCGGATGGGAATTTCAAGAGTGAGCTGACGCAGGAAAGGAGGAATCTGCTTCTTGAGGGGCCTGTTGAATGCGATTGTCCGGTCAAGAAGCCTGAGAAGAAGACGAGAAAGCTGGAGAAGAGCGATAAGAAAATGAAGAAGATGAAGGCGAGGCATTGGTTCGTTCCCTTCATCGGGTTCTTCAGAGCTTGCCTCTCCCCCAAGTGATGACGAAGAACTTTGGGTGTTCATAACGGGAAAAAAAGGGTACAGTTTGCATTAAAATGTTAAACTTTGATAAAGAAAGATGGAAAATGTCTGGTTAGGGTTCTTTTTAGTTTTTGGATGGATTCAATACCATTCTTTTTTAAAAAAGAAAAGAAAAGGCAATCCCCATTTGAACTTTGTTCAATGGTTTAAAAGAAAGCCATTGTTTTGTTTTTTGGTGGTTCAATGGGTGGATTGGATTCTGTTCTGTGTAATAAAATTTCTTACTATGGTTCTGTTCGGTTCAGTTTTCAGTGCGGCACGTCTTGCAAATGGTTTCGACTTCCTATTTTTTTTTCCAGGAAGTTCATCCGAACTTTCGATCCAATCTACATCCATCTAGGTCTGGGAGCATTTTTTAGGGACCGACAACATAGTTAGGGAGCAACACTCTCCCAACCGAGAAATTATCCCTTTTCCTTCTCAATAGTTGGAATCGAACTCGTGACCTGGACTCAAAGATCACATCCAATTCAATCACTCACCCACTACTAAGTGGGTTCGACTTCCTACTTATTACTAATTGAGTTCGACTTCCTACTTATTCTGGTTACAACGATAATTTTTGGTAATATCTGTACATTAGAAAATATTTGGTGGTTGGGCGATTGGAAAACAAAAAGAGAATCCTAACAAAAAAAATATGAACTTTTAAATTAATTTCACATAAATAAACGAGTTTCATGTATTTCAATAATCCCACATTGACTGTTATGTATTTAATGGAATTGGTTACATGTCAATGCCACGTGAAAAACAAGAAAAAAGTTGTCATGGACCGTCTATCTCAACAAAATATTTTGTTTAAGCTTCTGGTTTTTCGAATCGATTTTTAAAAAATCGGACAGAATTAAATTTGGTAAAAAATCGGAATCTATTTAGCTAAGATGAACATGGCGATGTCGCAATTTTGTTTTCCACACGACTAGACTTCGGTTTATTATATGACACCCGATTATAAAAATAAAAATAAAAAAATTCTTCCTCACCATCGTTCAGTAATAATAATTCCTCGATAAGCCCATTACCAAATAATAATAATAACACCTCGATGAGTTCAATTGAAGCCATTTTCATTTTTTGGCGATTTGATGCTGATTTCATGTTCTTTCGTAAAATTTTCAAAGTTTATGTATTTGTATATCAATTTTTAAAAATCCATACTTGTTTTCATAATTCTTGAAAAAAAAAAGTAAATTAAGCCGTTAGCGTTATATATGTTGGCCTTTTTAATGAATTAAAAAAAAAAAAAAAACAGATGTGGGTCAAACATACAACACAACTCCGTCCGTACAAAAACAAATGCGTTCAGTAACAGAGCTCCCGTAACGTAACATTCCCCCGAACAGACAAGACAGGGTTTAAGCAGTTAACCGATGTAAGAGACGACGACAGTTATATCGTCGAGCTTTCCACCGTAATAACGGTACCCGGCCTCCTGAGCCGCCGCAGAGAACGGTGTCTGCCGATTTCTATCCACCGCTATCTGACGAGCCAATTCCGCAATCTTTTCCGCCGTTCCTTTAGGATCTAAGCCCGCTCTCACCGAATTCACCACAACCCCCACGATCTCGTCGTTGTATAGATTGTCAAACAATCCATCCGTCCCTGCCACGATCGCATCCCCCTCCTTCACTTCAATCGTAAATACCTGCATTTATTTTTACACGAATTCAAACGTGTGAATGGTTCATGTTGGGACGACAAGGTTTGGTAGATTACATTACACAGATATATGTATGCATATATGTCGAACTGACCTGACCGGAGCTAGGCATATCGCCTCTGTTCCCGCTCTCGAGTTGATATGTGAAGTTGAATCCATGCTGCTGAACTGGCGACTGAAACAGCGTAGTCCCTTCTCTAACCACTATGAACCCGCTGTCCCCGAGATTAATCGCATGTATTCCCTACGCAAGATACAACCACTATTGCATTAGCGAAGAAGACAATGTTCATATATAATGATGGTATGATTGCAATGCCAATGTGTATCACTTGGATACCACCCTGATTGAAATCCATATGGTTACTAAACTAAAAGGGCAACACCCAACCTTGTCGGTGAGAGTGATGATGCAGGCCGTGGATGAGCCTTTTGCCGTGGTTTGGGCATGCGCCTTCTCTAACACTGTTAACGGGTCAATGGAAGAACCCTTGGCCTGTCCCTGAATCGCCATTACTGAATTGGACATGAGTTCACGTGCAAACAATCCCGCATTCACACCAACTTCTGCCCATCCGCCGACTCCATCCGCAACTCCGATGACTTGTTCTTCGTCACATATAAAGTGATCATCTTCTCCACCTGTATCTTCCTTTGCAGGATGTGGGAGATAACACGATCCCGATAGTAGCTTCAGGTTTCTGCTCAATATTAAGATTTATGAGAAAGACTAAACATAATGTGGTAATTCAACTTCAAAATCCTCTTTTCTTACGTAACCAATAATGGTTCAATGCAATACTTTGCAAACAGTTTTGTCCGAGCGTGCCCAGACAAAGCTAAACACAGCAAACTGGCCGGACAACCAATTTCTTGGCATATACCCACTTTCCGTTGAAGACATACAGCCCCCACGGTCTAGGATTTGTGATCTTTATTGCAATGTAGACCAATGCATTGCCATTATCTTTGCTGTTTTTTCCACATTCTCTCTATGATTCTAAAAGAGTGACAGACAAACGTTACTAATTCCAGCACAAGGAAGGAACAACTGGAAAAAAAAAGGATAATGTGTGATCAACTTACCTTAAGGAGGACGTAGGAGGAGAATATGTAAGATCTTCATCGTGAGAACCACTGTTGAATGACAATTCATGAGCTGGTCCGACCGAAAAACATACAGTGGACGATGTACGGCCATTCTTTGACATCAGACTGAAACATGAACCTCGGAAGGAGCTCTTCTGGAGCGGGACAATGGCAGAATGCTGGCAAACCAATAGGCTCTTTGCTCGTTTACTCTTCCCAATGCTCATGCTAGCTCTCTGGCAACTAGCACGAGTCCTGTCAGTGGTAAGGCAACCACCTGAAGCTGAAGGCATAGTAGCGGAGTCCAATCCATTTGCAAATGTTGTAACCAAATCATCAAAGCAAGCATCCCCAAACACCGGCAACGAACCAGAAGCAGCCATGGCTACTCTCCTTCCGGGGCTTGGCCGTGCTAAATGAGAAAATTCCAAACCCGAAAAGAACAATCCCTTCTCGCCAGGTATGAGATTCTTGAATATACAACGCCCAGCCACAACCCTTTGAAGACGACCAGTATAAACAACAGGGTTTAACCTTGAGAAAGCAGTGGCTGACATTTCAATCCCTTGAAGAAAAATCGAACCAAGATAACATGAATTTCATAGCTTTGGCGACATATCAATAACCAGGAATATCAAATTCAACGAAACGAAACCCTGATAATCAAAAGAATCGGAAAAACGAAAACTCGTGTCTTGATCTTATCAGCTACTAAAATTTTCCACAACATTCGTAGCCCAAAAATGTTCGGCTTTGGTTAAGGGGAAATCGATAAGGTAGACGATGATGGCGAAAAAAGTCACGAATTCAAATTTAACAAGGAAAAACAATGGGAAATCATGAAACCGCGACATAGCTTCACGTCAAATCTTTTGGAAAGAATTACCGGATAACCCTAGGTCCTATCACACCCACCGTCTCCTCTGTCCTCCTCTGTGTGTGTATATATGTGTATGTATCTATGGAGTTTAGGTTTGAAGAAGTGAAACCACAGGAGGGAGAGGGAAAGGTAAGGGGCGAGGAGAAAACAAATCTCCTGTTACCGAGTTCGGAAAATTGCCCTTACCAGATCCCAATCTGCAGGTGGCGGCTGTCCGGTAAATACGGCAATACTTGGGCCTAAATTCGGAGATTGCAATTGCAATGACAGTACATAAGAATTTCAGCTCTTGCTCTTTGTAAAAAAAAATAGCTACTGTATTGGGCCTTATAATGAGCCCAATAATAGGTGTACGGCAACATTGGGTCATACCATCAGTTTTATGGGCTTTAATATTTATAGCCCATTATCGTGTGGGCCATGACAACAGACCCAATATATACACCCCTTGTATATTCATTGCTCAACAAAAATAACAAATCCGGTTACGGCTGAAATAAAAATAAAAAATTAAAACATGTGGCAACCTAAAGTGGGGATTAGTGGGGAAAACATTGAGAAAAATAATAATAATAATAATATAATCCATCGTTAATCATAAAAGAAGAAAAAAAAGAGCATAAAGAAAACACAACTAATTAAGATGTAAATCAAATCCGCAATCTCATATTAAGTTGGATATTTGAATAATACAAGAGGTTCAATACATGTGAGCAAATTGATGCTGAAACGTTAGACACCGACACCTCATGATCAAATGATGCAGTTAAAAAAAAAAAACACGTCCACGGTTGCATCGAGATGTAAAATTCTTGTCGGGATGGGAACCAAAATCATTCGCAAAAGAGAAATTGAACAAGTTGGGAATGGGACCCAGTCAGCCAAGTGATACTTTTCCACACGGTTCCTTTTAGACACAAGTCTTCTTCTCCCCCAAACCCTAAAAAGAAATCCGATTCAGCTTTCACCATCACCTCATTTATTGCTTATCGAATTCTATTCTTCTTCGTCATCATCATCATCACTTCAAACGCCAGTGCAGTCGTGTCACATGGGGTTTTCTTACCGCAATCATTATGCGTTTTACGACATTATTTGTTTTCTTCCGACAGGTTCGAAATATCTGGCAGTAAACCAAGATTTCAGACATAAGAAATCCATAAATCTGGTTATGATTCAAATTATTACCGCAAATGCGGAAGTTTCTTCTTTTACTAGAAACTGTATGTACTTCTGGAAACCCCGGTAAGGGCAAGACACTAGGCCAAACAAAGATCCAGATATCTAAAAAATTCAATCTCTTCCAACATCACTACTCTTCTTACTGTAATATGCTGTTTCCTCTACTTCGTCTTGTCTCTACGAGCTTCTACTGATGTCCTTACCCGGAAACTCTCCACCCCCGAAAGACCCCGTTAAATCTAAGCCGCCGCTTCCGATGGAGGTAATCAGAGCAGAGAGTCCGCCACCATGACTACCACCTCCCCCTACCGCCCTTCCTAGTCCTAGAAAGTCGAGCGTTGTCTGTTTCGGACCAAACACAGAGGAGTTCCCCATCATGAGCTCTTTCAAACCCGAGCCACTGCTGCCGCCTCCGCAAGGCAGTCCCAGTCCGAGCCCAGGAGCCAGAGACATGTCCTGGCTGCTCAGATCCATTGTCGATGAAGTAGATGGAACAATCCCTAACCCACGAAGCAACGACCCCCCTGATGCCCCCATCTGAGCGGCTTTCTGAAGCAAAGCAGTGGCAGACATGGCTGGTTGAGGCGGAGGGTTCGGGAACTGTGCTGGGTCCTGCAGTGCAGACCCAAACAAGGGTGACCCGTGATTTGTCGAGAGGCAGAGAGAGATGGGTTCGACGGAAGTGGACTGTGCGAAAAGACATGGTGAAGCTGTAGAAGTAGTGGAGTATAAACTCGGTGAGGCTGTGGAAGACACGAACAAGCCAGCAAAAACACCATTGTTGTCACTAAGGTTAGTGCTTGGGGTTGAGGCTGTGTTACTGTTGGAGTTCATGTTCAAGATCGTCCTTGGAATTTCTTCAATGACTTCAGGAGAGATTTCTGGGGATTCTGCAGCTAAGAAACCCATGAAGACAAGATGAGAAGGGTGTCATTACATACAAGTTTGAGAATTTTCTGTAATAAAGAGATGAACTTTTAAACTGAAAAAGCCGAAAATCAATCATGGTTTCGTATCTTAGATTTCTTTATCATAAAGAATCAGCCATCGAATACGACCAAGTAATGGAAAAAAATGCCACTAAACTACAAGAAACGCCAATGACAGAACACAGAACAGAGGTTTTATTGGGGGGTTCTTAATTAGGATAAGGAGTGGAAAACACTTCATATCAGGACAAAACGTGATCCAACAGGCCAAAGTTTCCGAATTTGGAAATCGGGCTAAGAATGTTACCTGAACGCCGAATCGACAAGGCCGAGGAAGATATGATTTCCGCTGGCTTAGCATCAACCTGGGCAACAGTTCCAACCGGCACGGAAGCCGGAGCCGGAGCCGCAGCCGGCGGCGGATGCGGATGCGGATACGGTGGCGGCGACGACTGAGAAGTGGCTGGGGTTTTCGGGTCGGAATCTACAGTTTCCCGGATACCCATTTCAGGATTCTGCTTCTTGCTGTGGTTGCGGTTCCTGGCGCTCTCTTCAGCCAACGCATCGCAGAACGCCCTGTGCGTTATGAAGCTATCCCTCCTGCAAGAGAATCAGGAGAAACCCAGTGGCTAAATTGAAGAAGATGCATCGAAATTGGACTTTTAAATTTGTTATGTTTGCGGTCAAACCTGGAAAACAGAGTGCCGCAGTCGCATTTGTACTCTTTGGTGCCGCAAATCTTCGAATGGGCCTTCCAATCGGACTGAACGGCGTATTTCTTAGAGCATTTCTCGCACTTCCACTTCTTCTCGCCGTGTTTTCGACAGAAGTGCTTCTTGATGCCGGTGAGATCTCCCAAAGCGCGTGAAGGCTCGTGGTGGACACAAGTGGGCTCCGGACATACATAGACCTTCTTCTTCACCTCCTTGCTCGATCTCTGCCGGAGCTTCCATGGCAGATTATGGCCGCGTCTGTGGAGCTGGAGATTCTGGTCGCGCTGAAAACCCTTGTTGCAGATTTCGCATACGAATCGGTTCGTCGCCAGTAGGGCTTTCGGCGACAGAGCTATGACTTCCGCGTCTGGATCTGAAACCCATACACAGCAACAGACATCAGCCCTCCAAAAAAAAATCCAATTTCTCTGATGTTAGGAAGAAAAAAAACTGGAAGTTGGGATTAAGGAGCAACCAGGCATGCCGGGTAGGTTGCGCTTCTTTTTAACGGCGGATTTAGGAGGTGGGTTTTGATTTCCGGTGGAGGAGACGCTTGCCTCGCCGGAAACTGTGGATGAGTTATCCAAATCGACCGGCATGTGCACAAAAAAAAATTCAAAACCACAAAATCTACCCTTTTTCCCAGTGGAACCCAGAAATCAAGAGAAAAAGGCAAGAGAACTGAGCAAATAAATCTCAGCTCAACCCAGTCTCGGAAAAAAAACCCACAAACAACAGATAATTTCCCGGCAATCCGATTCCCTCTAGGGTTTATCGTCTTGCTCTTGTCCTTGCCCTTGCCCTTGCCCTTGCCCTTGCCCTCCCTCTCTCTCTCTCTCTGTTCTTGAGCTACCAGTCAATCTGCTTTTCGTAAAAACCCCTTTTTCCCCTTTTCGCCACCAACCTTTTCTGATAAGCCTGTCTGACCCCTCCAAAAGATTTTATGATTAAAATTAAAACTTTCATTACCCGATAAACCTCTTACTTTCTTTTTTCTCTTCTCTCTCCTCCCCAGATTCCGATCTCCGGCGACGTTCGATATTCTACGGGGTCTGCCCTTTCGGCGTTCTGAGTAAAAGGATATTTGTCTGGTTCATTTGATCGCTTTTATTTTCCTTTGCTAAGCAAACATGGAGCGTAAATAAGGCGGCTTTTGAGTTTTGACACCGTGTGAAAAGCTTCTGCCTTTTTTTCCTCTCTCTATCTCTCTAGCCAATTATTTTCATAGTATTTTCATTTTTTTCAGGAAAATTCGGGTTTAGGCAAATGTTAATCTGAAAAATATGATTGCTATACGAGCTAATTAGAATAAGCTTTTTGTCTATTGACTTTTGAATATTAAATTATTTTAAAAAAAACACGTATAATGTGCTAATTCTAGTAAAATATAATATTGATTAGCTTTCTAGTACCATAACTTTTTGTCTTTATTTCTCACATATATGATATATCTAATCTTGTCGTCCTTTATATATTGTAATCTTATAAACACAAAATGTCTAAACGTGGGAAAAAATTTTAACTTTTTTTTATTTTATTTTAAAGTTTATTCCAACGGCAAATTGAAAAGCAAAAGCAACAATTGTATTCACTACCGTATCTCTCGTACATTTTGCAATTTGTATTCCGGACAGACGAAAGTGCATATGGGCAAACAATATAACGAAGAGATTATTATAGTCTTGCGAATAAAATAATTATAATAGTAATAAAAACCCTGATTCAAAATTCTAGACGAAAACGATGAAAAGTTGATTAATTTAATAGTGTTTGCTATTTTGATTTTATAGAATATTTAAACCGATAAGCATGAAGTTCGAGACGGCGATTGAGGTTGTAAGCAAGCAAAGCAGTTTAAAAAAAAAAAGTTATTGTCGTCGTCCTTATCCGGAGACACAGGAGGATTCACCGCCCGTTGTCGGACGGACCATATGAGCTGTAATTTAAATAAATATATATATATATATATGAACAAAAAAAAATTGAAAAAATTTATGTGGATTTTGTCGTATAGCGAAGTGTTCGAAATCGTTTTTTGTTTGTTTCGCATCTTTATTGCGAAGGGTTCTTCTGATTTGTTGACTTTGACTTTCTGGAGCCCTAAAAAAAAAAAGTTTTTCTCGAGCCGAAATCCTTTTCTGCCTTATGAGACGCTATGATGCTGACACGTGTCATGCATTGCATGATTCCCATCAACAAAACCAAAATTGTATATATTTGTATACCATTGCTCATGTTTTTATATTGGCTTTTTCTCGTAAACAAATAATTCGTCATATAAATATATTTTATATATAATAAAACCTATGAAGGGTGATTGAATTTGCACGAGAAAAAATCATTACAGAATATTAACTTGGGATTTTAGATTGATTTCTTTTACATCAACATTATATGAAATAAGAATCGCTACGTATTTGAATTTTTAATACAAATACTCCATTTTATCAGCACCGAATTTATTTTTGGGTTTGTTTATAAAAAAAAAAAAGAATTTCTTTTTGGTCCCTCTTTATGACCTTTTTTTAATATTAGTTTCAAAAGCAGCATTATTTTAGAGGCGTGACATGGGTCCCACTCACGGCACTGTTTCGCCAGCTCAGAAATTCCATCATCCATGGCCGAAAAATAGTTCCAGCCACTATCCAGAGAATCAAAATCAAATCGACCATCATTTTACTAATTATTTCATCTGTCTCGGTGCGTGTCTAATTACGCTGATGTTATTATTATTATTATTCAAATTATAAAATAAAAATTGTATTAATAGCTTTTGCATGGCATGGATCTCACGAGCCCAATTATTGCTCCCGCTGGCTTACACTAATTACTTTATTTGCTAAGTCGGGCCCATCTTAGATTATTCAATCAAAACATACTATACAGACGTATCTATATATTTTCGCACACGTGCGTATATATACTTGTACATACAAAAAATGCGTGTATGGTTACGTAAACGTACGAAAATATGTATTTATATGTACACACCCACAAATGGACCGATTGTTTTGACATGAAACATTTTGTTGAATTATTGTCTGCGTAGGATTTATCTTATATTAGTTTCCCGACTAATGTTTTATTTATTTATTTTGGTAGCATTATTTTCCAATTTCTTTTGTATTTTTCTTTGAATATGCGTTGGGTTGGGGCTTAATATTTGTTTTAAAAGCGAATAATCCGAAGCTTTCCCTTTCCTTCTACAAAACCAAATAATATTTAAATTGATTTATAGATTGCTCGTATGTTATCACATTATTTAATTAATAACGAAAATAATCATAGCATATGAATTTTTTTTTTTCTCGAATCGAGAAACGTCCGGAGAATATCGAGCGAATCCTTCCGTACAATTCAAATAAGCATTTGTAAATCATTGGTGGTATCCCGGAGCACCAACATATGCTTGTGTAAGATGTTATTTCCCTTTATAAAATATTAAATTTAACACCAATCTTTAACCTTTATGACGATAATCACAGTGAGTTTATAGTATTATTTATAGCTTTAATCACTTTTAACATTTATAATACCTACATCAAATTAACGTAGCATTGGATTTAGACATAATTAAGTTCAAGCATAGTGACCGAAACTATATAAATACTTGTACAATACTGTGGAATATTGTCCGATTAAAGTTAAATGAAAATATTCCAAAGAAAATAGTAAAAAAATAAATAAAAAAAAATGTGAGAAGTTTGTTCCGACAGTGCTACCGTTTATTTTTGGGTCGTCCGTACGGTATGTAATCTTTGGTTGGGGAAGGGACTATATGTCTATAACGGGCTCTTAGACATAGGCCCACTAGTCGTTGTGCATAAACTTGGGCTTCTCCGAATCCATATCACTAAGAGAGAGAGAGATCACGTGAGCAGTCACATGACCGACCGACGGTCCCGCAATCCGCAATTAGCCAAACCCAAATTCAAAATCAAACTCAACCGAACAATATTCGATATTAATTTGGTACAATTTTTGTATAGCCGAAAAAGCGGTTTCCCAAAAAAAAATCGAATTATTCACAATTACATACGAATTTATAATTAAATATCAAATTTTGATTCTTTTTTTTTAGTTTTATATTGATTCTTAATTGGTATTAATAGAACAAAATCGAATCAAATTGAAACAATCTAAACCGATTTTCGAATCGAATAGGACAAATATCAATCGAGTTTTGAGACGTCCATCCCAATATTGAAAACAGATGTTGAAACGCAATTGTACAAGTTGTAATCATGTAATTTTATAGAGATTTGTTAAACGTTGTAATGATGTAAAAGTGACGTTAATTAAAAAGAAAACTGTGTTTTTATCCAAACGTCGAAGGTTTGATACAAAACAAACCAGACAAATGTGAGTTTTTTTTTAAATTTAAAAACAAAAAATGAAATCCAATCAAGATTTTGTATATCTGATTCTTTTAAAATTCCGAAAAACTAATTTATTAAAAAAAATCAAAGAAAAATCATAAACCTATTTTAGGATTCTCATGTTTTATAAAATTTATAAAAACCAAAAACTGAAAACAAAAATTATCACCATGAAATGTATTGATAAACACACCAAACCTTTTTTTAAGAGAGAGCCCATCTCAATTACAGTTGCAATGATCAACCCTCCGCACGATTCACTCTTCTGTTTCTTTTTTCTCCTTCATATATATATATAGAAATATATATATATATTCTTACAGTGACGTTGATAGATCCCATTAACCCCGATTTAATCCACCTTTCTTTACAATTACGACACTATCTAATCTGGTTTTTTTTTCTTTTTTACTTTTTTGGGTAAAATAATTTTTTGGGAATGTTAATGCCGGTTTTAGATTTTTTTTTTTATATTAGATTACAACGTGGATGCTCTCCATTAAAACCTTTTGTTCCATGCATTTGTCTTTTTTTTTTTTTTTTTGCAGTTTCGGGTTTACTCCGGAATTATTTGAGTATAAAATAAAAAATATTTCCTTCTCAGTTTTTTCTGTAGAATTCCATGAAAAAAACTTTTGACTTCGTTAAATATTCTAAAGAAAAATTTAATGTATTTATCTGAAATATTTTACAAAATTCATAGTTTTTTTTTTTATAGGATTCTCTTTTTTCCTTATGGTACAGGAAAAACAATAATAAATTTTACTTTATTGAAAATTGTCCACGAAAAAATACAAATCGTAATATCATCATAACATAAAAATCATTCAAATATATGAAATTAAATAAGAGAGTGAACAATGATCACAAACAAACGCACGAGTGGTCGTCGGTTGCAACATCTAATGTGGAAACTAGGACGATGAAAAATATAAAAAAAGCGAAGGGACCACGGCCGAAAGAAAAAAAAAAGAAAGGGAAAGTGATATTATGTTATATCTCCATGCGAAAACCGAGGAGGGTCCAACGAATTAAATATAATTTGACCAAGGCGGAATAACTATTTTATAATCATTGAAATCACTTGAATTTACGAGAAAAATAAGGGTAATCTGTCTCACCAATGTTTGCCATTAACCACGCATTGACCCTTTTTTGTTAGTTAAAATGTCTTACTTTGAGATTTAGAAAAGCCAAATTAATTCCCTAATCGATTTGTCTTCACTATCAGCTTCATGAGGGCTCCATATTAAAGCTTTGTCCTATCTTCCTCTCGATATATATATATATATATATATATATATATATATATATATATATATATATATATATATATATATATGTGTGTGTATTAAGTCCAACTACAAAGTATTTTCTATACGTACCATTGATTTTACGTATAATATAGCTACCATACGTGAAATGATCTTGTTGTAGTTATGATCGAATGTTACGTTCGAGTTGTAGCTTAAGATTCGATTAGCAGAGGAAACAACTAATAAAAATATGGAATGCAAATGAACTTCATCATATATATCACATCGATGTGGATCAAATTAATTCACTCCCGAAAACAACATTAAATATCCACGATTCCAATACATGCAGTTTCTTTGTTTATTTTCCTCTGACATAATCATTCGAGTGTTTCCGCGATTTACGAGGTAAAGACAGAAAAGAGCGAGAGGGTCAAAAATTGTAAGCAGGACAATATATTAAAATTTGTGAGCGTGAAAAATCTATGCACCGGTCCATACATACATACATACATATATATATATAATTATTTTGGGTCAAATGGGCAATAGATAAAACCCGCGCGTGAGCAATGATTGAATTGCAATCATACCTTTGGTCGTAGTTGTGGGCAACCCTTCCTTGAATATCTTCGACTCCTAATATTTTCATTCCACTCCCTTATTTCTCCTCTTTCTTATTTAAATGCCCGAAACTTCCTATCAGTTGCCGAGCATGTGATATATACATTGATGTATACATGCATGCATCAGATGTTTTATATTGCATGCATGGATATCATATTAAACTGTCCATACGTTACAACCCTACTCATAAAAATGTGGATACGAATACAAGCATATAATAAATAATTCAAATTAAATAAACTAACATGTTCTTGTGTGTATGGATGAGTCGTGAGCGCGGGCGGGCGGATGCGTGCCGATGACAGAAATTACGAACCAAAAAATCGCAATAATATAAGGTATAATTGTCGGTCGAAGGCTACGTAACGTACAATAAAGTGAAGTGATGGGAGATCTACTCAAAGATACTACAAGAAATATACGAAATTAAATAATACCTACCAAGTTTGATAGAGATTTGCCATATTATCGAGATTTTATTGAGTTGATAGCGATGGTGACGAAGATCCTATCAGATTAATTTGGAACTTTCCACCCTTTTCAGAATCTTATACTTTATTGGGCACTTGAACGCTTCATATATATAAAAATGTATAATTATAATATTTTTTGGACTGTTTACATATGTTATGATTTGTTCCACAAGTAAATGTTTTTCGTGATTATGAGTAAGGCTATTAAAACGTAAAAATTAACATATTAATGTTTTTTTCTCTCCCGGATTCTTGTATTCAAATGCTAATTAGATACGGGGAATTAAAAGATCCTGTGAACGCTCTACACAGTAAAATATCGACGCGAGTTTCCAAAATAAAACGGAAAATGGAACTTGATATAATATAACGTTTGCTTTATGGTATAAAGTTTCAGTTATTAAAACAAAAAATATATATTTTTCAATTTCTTAATTACATAAGTATATTTAAAAATCCATTTAGACGAGTATCACTGATAGAAATTCGACAAATGAAAATTTCACAAAATTCGAAATTTATAGATAATCATAGGATGCGAGGGCGTATTGGGAAATTGTGAACAAAAAACGATAATAAATAAGGGTTTGACTTGATCAGAAGGGAAACGCTAATGCAGAGGAGTTGGTGATGACATTTATGTCACAGCTCCTTCATACGTCTTGTCACACACGTGTGTCACTTGCCACGTGTCACTTACCCACCCACTTTGTTTGCCCATTACGGCAATGATTGGCGCCGTTACGTCCCCTCCCCACCCGCACGAGTGGCTTCCTTTTTTTATTTATTTATTTCCCATCAAAACCTCTCTGAGCTCTCTCTCTCTCTCTCTCTCTCTATCTCTATCTCTCTCTCTCTCTCTCTATATATATATATTTCTCTTATGCCTATCTCTTCAACATTGATATCTAATAGGAACTATTCATTTGATTATAATTGTTCGTTATTTATTTCCATAGAATTCCTTGTCGTTATAAATTTATATATCCTTCAGTTATAACAAGGGCTGAATTTGGAATTTTTTTAACCAATTTCATTAAATTAAATTTTTTTCATTTTCTATTCCAGGTAAAATATAATGAAAAAAAGGAATGTGAAATTCGGGGAAAGCTGGTGGACGAGCAAATGCACGTGAAGAGCAATAATGGTATACACATGGATGTGCCCAAAGTATCTTCCCATTATTTCATCCTGTATTTTTCTCCACGGAATTAAATTATCCATTTAGATATATAAAGTAATATCCTTATGTATGTATATGCGGATTAATGTACGCGTGATTGTTTTTGTTAGTAGAAATATGCATGGAACCAGCTGTAACTGTAAATTGTAGATATGTACTAGGTTTTAGTTTGTAATCGTATTTATATTGGTAGGTCAAAATACGTATATATATATGTATGTGAATGTGTGTAAACAATGGCCCATATATATAGTGGAAACTGCATGCCTAATCTATATAAATATAGGCCTGTCGTGGTCAGACGAGCTTGAAAGAGTTTGGGGTCAACTCTAAATATGGGAGAAGCATTAAATAATATTTTTTTTGTTAAAATCAATAATATTTTTACATATAAGTTCCAATATAAATATCGCGATATATATGTTTTATCCCCATCTTAAAATCTTTTTGCGGTAACACAACGGAACGCGCTATTTACCATTGCTTATATAACGCGTCCCTCTTTTTTTTTTTTTTTTCTTGTACCAGATTAATATAAGTTTTGTTTTACAAACAAAAGAATAAACAGATCGATTACTTGTGAAATAAAATATTTCATTACGAAAATATAATGAAAAAATAAAAGGTGACGCATCATCAAAGGGGGGGTGGGGGGATATGAATGACAACCAAAAGGTTGTGGGATAATGGTCCCTGACAGCTTGAATATCGACCCTATTTTGAACCCCGAGAGATATAATCTCTAATCATCTAATCGTCTTCTATTTAAATATTGATAATCTTCTTTTTCTTATCTGTTGCACCAAATCTATCAAGCATGACTAAATAACCATGAAAATAATATCTTTTTTTTTTTCATTCGGGTTAACTCAATTTGACGTGGTGGAAGGGGATATTCGTCACCTGCTCTGTAATTGTAATGAAAATGGAAAAAAAAAATAAACATGTGCAATAAGGTAACTGAAGGACTGAGTCGTTGAACTAAGCCTGTTGGGTTTTTTTTTTCTGGTTTCAATGTCGTTGGATTCTATCCACATGCATGAAATGGATATAACTTTAGGGTTACCATTTCGATGTCCTCTACGACTGTGTAACCATTTATTTTGCTGCATCTCATAAATTGCTTTATTTAATGCTTTTAACACTTCTTTTATTTTATCATGCACGAAAAATACACGCCTTGATTTTATTTACTAATGGGGAGAAGGGGAATTGAGCAAATAGAAATATAAACCACATAATATATATATATATATATATATATATATTAGTCGTGAAAAGCGGATAAATTAGAAGGAAAAAAATCCATCTTCTCGATGATCAAATATTGAATCTTTTTATCTCAAAATAAAACTTGAATTCTTAAATTAGTGTCTTTTTAATGATGCATGGACACATCATTAAATATTATATTTCATTTTTTTTAAATACCGATGTTGTATGCAATGCTGGAACTTTGCAAAGATTTTATCTGATTTTTTAGGGTATATATAAACTATTATATATATATATATATATATATATATATAATCGACCATTGCATTACAAACATCGTTATTTTTTTTTAGTATTGAGAGAAATTAAACGGAGGAGAAATTTAAAAAACATTATTTTTTTCCCGTGTAACGACGTACGACAGATTTTCAGGGCAGGGAAAGCATACGGCTTTGACTGTCCGGTTGCACGTAGTGACAATAAATCTAATATTCTGTCTTTTTGATTTTGACCGGATGTTCTGTGTAGTCAGGGGGCTACTTACCTCCCATCTCCCTCCTGCTAAATTTACTGTTCTGTACATGCTGATAGCCTCCGCGTCGGTGTCTTACCGAGGGTAGTATCGTCATTTCAAGATACCCCGACGGAGCCCTCGCCCCGTGCTTCATGGGATCCTGCTTCGGCATTTATGAACAAATTAGCAAAGTGCCTTTTTTATGCTCTTATTAGTTTTTTTTTTCTTTTTTACCATCGCCACGCGTGTGTGTATGTGCTATTCTCTCTCCTCTCTCTCTTTTTTTTTTTTTGAAAAAAAAATTGTATGGAGGATGGAGAACACATAAGTTAAGTAATTTCTTTATGAAACGTAACGTAATTTCGAATTTTGTTATCATGATGCATGATTATGTCTGCGTTCATTGGCTTTGGACTACTGAATATATGGCTATGGGGAAGGAATGCCCACGTTTTAATTTCCCCGGTTGAATATATATATATATTAAACTTATTAATTTACGGCTAATGTCAATCTACCACAAGCTATACATGACTACTGACCATATAAATCTTCTGAAAATTACTTATATTCAAATCATGTAACTTATGATACTGCTCTAGACATAAGCAACTCGTTTAAGAGTCATATAAACGTGAAATATTTACCATATATATATATATATATATAAACGTGAAATATGAAATATATCAAGTGGTCTGACATTAGTAAAGGTGGTAATACTCTGCTCTAAAACTTTAAAGCAAACAAGGAAACAAAAGTAACACAATTTTAATGTGGAATTGGGAAAAGGCCAGAGAGAAACCATTGGCCGCTTATAATTAAAAAATAACTAATCGAAGATTTAATAAATTAATGAATATAATAATAATATAATTAAATTACTATGCGCCTCCGAACTCCTTTAAAAACCTCCTCTTAGACACAGAAGCTCCCTTTTCAGTAGAGGTCCTATTCCCAAGTTCTCTCTCCCTCCAAAAAAAAAAAACAGAGGAACTGTCGGGGGATAGAGAGAGACTCCATGTACGAAACAGAGGATACTCTCATGCTCCTTCTTCTTTTTCCTTCGGTTCTGTCTCTTGCTCTGTTCTTGATCCTTTTGGGAAGAAACCGGCCCAGATTCAATCTTCCTCCTGGTAACTCCGGTTGGCCGTTTCTCGGCGAAACCATCGGTTATCTAAAACCTTACTCCGCCACTTCCCTCGGACACTTCATGCAAGATCATATCTCCAGGTACTTCCCGACAAACCCAAATTTCCAAAGACTCTTGAAATTTTCTCCAATGTCTGAATTTGCCGGGTGGCAGGTACGGGAAGATATACAGATCGAATTTGTTCGGGGAGCGGACGATCGTGTCGGCGGACGAAGGGCTCAACAGGTTCATATTGCAGAACGAAGGGAAGCTGTTCGAGTGTAGCTATCCTCGTAGCATCGGAGGGATTCTTGGGAAATGGTCGATGCTTGTTCTTGTCGGGGACATGCACAGAGACATGAGGAGCATATCCCTCAATTTCCTCAGCCACGCCCGTCTCAGGTCGCACCTGTTGAAGGATGTCGAGAGGCATACTTTGTTCGTCCTCGATTCCTGGAAAGAAGACACCGTCTTCTCTGCTCAGGACGAGGCCAAGAAGGTCACCCATTCACTTCTCCACGATCTGGGGTTTTGATCATTTTGTATCTTCTGTGTTTGTTAATCCCTCTTATTGGCTTTTGCTTATACAGTTTACATTCAATTTAATGGCGAAGCATATAATGAGTATGGATCCAGGAGAGGAAGAGACAGAGCAGCTGAAGCGAGAGTATGTCACCTTCATGAAAGGTGTTGTCTCTGCTCCTGTGAATCTCCCTGGAACCGCTTACAGAAAAGCCCTGCGGGTAAATCTCTTCTTTTTAATTATACAATTGAACGTGACTGTAATTAGTTAAAAAAAAAACCATCAACCGAAAAGTAGGTTCCTGTCTGCGGTTGATGCTCTTGTCAAATTCAGAAAAAAGCCATCGAACTGCTGAGTAAAGATGTCATCTTTTTCTCTTTTCTCCATCGTAAACGTAAAACACAGTAAAACCCTTTTTGTTTTTTTACTGCAGTCACGGTCGACGATATTGAAATTCATAGAGGGGAAGATGGAAGAGAGGAAGGCAAGAATGAAGGAAGAAGGGAACGGAGAGGGGGGGAAGAAACAGAAGACGGACGGGGATCTCATGGGATGGGTGTTGAAGCATTCGAATCTTTCGACGGAACAGATTCTGGATCTGATACTGAGTCTGCTCTTCGCCGGCCATGAAACCTCATCCGTCGCCATTGCTCTTTCCATCTTCTTCTTGCAAGCTTGCCCTAACGCTATCCAGAAGCTCAGAGTAAAAGCACTTTAACTACCGCACATAACTTGCGTGTAAATTTGATTTACTGTGGATTAATGTTGGTGGGTTTGTCGTCAATGGCGAAGGAAGAGCATCTTGAGATTGCGAGGGGGAAGGAAGAGCTTGGTGAGACAGAGCTGAATTGGGATGACTACAAGAAAATGGAATTTACTCAGTGTGTATGTTCCTTTTTTCCGGTTTAATTATGATTTTTTTATGACATAATTATTCAGCTTTGTGTTATTAAACATTTTTTTTGTTTTTTTTATTAATGATTTATATGGTTCGTTTTTGGTCGCCTTTGTGATACGAAGGTCATAAGCGAGACTCTTCGGCTTGGAAATGTTGTGAGGTTTTTGCACAGGAAAGCACTCAAAGACGTTCGGTACAAAGGTAACATTTCGATTACACTTTTTTTTAAAAAAAATTTATTTTATGAAAGCAAATTAAAAAAAAAAATACCTTGAACGGTTGGTGGAATAAATTCACAATATAGATTTTTTATATATGAACGTGTGTTGGGAATTATTTTTTTAAAGGATACGATATCCCAAGTGGGTGGAAAGTGCTGCCGGTGATCTCAGCCGTCCATTTGGATTCTTCTTTGTATGGCCAACCTCACCTCTTTAACCCCTGGAGATGGCAACAGGTAAAAAAAAAACAAAACCTTGTTAATAAAAACATGTATGATCATATATATGTATATATATATATCCATGAATAGATAGCATCCCATAACCATGACTTTTACCATAATTATGAAAGTTGGATGAAGCGATGAACTTTTGTTTTTTTTTCCCATCAACCATCTTTCACATTTTATGGATCATTAATAAATACATGGACCGGTCAATGTACTCTTTGTGAGGATTACAATAAATGATAACGCTCGACAAAGCGAGTGGTGAAGCGTAAAAAAAAAAACAAAAATAAATTTGAGAAAAAGACAGATACGTGTTACGATACTGGATTCTTCGTATCGGCGAATAAGAGGTGACTTTGAAATTAATGTGGGACCCAATTCAAGGGAGAATCTTGGCCGTTGATCTTGACGTAATGTGTTGGATTCTCCACCATCGGTCGATCCAAATTTACAATTTAGTTATTAATTCTTTTTTCATGAACAGTAACTGTTTTCTACACAGTAAAAAAACCGTAAAGAATAATGGGTAAAATTGGTGGCATAATAATGATACAAGTGGTGGTGAGTGCAGTGGGTGCGAGATGATTAAAAAGCCCACGTGGGCGTGGTGCCAACATGCACGTGTGCTCTTCCTTCGCTTCGAATCCTCGAGGTCTTAAAACGTTTTGACGTTTCTAACGCAGGAAAACAACGGGGCGTGCGGGGGCACATCGAACTTCATGCCGTTTGGAGGAGGCCCGAGGCTCTGCGCGGGCTCAGAGCTGGCGAAGCTAGAGATGGCGGTGTTCATACACCATCTGGTCCTCCGTTTCCGGTGGGAGTCAGCGGAGGAGGACCAACCCTTCGCCTTCCCTTTCGTTGATTTCCCCAAAGGATTGCCTATCGTCGTCCGTCGTTATTGCAATCCCTTGTAGACCAAAAAAAAAAATTAATAAAAATTTAAATAAAACACGAGGATTGGTACGTTACGTTATACACCTTGTAAATTTCTCACTTCATTGATTTATATGTTAACGCTCAATATATTTATATGTGTAGTGTATGTCGTCTTTCTTTAACATATAAATCATGGTTTCTGCATTATCGTTTCCCTAAAGAATTCCCCAATGTCGCATACCACGATAATAAAAGAATTCGGAATTATATAATTATTGTTATCCTTAAAGGGCCTTCGGAAAGCCTATTTATAATTTCGATCATCATCTATGGGCTATTTTTTTTTTATCAAGTTCGATACTTTAGATTTTAACCATTCAGGCCCATGTCCCCCCTAAAATATACTCGTCTCGAATCAAATTTTGTTAATAAATATATATATATATTTTTCATATTAGACACGAGCCACGACCAATGGCAAATTGCGGGAGCGTCGGAAAGAGAATTGGGAAAACAGTAATTATCCATGGACAGTAGGGGTATTCGTGGCATTTAAAAAATAATGAGACACCCAAAGCCATTCGTGACCTCCAGGCGCGTGCCGGTTTTCCCTTTTCGAGCATATTTCTTCACTTTTGTTTCGTCGGGAAAAGTTCGTTCTTGTGAGTTTATTTCCCGGCGTTTGATCGAGAAAGGATTCGGATAAGAATCAGTGAAGGAAGAAGAAGAAGATGTGGCGCTGCGTTTCTCGTGGCCTTCGTGTTCCTTCTTCGAGGACATCGTTCTTCAATGACCATTCTGGATCTCGGTTTTCCAGATTCTTTTCCACCGGTTCGGTATGATCTCTCTTCGTTTCCCTCTTTTTTTTTTCTTTTTTTTTTGTCTTCTGATCTTCGAATCCGATCGTATCTGTATTATGTCTGAATCGAGTGTCTGGTATCCGAAGATATTGAAGCGGGAGATGGAGAGTGGCCGAACTCTGGTCTATTCATAGTTCAGAGCTCTTTCGGAAAATTTTGCGTTTACTTGTTTGGGAGTTGAGGAAATGAAATGGATAAGGGCTACGTTTTTGGTTATCGTTGAGATTTTGGTTCACCTTTGATCGGATTTATTTTATGGACCCGTTTTGTTTTTACTTTGTCTCTCTCGCGTAATTGTTTGGCAGACCGAGGGGAGATCCTCGTACACGATTGTGGATCATACATATGATGCGGTCGTCGTCGGAGCTGGTGGTGCTGGTCTTAGGGCGGCGATTGGATTGTCGGAGCATGGATTTAACACCGCTTGCATTACCAAGCTTTTTCCGACTCGTTCACACACCGTCGCTGCCCAGGTATTTGGACATGAACCCATGTTTATCACCGTGTTCTGAGATGAAAGTATCCCTCGAGAAAGAGAAGGGTGGGTATAAGTAGTTGCTTCGTGCCTCTAATCATAATGTGAAACCGTTGTAAAGGGTGGCATAAACGCTGCATTGGGAAATATGACAGAAGATGACTGGCGGTGGCACATGTATGACACTGTGAAAGGAAGTGACTGGCTAGGTATGCTTTTTTCTTACTTGGGAAGTCTTTCTTTTTCCATCAGTTTGCTTCTTTAACTGAAGTGGCTATGCGGTTCAGTTGTCATTTGGGGATTCCCATGGTAAGACAGCAACTTGAGAGCTTTTTTTTTTTTTCCTGTTTTGCTGACATGTTGTAGCCCTGAATATGTGCAGGTGACCAAGATGCCATCCAGTATATGTGTAGAGAGGCACCAAAAGCAGTTATTGAGCTTGAGAATTATGGGCTGCCATTTTCTAGGACTGAAGACGGTAAAATTTATCAGCGTGCATTTGGTGGTCAGAGTCTTGACTTTGGAAAAGGTGAGTTTTTTCCGGACATGCTAGGATTTAGAATATGGTTTGCTTCTGCTGTGAGTTTTACGAGTTTATTTGGTTGATTTCTCGTACTGGCTTACGTACTCTCGTAATTCGTCAGGTGGTCAGGCGTATCGTTGCGCATGTGCTGCGGATAGGACTGGGCATGCTCTTTTGCATACTCTCTATGGCCAAGCTATGAAGCATAACACCCAGTTTTTTGTTGAATATTTCGCTTTGGATTTACTGATGAATAGTGATGGTAAGTCAGATGGAATTCTTTTTCCTGCTGTTGTTGCTTCTGTTATGCTACAAAAGGTTAGGGACGTTTTAAGGTGTCTTGATTGCTCTCAGCAACCAATTTCTGATCCTGATGGGCAAGCACATTTGTAATGTAATGCGACATTGTTTCTGATGTTCAGGCAGCTGCCACGGTGTAATCGCGCTGAACATGGAGGATGGAACATTGCATCGGTTCCGTGCTGCACAGACAATTTTGGCCACTGGGGTAAAGTGTTTGTAAAGTAAATCTATCTGATCCAAAATTTTGAGCAGTGCAAATATATTTACCTGTTATTCTCTCTAGGGCTATGGTAGAACATACTTTTCTGCAACCTCGGCGCACACATGCACCGGAGATGGCAATGCCATGGTTGCACGTGCTGGACTTCCTCTCCAGGTTCATGTCTATTTCAGATTTTGGTTTGTATTCCTCTAGCATTTTCATGTTAACAACATTGCCGAACAACTTTATACAGGATTTAGAGTTTGTTCAATTCCATCCAACGGGCATTTATGGAGCGGGATGTCTCATCACTGAAGGTTGGTAACTGTTCCCACATCTTGAATCTGCTTACCAAGAAAGGTTCAAGGTGTTGATTTCTAATGCTGACTTATTCAATTCTTATCCATTTAACTTCACAGGGTCTCGAGGCGAGGGCGGTATTCTTAGAAATAGTGAAGGTGAACGTTTTATGGAACGATATGCTCCTACTGCCAAGGATCTTGCTTCGAGAGATGTTGTCTCCAGATCTATGACAATGGAAATTAGGGAAGGTCGTGGCGTAGGTACGTTCAACGTTCCGCTATGAATTGGATTTTATCTTCCAATCAACCTTTGTTACTTTGTTCCTTTCCCACAAGAGATATGGATTATAGAAAGCAGGTGGCAACCTTGTTCAATGATTGTCATTGCTGGATTGTCTGATTTGGATAACTGACACTGTATGCACCAGGACCGCTAAAGGATCACATCTATCTTCATTTGAACCATCTTCCACCAGAAGTCCTAAAAGAAAGACTTCCTGGTATCTCTGAGACTGCTGCCATCTTTGCCGGTGTTGATGTTACCAAAGAACCAATTCCTGTCTTGCCGACCGTACATTACAACATGGGTGGTATCCCTACAAATCACCACGGTGAGGTAAGAATATGTGAAGGCTTTGACAAAGTTTGCTTAAAAGTTATTTTACTGTGATTGGTGAAGCAGAGAACTCATTGAACGATGTGGCCAAAGTGATTTCGCTTATGTTATGCAGGTGGTTACCATTGAAGGCAATGATCCAGATGCCGTGATTCCAGGACTAATGGCTGCTGGGGAGGCAGCCTGCGCTTCTGTTCATGGAGCTAATCGGCTTGGTGCAAATTCACTGCTCGACATTGTTGTCTTTGGCCGTGCTTGTGCAAATAGGGTTGCAGAGATACAGAAGCCAGGTTTTGGTCTTTTTTTAAGAAGATAATATTTATTAAGAAGCAAATTCGCCCGTGATGGTATTATTTTCTTGGTACAGGGGAGAAACAGAAACCTCTTGAGAAGGATGCGGGTGAGAAAACTATCGCATGGCTGGACAAAATAAGGAACTCCAACGGGTCGCTTCCTACTTCTGAGATCCGATTGAACATGCAGCGAGTGATGCAGAACAATGCAGCTGTCTTCCGAACACAAGAGACTCTAGAAGAAGGTATATCTGTTATTTTAATATCTGTTATTATCAGCTCTCTCCTTTGGCCATTCTTAATACAAGAAGCACTCAGTCAGAGGCGTGTTTTAACATGCAGGTTGTCACTTGATCGACCAATCATGGGAGAGCTATGGTGATGTTCGGGTGAAGGATCGGAGTTTGATATGGTGAGACTTTGCGAACGGGTATCATGATGTTATGACGGCTGTGTCAATATTCTTAAGATGATGATTGGTAATTTGTAGGAACTCTGATTTGATCGAGACTGTAGAGTTGGAAAACCTTCTGATAAACGCATGCATCACCATGCATTCTGCTGAAGCCCGAAAAGAGAGCAGAGGAGCACATGCTCGGGAAGATTTCACGGTTGTGTCATAGACCCTCATTTGATGAATTCAACACTTCTCCTTTCCTTCTAAATGAACGTTTTAATTAATCCAACATTTGTTCTTTGGCTCCATTCCGCAGAAAAGAGATGATGAGAACTGGATGAAGCATACATTGGGGTGAGTGTATCGTTTCTCTCTTGCACAAATACATACATGATACATTCCGTATGCCATGCCATGCCATGTGTGTTAAACAATTGCAGCAATCTGATGAAAACTGCACATACATGTATATACACACACGCAGGTACTGGGAAGAAGGAAAGGTCCGGCTGGACTACAGGCCAGTTCACATGAACACTCTTGACAACGAAGTCGAGACTTTCCCGCCAAAAGCTCGTGTCTACTGATCTGAAGAGCCTTGAAGCCAATGCCATGACGCAGGTAACGAGCCAATCTCCAATAATATAGTTCGCGAGGAAGAGAAAAACAATACGAGAAAGAAACCAGGATCGCAGGAAGTGTTGTGTGGTGTCTTTTGGTCTTTGAGGGAGCATGAAATCAAAAGGAAGCGTTTGATTGGGGCTTAGGAATAAATTTAATTTTATTATGGGAGCATTTAATGTTACTAATAAAAATTTTATAAAACTTGCAATTAAATGAGAGAGAGGAACGATATACGGCCGTTTCCCTCCTGCCGGCCGGCCCACTACGATTTCATGGGGAACGATATACGGATTGGGCCTCAGAAAATTATAATGGGCTTATTATTATGATATGTTCGTCTCTATGTTTTTATTACGCAAATATATCCGTACCCCAACTAAATTCCGGACAGCTCATTGCTTCCATTTTGTCAGCTTGTTTTGAGCCGACCCATAAGTTCAAGTTATTTACTTCATAATAAACACGCATCTCTATAAATTAACTTTTTTTTAATTGTTTTAGAATCGAACAGGAACTTTTATTTAAAATAATAATAATAATGTAACGCCGCACGTACGCCTCCGTATAGTATAGTACGCTGTAAAACAGCTTTCGATGCATTAAATAGCTTTGTTCTAACTAAAAATATCGCTAATGTTGTTCACTCGTGAAATTTTCATATATATATATATATATATATATATATATATATATATGCATATGTATGTATTCAATCTCGGATAAAAATGGGATTTTTTTTCCATCGCGATCAGTTTTATGGTTCGAAATATTCGGGTGTTGGAATTTTTTTTTATCACATTTCCAAAAGATGCAACGACCTTTGACCAGTCATTGGCAGAACGTTGAACTCTTGGCAAGTTCGACACGTGGCGGAAACCCACTTGTTTGTGATTAATCACCTGAAAAAAGTTTTAATTGGAATTCGAACCATGTGATTGACAACCGGTGTCCTTTGACTGTACGTTAAATTCATATTATTTTATTTGTTTCATGCAATCAAACGATTAGGACTAATTTCATTATTTTATTATTATTATTACTACTACTTATGTTGTTGTCCAAAAGTCTCTGCCTCTGTCACTCCCTCGAATTCCTCGTCTCAAAATTAAAACTAATCAGATCCAAATCACCACTTTTAGTATTACGAAATCCCTGAGATCTTCCATAAACATTTTTTTATTATGATAGATAAATAATGGATCGGTGACAGAAATCGCTGGTCAACCAAGGGGTGGCGAATAAATTAAAAGGACAATATTCACTTCAAAAAGTATGTTGTATCACACCATATCATATGGTCTTTGTTTGTTGTTTCTTGTCCCTATGTGCCGAATATATTTTAAATTTACAACGTATTTCCTGTTGTAAAAACAACAAAAGTGAATGAATTCATTTTCATAAAATAAATAAAAAAAGTTAACTCGATTTATGTGAATGAGGTCTCCACAAGACATACATTCTTCCAGCATATATAAGATACTGTAGTTAATTAATTATTGGTACTATATAGTTGGACATTAATGTATTGAAAGGTATGCTTTATCATCATTATTATTTGTGTTTTTTTTTGTAAATAACAATAATAATGTGTTGTTGGTTATATCGTATGCTGTGGTATGGTTGAGAGGTGTTTAATGAGTTTCAAATGTGAATAAAATACAAGAAGTATAAACTGGTTGAACACTATATATTATTATTATTATTATTATTATTATTATTATTGTTATTATTATTGTTGAGAAAATGGTGGATAGGGGCAGAAGAAGCACGTGGGGAGAGAACTGAGGAGTCGGTATCGCCAGCTCACCTCACTTTCCTTTTTTACTCATTCTAGTCAATGTTGCGTCAACGCTCCTCTCCCGTGGCCTCCGCGGCATTTTTCACATCTACTGCTGCTATTTACTCCATCCGTTTCAAAATATTTATAGTTTTAAATTATTTTCCATGTTTTAAAATATTTATCATTCTACATTCTCAAAATATTTTTTACCATGGTTTCTAATTTTATCTTTATCAAATTCCAATAAATTATTAATGATAACATTGTTTTTATCATTAAATAAAATTATATATGACTTTTTCTTTCTTATCTAAAAAAATACGAAATAATCTAAAACAACAATTATTTTGAAATGAAAGGAATATTTATTATTCATCTTTTGCCTATTTCATCTTGTTTTCATAATTCATTACCATATCCACATATATTCATATATTTTAATATATATACATATATATTCATAAACCATAAATCGAGTAATTAGTGATTATTTATATGTGCTCGAAACAATTCAAAAGGCTCTTATTTTTTGTTTTTAAAATGAGGAGGAAAATGAGTGACGTAGCTTTCAGTGACACTTGCGTGGAAGAGATGCCATCCCTCCAAATCTGGCCATCTTACACTTTCCTTTTATATCTTTTCTTTTTCTCTTTTATTAATCTCCCTTATTCGAATTTGAAATCCTTTTTCTGGTCCCACTCTTGCTTTTTTATTTTTATTTTCATTTTTTTTTATCAAAAGGTAGTTACCCTCAAAATGAATATAATTCCCCTTAAAAAAAAGTTCGACCTTTTTCGATATTCTTTTAACAAAGAAAAGACAATGATATGTTTTTTTTTTATAACATCAGTGAATCCGTGACTACCTTCCCTTACAAATGGAGACGAATTGGCCACCACTCGCGTCTAACGGTCCATCGCAGACCTGGTCACCAGACGCGCCTAACGCTCGGGTCGTAGTTAAGTTTAGACGCCTGCGGGTCAAACCCCAAGCCCACACGCACGAACCTGCAACACACGTGTAGGAGGTAAATCAGCCCGTTATGACAGACTGACAGGCGAGCAGGTCAGAGGAAGTGAGACGACGAGAAATCGAACTCCCCACGTCATGGGTGCTCCCCATGCTCACAAGCAGCTGACCTGGGACGAACCCCATGATATGGGTTTTTGTTAAACTTGATGTTAAAATTTGAATGTAGAGACTTCGTTGTTTAGTGAATATGCAAAAAACGTTTTAAAAGAAGATTGGGTATATATTTGTTCACAAACATAGAATATTACAGATATCAAATTACAACATTAGCGAGCTGTACCTTCAAAAACATTTGTCCTCGTAAATTAAATGAAAAATTTAAAAAACGGATAACACGTCGCGACAAAAACATCATATCGTATGCACACACGACAAGACATTTGTAAGGAAAAAAAAAGACTGGAAATTGCACAATTTTTTTTATTATATATATTTTTAATTTGTTTATTAAAGGGGGAAAGAAATGGTACCCAAAACTGCGAACAAAGAACACGAACCACCCTTCTCCTCCGTTTTGAACAACAAACATAAATACAGAACAGTTTCCACTTGTTATTTAAGTCTCGCAACAGTGTCGGAGTGTGTGTCAGCAGAAATTCTCGGACCTACTAATGGTCATTATCCAGACAGCCACTCAACAAGTGCCACGTGTACTCAATATACACAAGATAACCAAGGTGTCGAGATATTTTTTATAAAAAAAAAAGAGAAAAGGTTTATTATTTCTCTCTCTCTCATTAATTTCGTATCGGTTTGCTCATTCATTACGGTTCTCAATTACACACATTAAAAAAAAAAAAAAATTCAAAATCAGGATTGCAATACAATCAGATTTTTGTATTTTTATAATGTAAATGGAGATGTTTTATTATTACAAAATCAATTCTTTTCATTTTATATGACGTCGTCTTTTACAAATTATTATTTTAAAACTCAATAAACGATTTTTTCTTTTTCTTTTTTTATGAAAAATTATTTAAACACAGTACTCGCAGTAACTGGACAATGCTTATCTGTGTACGCGAGGGCCCCTCAAAGAATTTAATCTCTCTCTCTCTCTCTCTCTCTCTCTCTCTCTCTCTGCCCCTTTTTATACAGAGTTTAATTCGAAACGATTAGCCTTCGTCGCTAATGGCATGCTTAGAAATGTACAACTCCAATGGCGGTGTTCCCATTAGCCCTAGGATCTCCTTCTCCAACGACTTCGCCGACATCAGCCCGCAGAAGAACAACAGCACGAGAACAAAGGCATCTTCGTCGCCATCGTCTGATTTCGAGTTCTCGGTCACGAACAACGCAATGATGACAGCCGACGAGCTCTTCTTCAAAGGAAAGCTCCTGCCTTTCAAACAGACCAATCACGTCCAAAGGACCTTGAGGGAAGAGCTTCTGATCGAGGAAGAGGGTTCTGAAGGCCATGGCTTCTTCACACTCAAGCCACCGCCGTCGTCGTCTTCTTCTTCCTCGAAGGGAAGGTGGAAGGGGCTGCTGGGCTTCAAGAGAGACCACGTTGGATCCAAGAAAGCTCATAAGATCAGCGAGGGGAGATTTGTTCACCCGGATAACAAACAATCTCAGGTACTTTTTTTTTTCATTTCTCTTCACAAAATCTTGACGAATGGGTGTCGCGTTACTTCATCGTTTACCTAAATGTTTTGTTTTTTCGTTCGGGTTTCATGCAATTCTCTTCCGTTTTCAGGAAGGAGAGTACTCGACTTGGAACGGAACGGATGGTGACATGCAGTGAACTCGGATTTTTGTCCTAGGATGATGTTTAGTTCACTGATTTTAAGTTAGATTTTGTTAATCTTAGATCTGAAAAAAAAAGGATTGTTAGAATCGTTTTAATGGCGGTGGCCGAGATGATCTTTCCATTGACCCTTTTCCACTCTTCATGTTTTTGTCGAATCTGGTGAGTTATTTTACTTTCCAAGAGAAAAAAAATTATATATATTATGGTGAAGTCATTATCTGGGTATTGTTTGAGCTGGAGTTGGGAATTTGGGTGTTTGGTTGTACCAAAAGAAAAGACGCTCTCGTTATGTTATGTTCTTGGAGTTTCGACATGTGTCTTGTCCGATGGAATAATGGATCTTCTTGTCTCGAGAGATATCATTTGTCTCACGATTTATAATATATTCAACCTCGCTTTCTTTTTTATTCGGATCTGTTCCTTTCACTGGAAATGTAAACATGATATGATATGTTCGAGGATTTGTATCTAAACGGTTTATACATCAAATCTTATATTCGGACCGGAGGTGAACTCATTGCAGTCAACAGGTTTTTTTTTAAAAAAATAAAAGAATAAACAAATAGACGAATACCATAAAAGTTAAGACATGTTTTGCTTAAAAACTGTTTCCGTGTCATGTTTCCAAACATAGACCAACACAAGCATTTGCTATTTGCGCAGCGAAAATATAGAAATTCAAACTCCCAAAAGCTAGTGTTCATGATCGAATGTAACTGTAAAAAATGATTAAGATTTAATCCATCTATTTTTTTTAATCACTCTTTCAGCCGAATTTATATATCTTTTTAGTAAATATATATACATATATATATATATAGCCATTTTCTTAATTTTCTTTCACTTGATGGATTATATTATACATCTTCTCTCTATCTATATGATTATCATTCTATCAATTACTGGATATCGTAAAGACTAAATCTAAAAAGATAGAGGTAAATATGGAACAAGATGATTCAAGTTATCGTACACATACACACGAAGACACCGCAACCCCAAAATTGAGTGCTCTAGTTTATCACAAACGTCTTCAAGGAACTTGTTTGAAACTATCATATGCTTTTTTCAGCCGAACGGTGTAGGAACAGGAGCAGGGCCAGCGAGTGCATCCGACCGTTTGATGCTTCCCATTCCGCAGATGATACAGCCAGGTGCCGAGAGAGCCGTGAATTTTGCACCGCATAGATCACACACGTCATACCCGATGGTGGATAATCGGCTCAGCGTGGCCGCGCAGAATTGGGATGGATCCTCTAACGGGTCGATGGTTTTGTTCAATGCACCTCTCTGGGCACACAGATCAACCAGACCCTTCAGTTCTTCCTGCTTGCTCGGCGGCGCCTTTGATAGAAGCAGTTCCAGCATCTGTTTCGAGTATCCGTAGTTTTGGACCTCCATGTTCCGTTTGATTGCAGTCCGTATGCAGTTTATGCGGTGCTTTGCCAGCAACGGAAGTGATGCTAGATGCCTGGACAGCCTCGCCATCTCGTCTTTTGCGCTTATAGCACTCGCTCCCTGTACCCTTTGTAGCCTTGAAATTTCCTGCCAAAAAAAAATGCAAGTAGATGGTGATGGTTCATAGCTTTAACAGCTTTTGAGGTTTGCTTGCTGGCGTGTATTGGTGGAAAGATGAGGGTAGTACCCGGAGGAGAGTTACAGCGATCTTGTACTGAGCGCAGATTGTGGCTTGAGCCTTAATGTCTGCTCCACGTGATTGATCCTTAGCCAGAGCCAGGAATCCTTCATCAAAGCAAGACAGTGCATCTGGAAGATGATTTTGTTCGAGGTGAGCAAGTCCTATCTTGAAACATACTGCAGCTGCTGCTCCACGGGGAACCTGCCAACGTTAAATCGCGCGGAAAAGAAGATGCATCAGTCAACTATGCAATTATGTCTCCCATAAAAAAAATGAAAAATGATAAAAACTTTTGGAGGAACAACTCCAATCTATCCATATGACGATCTTATTTATGTATCCATATGAACAATCCTGGATTGACGGGGAGACATCTAGGAACAAACATATTCACCTGTCCTGGACGCACAGATGCAGGAGGTGATGCAGGCTGTCCGGGAGGTTTTCCAGAATCACCGGTATTTGAAACTCCGAGGATGCTAAGATCAAGGGGCTGCGTGGAAACAGGGACCGGTGATGGCTGAACCCCAGGAGTCTGACCAGGTGACTGCGGAGGAACACCACCGTCAGGTAGCCCAACAAATTGTGCAGGAACACCAGGTTGTTGACTTGCCTGAGGAGGAACACCACCGACATCAGTTGCAATGGTGGTCGCTTGGCTGGGGGGAACAACCTGGTCAGACCCGACTTGAGAAGCTTGGTCCATTTTGGAAAGGTAAGTGCCGGGAGGAGGCAAGGTCTTAGCAACTTCCACAGAGGGGATTGTGTTTTGGAAGAAGTCTTCTGGGATAGGTCCACCTGTGACTCCTACTCCCTTAGAAGCTGGAGCTGGCTGCAAAACTGGTTGTGGTTGCGGTGTCCATGACTCCATCCCGAAAAGATCAGCAGGGACTGATGCCGCTCCGCTTGTCGATGCAGAAGGTTGGTTTAACATCTGACCTAAATCCTGGGATCCCGCAGTTAGAGATTTCGTTCTACTTATCGGCAGCCCCAACCCATCTCCGAGCTTAAATGTTTTTGCAGCTTCTTTGAGCTTATCAACATCCACAGTAGTAGATGTAACCGGCTTATCTCGTATTCTAATTTGCAATTTCTTAGGTTTTTGTACACCTTCCTCATCACTGCTACTGCCATCACCGGCTGCTCCATACATTGATTTCTTGAATTCTTCGGCAGCCTTAGCCTGTTCATCGGTCGTGGATTTTTTCGTAAGAGCATCCAGACCCATCAAGGAACTGGGTTCGGCAGCTGGAAGTGCCAAAGGTTTATCTGATACAGGTTTACCCAAGGAGCTAATTGCGCCAGGTTTGGAAACCAAGCTGTCTTCTCTCACTTCCACCACATTAACTCTGCCTCTGATACAACCCAAGTAAACCCCGATATGGTTAGATACTATTGAGGGGATTGTACCTTCATCATTCTTCATGTATGGCATTACTTCCCCAGCTAGTTCCCATTGAGGTATGCTCTTCATGTCAGTTGGAGTTTTGATTTCCCAGTTTCCGCCACCCCATTCTGGTCCTTTTGGAACCATACTCTCAGCTGCAAAATTAGCAAAAATTCCTTGGGTCCATCCGGTGGACCGTACTCTTAAGATTCTTTCACAGTACCGCCTCAACTCTGGATCTCCATTTTCATCTTCCAATTTCTGAGCCAGGCGACGCATAGCACTAGGGTTGAGGTGGCATATGAAAAGATGTAGCATGCTCTCATAATCTGCTATAACTTCAAAAGTTTCCTTTGCGCTGTCAAACTGACCATATCTACAGGAGTAAATGCCCAAGAAGTCAGAAAATTGGAACCTTGTAAATCACAATTCACTTAAACAAAAAAAGCATATGAAGGTAATTCAGTACAGCGACGAGGAAGTGGTACATTATGGCACTATACGTAGTAATTGAGGGCAGGGACATAAATATCGTGACGAGGCTTCAAAGCCCAGTCCAAGATACACAAAAACTCATCACCATATTTATGTCCCTGCCCTCAAGGTATAGTACCATAATATACATATTGACAGCAGGGACATATATATCATGATGAGGCTTCAGAGCCCAGTTCAAGGTACACTAAAACTCATCAACAATAAATACGAATCGGAAAATTTCATTTCTGTCCTTGGAAATTTACTTACCTAATACAGGCATATCCTAGCTGTCGGAACCTCTGGAACAAAAGAGAAGTTGGAGGGCATTTTGGGTAGTCTCTGGAGCGCAAGAATTCGTCCTTCAAGACAGAAAGTGCAGTAGAGAACCGGAGAGCCTTGATCGCATATGCGCAACGTAACACCTAAATTTGTTCGGATGCCATTTAGAACACGAACCATGAGATGTTTGGTGATAAGATATACCAGAATTAGGCTTACCTGCGTAAATTGCGGACCTGATTGAGCTAATGATACAGCAAGATCTCCACATATTGGAGGGCCTCTAGCAAGAATATCGAGAGATCTAGGAGTGATTCGCAAGCTATCAAACCTGCAACAATTATACGGTGAAAAAAAAGATGTCAAAATAGGGACAAAGTCACAAACATTAATGGCAAAAGAACGATAGAAGAGTTCAACTCCATTTTCTGTGGGCCAGTTACTGAATATCTGATATTTAAAATATCATATACCGTACTAGAAATTTAATTGCAATAGAAACCTCAAAGGACAGTAGAAGACCTTGATGTTATTTGATATAATATTTCGGAAAGATCCAGTTTCTGCTCAAAGGTTTGTTGCATTGTAGCAAATCCAATTAAAAGTGGTTCAAGAAGCCCCACAAGGCAGCTCTTGATTTCAACTCCTTTCTTCTGCTTTGGACTTATATCAGTGGGATTTGCGAGCAGCAAGCGGTCATTCAAGGCTCCAACAATGGCTTCATAAAGGAAGACAGTTTCATTTATTGCAATACCATAATTTCATCCTAAGTATCCACAAAAGCACAATTTGCTTACCTGCATATGGCAGGCTAGTAGAAAGAATGGTCCGTACTTTTCCATCCCAGCCAAGCATGCAAATGGAAGTTGCTGTAGAAAAGAGAAGGGCAGGCCCTACCCATAAAAGAGATCTAAAGTGTGCAGAAGTTAAGGGCTTCCACATACACCAGCGAGACTAATTTCACAAAAATAACATGATATGGTCGGTAGTGATGTGAATTTGTGTGTGCACACATAAAAGAGGAGCATGTTAGTTTGATCAAGGATATCGATGGCAGTCCTCTATCAAATTTTCTTGAGCTGCTTCCCAATATATCAAGTTCTGCAGACACCATCAACACCCTTTGAGTAGTTAATATTCCTGCAACTTGGCCTCTGGGGGTTTCTTGCCATTGAACCTGTAGAGGAGAGACACGAAAATTTATCTGTCACTGAAATCAAGGGGGAGAAACTAATTTATAGGCCTTGACTCTAACTGACAATCGTCTCTAAATAAAGAAGTAAAATATCACCAATGTCATGCAGAAGTATATCATTGACTCCAAAGCCCTCAAGGAGTTTCATTTTGTGTGGCAGTACAAAAAACAAAAGTTGATGTCAAGCGTGTCATTCTCCTAATTTTCAATCTTATTTTCCCAAAATGAGATCATTTTGGCTTCAATAAAGAACTCAAAATGTGCAAACTGCAGCTCAAATAAGGGTGCAAAATCCAAATACCAAATCTTTTTATTTGGCTCAGTGATAAGCTTCCATAATATCCCGTGGAAATTTTGGTTAGCAAGTTAACAACCACACAACAACACTGCTAACACAGAAACATGTGTTGAAGTAGAGGCAGTAACT